TGATTAATACAAACAAGTTCGGATCTCTATCTAATTGGCTTTAAAACTGAGCAGAAGATTTCAAAATTTTTAAAGTTCCTCCATGTAAATAATACTCTAATGGTTGCTTCCCTGACACATTTAATATACTTTTGTCTCTCTCCTTTCCATCTACATAAATTTTGTTCCCAACCGTTCAGAGTTTCTAGTTAGAAAGATAGTCTTATATTACACTTACTTAGATAGACTGACCTTTCAGTTTCATTTTATCTTCATGTATATATGACTCATACAATTTGGTATTTAACGATCATTCTCTGCAAATTAATAAGGCTTTCGTCGCGTCATTCCAAACTAATGCCGCATAAACATGCAACGTCGAGTCACGGTTGATTATGATCACCACTATAGGAAGACTATGTGCCGATTACCAGGTTCGATCCCTCGGTAGACCAAATATCAGAAGGCAATTGAAGATTGTAATAAGATGTATTTGTTGGCGATCCCGTGGTATCGAAATAATACCGAGATCGTGTTAATGTTTACAAGTGGGACTACTGAGTGTACGCGAATTCGTGCAAGTTCACAGACAATGGAAGAATGTGTGTCTTAGTACATTTAAGAAAACAGGTGCAGGATAGTAATCACTTGTACAATTGGTTATAATAATAATTGTTTCCATTATACCAATCGCGTTCTCTTCATAAAAGTAGGTCACTAAAAACTTTTATTCTATCATCAAATCTTATTACATTATTGATCCATTTTGTGGTTCTTTTTGTGAAATATGTTGCTGTCTCTTCTTGTTACATGGGAAACATAGCAAGTTATCTGCATATTTCACATTCTTTCCTTTATTTTTTATTTAAAGCCGAATAAATATTTTCCTAAATACTACAGAACCTGTTTAAATAAGGTAATACTGTGAAAAAATCATTGAAATTTGTGTATTATTGAGTTTCTGGATAAACCCGGAATTGTTTCTTCACAATAATAAGTGTAATTGTTGTTATAAAGTGAAATTTTGTAGTGGTTATAACTACCGAAGCACACATACCATTCTAATTACGGATAAATACATGATCAAATCTAAAAAGCTTTTAATTTTGGATTCTATTCTTGATTTCGAAGGTAGCAGCACCAATAGTCCTTCCAAATAACAGTAAACCTAGCATGCAAAGTAAGCTTTATGGACCAAATGTAATAAAGCAGAAGTACTACTCTAGATATTTTTTGTATTTCTACTATTGAAACTTATGTATAACTGAATTTCTGGTTTCTTTACGACACTTATGTACCAATAAGCTGTTTGTGAATAATAATATCAATCACATTAAACTGACCGGGGTTGTGCATTTTTGGTCTATGGACCAGGGCACACTTCCAGAGCAAGAAACACCTAATGTTTTAGCAAATAAATAAGTTTGCCTTTCTCAGTAAGTTAGCTACTGGTATTTCCACAGACTAAAATATTTTCTTTTGAACAAACTTTACGTGACTCATTCAGAAAGTATAAAGTATTATTCCTGAACTAGTAGAAACGTTTATTTCTTGAAACTGGTAACAACCCTATGTCCCTAATCAACTTATTTATTTGATATTATTCAGGTTTGACTACTTGAGCTTATTGAGCAATTTCTGGTGGAATGATTGGATGGTCATATTTGTTTAGATAAACACGTGAGTTTAAATTTAGAACCTCCTGTCATCCCGTTTCTTCTCCAACCATTTTTTGTGTACGGACTGGCCAAAAAATATGTTTTCAAACTATCTTCCACGGTTACCGTTATCTATAACGACCAAAACTCTGGCATTCGGTATGAGTGGGAAGTTAGCAAACCTAAGTGATTGATTGGACCAAACTACGTTCTTCTGTAAATCGTACGAAGCGTTCTTAAGCAGGTGGTGTCAAATTCTATCATGACACAAGCAATGTGCATAATTTAATCTGTTCTGATTTAAGTACGAAAACGAGTTATATAAAAGCGCGAAATACCTCACACGGAATAGCCTGTGTATTGCAGTCAGAGTTTACTCTATTATGTAATGATGTCCCAAACAGGAAAAGGAGTGGTTGATGAATAGGTATTTGGTACGTGGGAAGCAATAAGAGTATATAGTGGCATTGGTACACCTTGTGTTCTCCCTGACAATCATATGAGCAACACTCACTGTTTATCACTATGTGGCCTGTATTTGTGACATATAGGCTCTGTCGATTTCAATGACTTGTGCTGACTCTATTCTAAATAAGTCGATCTTTACCTTAATCCGAACTCGATTTTTCAACTAACTTGTATGCACGATCAGTCCGTAAGTGTGAATAAATGGTTTAATACACATCAAGAGTCTAGAAAATGTCCCTCACGGATCCACTCGTGTCTAACGGATTACTGTTAGCCATCTATCTATCTATCTATCACATGATTATCATTATTTTCATGTATAAAAGGATTTTTGATAACCATTCATATGTATTGACCGTTTTATCTAACCCCATCACGGTTAAACAATAATATGTTCGAGATCTTCCCACAACTAGATAAACACTTGTAAGCTTAGGAAGAGTTTTAAAACACTGGTTGGAATTCTTCCTCTACGCGGTTATACTTTTGTGAATGGAAATTATATCATGCGGACAGCCTTCTGGCATAAACATTAACTGACTTTCTAACTTAAACTAAAGATAATAATATCAAGATTTCTATAATATTGAATGTTCTTTTATTTCCAAGCACACAGTACTTATAACTCCCACAAGCTAAGCTATTAACGAACGGTCATTACTGTGCATCTCAATTATTCTACACTATTATAATCCAGCTGTTTAACACTTGAATGTTATTCACGCACATTTTCATTTTGAGTGGTCTGAGAACTAAACCATACATTTCGGAATTATTGCACGTATTTCCCGGTCAGTTAATGCAGCCTTCTTTTTTATTTGTCTTATTATTTTTTTTGGTAATCTCTGGAATGGCTCAGCCTTACAGAGGTAGTCATCCTTGTAACAAATCCCTATTCACATTGAAATGAATTATTATATACCCAGCTCAAATGTATTCTTCAGAAGTGCTAAAATTTGTTGTGCTGAGTTTCACCATACAACGAGTTAGAATAGATAATGCTGTGCTATATACATAAGGACCTATAGATCAGGTAGTCGCGTCATGACAAATTTACAATTTTGGGACTAGGTCTATTATCATAGTAGTAATAATGCCGAGTTAAAACATGATTCTACGAATATTCTCGACAAAATAAGATGAAAATATCTATTTGCATAATTTCGAGTAGCCGTTTCCAGCAGGCAGCCAAAGGTCAACTGTTATTAGCTGAAATATTCTGCAAACCTGATTTTAGCCAAAAACTACCTCGTCGTTACCAATCCAATTATATGCAGCATTAAATCAAGTAATGAAAGTAAATCATCAACCAAAGTCAAATAACAAAGGTCAAGACAAGGAAGACTGAAGAATTTAAATCGTGGTTACAAGAGATATGGGTGAAAATTAAAATACCGGACAGGGATAAAGAACAAAGAGATAGAAATATTGTCCAGTAGTATACTTGGAAGGGATCTTCAGAGTAGTCTTTGCTTTACTCTGATTCCAAATCGCCTTGTTTTGTTAGTGAGAGATATACAGTCTCTATTACAACATCAATCTGGTAAACTCAGCTATAAAATAGTACGCGATCCAAAAGATTAGGAATATACCACCATTGCCTGAGAGCGAGTAGTGAAATGGTAAATAAACTCATTAAAATAAATAGTTTTGTAAGGCATCGAAATTATAGCTGATTTGATCAGTTTTACTTGGCGCAGTATAGCTGAAGGCCCTCAGTTACTCATGCTCATTAGATCACCGACGTCGTGCTGCGTTTCCCTCTCAATAACCAGCCAGCCGTTTCTCAACACACTGATTTCCGGTTCGACTTCAAGTAAGACATAAGTAAGATAGCGGTCAGTAACCTCAACAACATAAAAGCTGACTACTGTCAAGAGGTTGTAAACGATAACATAATTGTAATCCTAGATAAACTGAAGGCGGAACAGAATATACGCTAATACAAAAACATCGGAAGAAACAACACACATTTAAGTCGACTCAATCTATAAGCTAATAAGGAAAAAAGGCTAGCAACTCGATGAAAAGAGGTTAGATCAGTGGTAAAAAAACCAAAGAAACGTACAAACAGTGGCCACACACCTATGGACAACAACCGACAAAACTATCGGTTGACAGAGTAAGCAGCTAGTAATCTGAGGAGAAATTCAAATACCTCACATCTTATTGAAATGCCTACTGATGTTTCCGTCGAGAAGGACTATCGAAACTTCACGATTAAGCCATCCTACTCAGAGAACGAAAGATCCTCAAAATCCTCATTCCGAGCTATAACTATTCACCGCTGTCCTAGCTTGGTTCTTGGCTGATAAGGCTTGTCAGATTGAGCTTACAAACATATCTTCCAGAAGGTGATAAAAATCACCTCAAGTCTGACACGAAAATTTTGTTTATTAATTTGAAGAAGCTATTTACCCCCCTGATTTATTTTGTCCAACCAGTGGAAGAGGTTCATTTTAGTCAGACAATCTTTAGAAAACAGATTTTGTATTCCAAGAATCTACTGAGCTCACTATAATATTTTGGATAAAGTGAAATACTCGAGTTTAGACCGATTTCATGGAAGTCTAAATATACACGTGACTAAATCGCATCAAGTACTTTCAAAGCGTCGTTTTTGTAAATGGGGATAAGGCATTTCTAACATTCTCTTAAAGGGTATGCATTCTTATAATAAATAACTCAACTGGATCTTCCTGCATGCACAACTCTGACGATAACTGTCTCAATAATCGGTGAACAAGGAGTGGTATTGCAAAAATATAACAGTGACCGAATTTAATATGTCAATTGAGACATATTTTCAACCATTTCAGTTGTTGAAAAGTGTAGTAAACTATATTGTAGCTTGAAAGTACATTGACCTTACTTTGTTTTAAACAACCAGAGAAACCTACATTAACCAATAGCTTTCAGACACATTTGTTAGTCTTATTTTTAAGTCCTGTTTCGTGTTGTGGGTGTCAGGATCTTCTAACTATGGGGAGACCATGGGATCTGTCCGTGGTACATAGTCTAGTGGTAGCTAGTAAGTTATGGTTTCACCTTTTCATTCGATGAAAATAGCTGTATTGGCATGTGTCTTGTGTGATCCGTCATCATTACTGTCTGATATTCCTGTATCAAGACCTAATGAGGGACTTTCAACAGCCTCAGACACTTTGGCTAAGTAAGTTTCACGCATAATACTTTTATATCATGCTAGAGAAGGGGAGGCAATCAGCTTGGATGGTCTAAGCGTTGAACAGTTGAAGCAAGCACGGGAACATGCTGAAAAACGACAGTTTGAGGCTGAGGTTGATCGTATGATGAAAATAATAGTTAACTCTCTGTACAAAAATAAGGAGGTAATGTTGGTTTTTTCTCTGACTGTGTAGATCTTTCTTAGAGAATTAATATCAAATGCATCAGACGCTCTGGATAAGATTCGTGTTCTTTCGCTAACTAACAATGAAGTTCTTAATGAGTCTGACGAAATGAGTATCCGAATAAAAGTAGGTTCTCTTAGTAAACACTTAACATCCCTTCAAGGCCAATAAAGATGCACGAACACTTCATATAATAGACACAGGTATAGGCATGACAGAAGCTGAACTTACCTCTAACTTGGGAACCATTGCTAAGTCTGGAACATCTGAGTTCTTGACTAAAATCGCTCAAACTAATACGGCCACAGAAAAGTCTGACCTCATTGGCCAGTTCGGTGTCGGGTTCTACTCTTCTTTCTTAGGTTCGTACACATAAATAATTTATTCATATCTTAGTTGCAAACAAAGTTTTGGTTGTATCCAAGAGTGATAATGATGACCAGCATATCTGGGAGTCCAATTCCACTTCATTCGTAGTTTACAAAGACCCACGTGGAAATACTCTTAAACGTGGCACTGAAATTGTCCTTTATTTGACGGAGGAGGCAGAAGATTATTTACAACCCGAAACTCTTAAAGAAGTTGTAAAAAAATACAGTCAGTTCATCAATTTCCCCATTTATGTATGGTCGAGTCGAGTGGAATCGCAGGTTGTTGAACCCGAAGAACAGGAGGAGTCAAAAACAGCTGATTCTGAAGCTAGCGTAAGTGTTTCCTTTAATTACGACTTCTTTTAGGTTGAAGAAGAAAGTGGAAAGAAAAGTGAAAGCAAGACCGTAGACAAAGTCGTCTGGGACTGGGTACGTGTAAATGCAAATAAACCTATTTGGAAACGCAAACCGGCCGACGTTACTGATGAGGAGTACAATGATTTATTCCGTGCCTATTCAAATGATAATGACGATCCTCTCGCCAAGATTCATTTCAGTGGTGAGGGAGACGTGTTATTTAGTTCAATACTGTATATACCAAAACATCTTCCCTCTAACATATTTCAGATGCACAGTACTCATAGTGATAGGATCAAGGTAAGTGTTTTATACTCTGTACTAAAATATTCTGTAGTTGTACGTTCGTCGAGTATACATTTCTGACGCGGCCGATGATCTGCTTCCTAAATACTTGGCATTCGTTTTTGGTATAGTGGATAGTGACGAACTTCCTTTAAATGTTTCTCGTGAAATGCTGCAGCAAAACAAACTCCTTAAAATGATAAAGAAAAGATTGGTCAAGAAAGTAATCCAGATGATTAGCGAACTTCCTGAATCGCAGTTTAAAAATTTCTGGAAGGAATACTCAGTAAACATAAAACTTGGTATAATTGACGATCTTCCAAATCGCACTAAGTTATCTAAGTTCCTACGGTTTTGGACTTCAAACAGCACTGAAAACCAATCAAGTCTTGCAGATTATGTTTCACGTATGAAAAATGGTCAGGAAGATATATACTATCTTACCGCATCCTCAATAACTGAGGCTAAGTCATCTCCATTCGTAGAAAGGCTAATCAAGAAAGGCTATGAAGTCATTTATATGATCGATCCTGTTGACGAGTACATGCTTCAGTCACTAACTGAATATGATAAGAAAAAGTTACGAAATGTGGCAAAGGGAACGATCGAACTCGACAAATCGGAAGAAGCAAAGACTCGTAAAGAAGAACTGGAGAAAGAATTCAAACCTCTCTTGGAATGGTTTAAAGAAAATTTGAAAGAATATGTCGATAAAACTGCCTTATCAGAAAGATTATCGAATACTCCATGTGCTCTTGTCGCTAATGAATTCGGTTGGTCCGGAAATATGGAGCGTATTATGACTGCACAAGCCTATCAAAGGGGTGGAGATCCATCATCTAATTATTACTCTACTATGAAAAAGGTCTTTGAAATTAACCCACGCCATCCAGTAATGAAAAAGTTAAACGTTCTTATAAAGACCAATAAAGATGATCCTACAATAAGTCATACTGCGAACTTGCTCTTCGATGTTGCAGTCCTTCGTTCAGGTTTTTCTGTTAAGAACCCTGTTGCTTTCGCAGAACGAGTTGAATCTGTTGTAAAGAAAAGTTTAGATATTGATCAAAACGAGTTGCTGGACGAAGAACCTGAGACTGATGAGGAGTCTGTAAAGGAAGAAGTGAACAAAGTAAGTTAATACTTTAAGCGTAATTTATACATAGGAGTCGACTTCAAATGAAGATTCAACGGACGAGAAGTCAGAAGCATCTTCGCAAATTGATGTAAGTTCATTATCTGGTGCTTGGTATTTTTGCATGTTGATTTTCGGAATGCTAAACTTAGTTTTTTCATTTTTCATGGATAGGAAAATCAACCAAGTTCACCAAAGGATGAGCTTTGAACGCATTTGTATTATCTCGCCGATCCTGTCCCCACTTTTCATTGTTTTTGGACTCATCTCCAAATTTCCAAACAGCCTTTATCCGCATGTGACTTGCATGTTTTCTTGAAGACATAGGGATCGTTTGTTTTTCATCTCGTTTTAAATTTAGAAATATACTTTTGTATGCATTACCAGTTTTCTGTTCCACTGACAACACGACTAATATATGATACTGCTCAATAACCAAGTACAGATCCGTGTATTCAGTTCAGTTACATTCCTTACTTAAACGCTAGTGATAGTATTTGGCCGTTGAAGTAGAGTTAAGTGAAGTAGAAACCAAACGTACTGTCGAGGTAATTTCAGTTTAAATGTTTTTACAACCAATAAGTTTCCTCATCGCATATCTCTCGGTTAGAATACTCTTACTGCCAGTGGAGCGGTGGGATGCTCGTTAAGGTGCTCGACTTTCACCCAATAAGTCCGTTCCGTTGGTCTAATTAGTGTGGAATCAAGAAAATTGTGGTGACGGAGTATCTCAGTCTAAAGTTTGGATAGTAGGACTATCTTTTAGTAACTGTATGATGATCGTCTGGGAATATCTATCAAAATCAATGTCTAAGTGCTCACTTCAATAATTTTCCGTCAGAGATAAGCACCAACCTCATACACAACAAGCTTATCAGTAATCTATTGATTAGCATCATTGCCTGGAGCACTTTCTTAACGTTTGACATTATGTCAATTCTTAGAGTAACTCCCTCCACACCTAATTTAGTGTGAGTAACAAGGCAATATCATAAGCCCTCACACCCAAGGACCTGGTGACTAAGTAAGTTTATTTATCGTTTATACTACACTGCGATCCGTACAGCTGTATCTAGGATACATATTACTTATGCAGAGTACTGTTCACTTAATACCTGAGTGCTAGTTAGAAAAGTGAGTGATAAGATACCACTTTGTTCATTTACTAGAATTAACTATCTGCTAGTTTGAAAGTTGGTCATAAAGTTCTGGTTTAGTATCGCTAAACCATACAGGACCCAAAGAGTTAGTTGAAGTTAATTATGACGTTGTAGGAGGCGAAATGTGAGTTATCATAGTAAAAGTGATTGCTACCTTAGAACTACGTAACCCACATTGTTAGGCTAACTTTTTGGAGCCAGCTTAGTTGTCGCTGGAAGTCGTACTAGTAAGGTTTTTCAATTTATTTAAGGGTATATTATTTGTTTTAAGTTAACAATGATGTATAATAAAAGGTGGGTTTTTTGTAGAATTCTATAAATAATTTGATCCTCACTGAGAAATAGCTGCAGTCGATTTGTTGTTACTTATTGGCCTGAAACTCTATCATAGATTACTGTCTTACATTCCACTGAATCATTCGCATTATGGTTCCGTATGTCTTGCAATATGGGATACTTTTGTTATATTAGTGATGTGAAACAGGCATGTTGGTAGATACAGACTACTTAGTTGAAGTCTGTGCGATGATGTCAGTCAGTAGTTTGAGAGTTTCAGCGTCATGGTTTCAGAATCAGTTCCACTGATCAAGATGCACTCACTGTTTACCTTCCCCAGATCTTAAGCTCCAACATTTCTTCATTAATACCTTTTCATTCGATCTTTCCATATCATATTCTCAGTTTTTAGTCTTTCTCATCATCGTTGCTACATTATTTTTAGTTTCTTTGGTATTAATCTTATTGAATTAATCCTGCCATGGTATGGTGGCTTATATCGAATCAGATTTGTAACAAGTTGTGAACTAATTATTACTGACTGAAGGAAAACCAGTCTTTTTATCAACGAAAACTCACTTATCTATTACCATTTTTGAGGATTTCATAGATCGTTAGGATTGGGCTATGACTAAAATGATGGTAAAATACAGACGTCTTGTAAGTTTGGGTGATTTTTTTCATATTTTCTCTTCATTTGATTTGTTGTCCGTCTTTACATTGATGATTAGCATATAATCGGGTTGTATTTTGTAGGATTCTGAAAGCCTAAATATTATGCCAAACTTCATATTAATTATATCTGAGTATCTTTGCATGGCCGATATTTTTTAATTGTACATATATGAAGACGAATATGTCATTTCATACTTATGTTATTTCCAACCATGAAATGTAAGGCTTATTTAGCATTTCTCGCCAAATAATTTGTTCTATGTATATTTTCAACTGTTATGGAATTTGTAATAATTATTTTATAACTCATTCACGTTTTTATTAGCTCCAGTTTAAGAGAGTTTTGTTAATTAGAAATGAGAAGGAATTCATTTACTAAGTACTTGTCTGTGTGCGAAGCTTTTAATCATACTGATACTGTCAGTATCAATTATACTCCCTGAGGGATCACGTCATTTATCTAAAAATCACCGAGTATCATAGTGTATTGACATATGGATAAGTTGGGTAGCCTCTGCAAATAATTTCCATATTGGTTCGCTGATTGCCGACTTAAAATATCTATTCTATGTGCTACGTATGATATCCATTATCGTTTAATGGACTGGACATGAGTGAAAATAGATAACCTAATTTTATCCTTAACCATACTATGTAAAACACAATCTACTTTATTTTAGGTTAGCACATCTGTATTTTGTCTAAAATATTCTGGTTACTTGAAACAAATATAAGACGTTCCATCTTATTTTTACTCTACTACAGAATTAGCCTCTCATATGCTTGGTAAGAAGTGTAAACTTAGTATTTATCATCTAAATGAAAGATTTGAGGAGATAAATTTCACTTGAAAATAGTCTTTGTTAAGGGCTGATAACAGTTTTTTTTAAATTTCCACTGGGCAAGAGCATGAGTGTCTGAACTAATCTCCACAATCTTCACTAATTTAAAACCACTTTAGTTCGGAAACAACAGTCCCACCAGATCTACTTCCTTACTAGTTTGTTACTTATCTTCCATGGGAAATGTATCTACCAAAGACAAAGGAAGATGGTAGTCCGGTATTGTGGATTGACTGAATCCAGACTTGTACAGTAGTGGATCACAGCTCATTGGTCTAAAAGTTAAGTGTTCGAGTTAGACCCGAGTCTCTAAGTTAGATTCCCGGTTACGGAGTCATGTATTAGCACTACTGAGGAGTCCCACATCAGGACAAAACGGCCATCCAGTGCACTCAGGCCTTTAATAGTTGTCTTAATTATATCGGTTCGGGATTCCGATGAAGTCCATCTACATCCACAACTCCATGCTGACAATTAAATTTTTGTTATCTAATTGGCTCTTGTGTTGTATGAAGACTTATAGTGATCAATAAATATTAGTTGACCAAACTAATAGAATTTCTGACGTCCGATCTATAATCGTCATAAAAGTCTTTTGAGAGTGTGTTATGCGAGAACAGACAACTTGGAAAATTTTCAAAATCATCTCACTTCAAATTTTCATGACTGTAGGAATTTTTTTTTACTGCACTCATTAATTTATTCCATATCAATAACTATAACTGATTTATCTCTTAAATGATAGGATGGTAGGATAACCTTCTTACATGAAACATTGAAGAAATAGATTAAGTGTAAACTATAAATAAATTTTGAAACATAAATTAACTCAGTGTGCGGAGTAAAACCATCTCATATGTAGTGTTTTCTCTCTGTGTGTATAACGTTTCGGATAAATATAGTCATCATACGGTTGTTTAAGTAAGAGCACAATTATAGGAACTGATTTTTAGCCTTTGATACAACAATACCTATGAATCATACATAAATTATCCGTCACTATTACAATATAGATCATAGCACATTTTCATTGTACAAAATATATCAGGATCAGTGGAAGGTTGTGGAGATTGTTGACTTTTGATTGAAATCATGAATCGATCAGTGTTATACTACTATTGATCTCAGAGTTCTAGTGAGAAGCCTTGACTAATGGAGCTAATCCGTGTCGGGTGCGAGGTAGTTACCCACCGAAGATAATGGAACCTGTTCGCTCAATCTCTTGGATTAGTTAAAGTTGGACATTAACAACTTTGGATGTCGACTCAGTGGTCTAGAGATGAAGCGTTTATGCACGAGGTCGAAGGTCCTGGGTTTGATTCCCGCATGCGGGCTCGTGGATGCGCACTTCTGAGTAGTCTCATACTAGAACGGAATAGCCGTCCAGTGCTTCCAGGTTTTCAATGGTGCTCTAATGTATCAGGATTTTTTAATATTCGAAATAACCAATTTATCAGCTTTGAACAAACTATTAAATTGTAGAAACTTTAGAATTCGAAGCCGTAGATACTGATTGAAGATTTCAAGTTAACACCAACTAATATCATGTCTGTATACAATGAAAGAAATACTAACCCTTCCTAATGTTAAGAGGTCTGAATAAAACGTCAACTAATGTATAACTATTTTTCAATAAAACATTTTCCTGTAATAGCTGAAATCATAAAAATCCAACCAATGCTTCCACCAATTGACATCTACCTCAATATATTTTGTCCAAAAAGGTAAATCAATTTATTTTAACTCATTTACTATTTCAAATATCAGTTGGTCACTTAAATTTCTAAATTTTATTTTGATTATTTTCTAAAATCATAAATGATAACGCTACTGTCATGTACCAGTCTAGAGAGGTTCAATTTATTAACAATGTATAGTGGCTTAGTTATAGTAAATTAGTATTCTCGGATGAAGAATACAATTTCTTCTTGTTGTCATGATCTATACTTACTAAAATCCAGTTGCGTTTAGACATTTGGTTAAAAAGAATGAAATAACAGAGTAATTTTGGTTTTCTGTGTATGCCGACATCAAATCCTTTCAAGATGTTTTTGATACAATTTAATGAAGTGCTTTGTTTGTGAGCGTAACTGGGTAAAGAATGAGCCGAAAACAATTTCGAATGTCAGTTCAACCTTTGAGTAACGTTAGGTTCAAACTGAAAGTTTTGTTTACTTTGCATGTGATATTGGAAAAATTGTTGTTCTATCCCATTATCTCTAATATACTGAGTAGGCTATATTCATCCATAACTGACTGCTATAGAAATATCAAGTGTATCGTGGTGCCCAAAATCCTTGATGAACCGCACAAGTTTCGTAAAACTTGGGACTCGAAATAAAATCTTTAATAAAAATAAACCGTGGATCCCCACTACTGATGAGGCGGTCATTTAATGTTTTCAGGTTTTTGATAGTTGTTTAAGCTAGATAGGTTCTTGATCTCAATACTAATTACCTGTCTACACAACCCTATCCTGATAATCATCTTAACTGTTAACCTTTTTATATGTACATACCCAACACATAAACGATCGACTTGTACTACTGAATATGACGTTAAGCATTAACAAAACGAATGAACCATTATACATCGAAATGACTCTAGTTTGTAAGTAAAATGTATTTGTCAATGAATGCGTTTGAATAGTTTGCATTTATTTATTATTATTATTTTTAATATGATTATATTTTTGCATGAGAATGTTAACTTCCTTGCTTACTAAATCGAATTTAATTGCAGTTTGTCGTAGTTTGAATTTTTATGCTGTAGCCGTTAATGAACTATGAACGTATATACGATGAACTGATATGAAGCAATCATGAGGTAGACCATTTAAATGTTAAATGACTAGTTCAGTTGTTTAAAGTTTACATCATTATTAATCTATTCGAAATTATTTAGGTTAACTATCTGAGTCAATGCAAATTGAATAGTTTTAGTCAATCAATTAATACCAAAGAATATTATGAAGATATTGAAGTGCACAAAATGGTTTCTATATAACATGAACATTATCTTCAGTTGTATTATTGATATCAGACAGAATACTCTTTATGAATTATGGTTTATTGAATTTGACGCTTGATTTTAATTTAAACTAGGTGATTGTAGGCTATAATCCACAGTTTACTTTTGAATGTTAGATGGCTAGGTATCATTATTACCCATTGGTATAAATGATAACATAATATATCATTGAGTATTGTGGCTTTGGTATTATATAATGTTCTAAAGAGTAGTGACAACCACGAAGTCTTTGTGTCAAAAAAGCTCTCATTAAGTGCTTTGTAAGATGCATTAAGGATAAACCGTATTTCTTCAAGTGAAAGTATCTTCTAAATATATGTGGTACTGTGAAAATAGTAATCACAAGACTATTTATAGTAAATAGACCTTATTTGTACAAAAGCTACACCTGGTCCAGAAGAATGATACCACTATATGCTCACTTACTGCTTACGCCTGTTAACCCTCGTAGAGGAGCATAAGCCGCTCACCAGCATTCTCCATCCAACTCCGTCCTGGACAATTCTTTCCATTGGTTTTCAGTTGCTATTAACCCTTTAGTGTTTGTCTCCGATTCCCGATGCAGTGTGTTCTTTGGCCTTCTCATCAGGATCCCAAGTCAGCGCATGCCTCGTGATGCAGTTTGATGATTTCCTCAATGTATTTCCTATCCCCTTACAACATCTTTTCCTAATTTTCGCTGTAGCTGGAAGTTGGTTTGTTTCCTACTGTAGCAGTTTGTTGCTGATGTTATCCAGTCAACGGACATCGAGTATTTTCAGTAGACAATTTTTTTAGAAATACCTGTACCGTATTGATGATGATTGTGGTAGTCCTCCAAGTTTCAGCTCCATACAGTAGAACTGTCATGACGTTCGTATTGAGGATTCTGACTTCAATATTGGTTGACAAATTTTTTTGAGTTCCATATGTTCTTCAACTGTAGGAACACTGCTCTTACTTTGCCAATCCTCCTCGTTCATCATTGATGCTTCCCAGACGCGTGAAACTTTCCACCTCTTCTAAAGTTTCTCCATCAAGTGTGATTAACTTTGTGTTCTCTGAGTTCTATTTGAAGATGTTACTTTTACCCCTGTGGTTGTTATGATATATACTTGCTCGCATGTATGGGATAGAAAGGTAAGGTCATCTTCGAAAACAAATATTCTAATTAATTCCGAGCTGTCTATTGTATTCCATGTTTTCCCTCAGATACTGAGGTCTTCATAATCCAGTCAACTACCAGAAGAAAAAAGAAGGGGGAGAGTAATCAGTCTTGTCTTATTTCGGTCCTCACTTGGAATGCATCTGTCAGCTGTCCTCCATGAACCACTTTGCACCATAGTCCGTCGTGTGAATTCCTGATGATGTTGACGATCTTCTCAGATACTCCATAGTACCGAAGAACCGTCCACAATATTCTTTTATCCACACTGTCAAACGCCTTCTCATAATCAGTGAGTTGATGTGTAGTGATGAGTTCCATTCAACTGATTGTTCAACAGTGATCCGTAGTGTCATGACTTGTTTATGCACGACCAATCCTTACGGAATCCAGCCTGCTGATCTCGAATTTCAGCGTCCACTGAAGCTTTCATCCGGTTCAGCAACACTCTGTTGAAAACGTTTGCTTGTACTAACAGTAACATGATTTCTCTGTAGTTCTCACACTTGCTCAGATCTCTTTTCTTTGTTATATTGATGAGGTTTCCTTCTTCCCAGTCTGTCGGCACTTGTTTCTCCTCCCAAATCTTCCTGAATAGAATGTGAAGCATACTTGCCGTTACTTCTATGTCTGAATTCAAAACTTTGACTGATGAATCGTCAGGTCCTGATGCTTTCTCATATCTGATTACCATCCTAATTTCTTCAATTGATACCTGTATAAACATTACTAAAATATAAGTTATTTTATTCATGCTTATGTTAAGATTAAATTATAATAAGAAAATATTAGAAATTGATTACTTAGATCATTTTAGATAGATTTTACACCCTATGTGTTTCGATATTAGTCAATTTACATTCTAGTGTTTATAGTCCGATCTCATATAAATAGTACCGAAACAGATTTGCTATTATCGTCAATATCCTAAAACAAAGAACTGTTCATGTGAACTATTTGGTTTCTAAAAAGATTTCAAACTATTCATTCACTATTAAGGATAAATTTATTGATAACTCATTTACTCTAAAGCCATAATGTTGGCTTCAAAAATAAATAACTTGAAATATCTACATAAATATTAATGAATTTATTTGAACCAATAAATTCTAATAGTTGAGATCATGAGTCAATTGAAACTAGACCATCATAGAAAACTTTGGAAGTACTGGATGGTCGTTTCGTCCTATTGCAAAACTCCTCAGCAGTGTGCATCAATTGACTCATGATCTCAACTATTAAAGTTATTATAGTATCCACAAAAACCTCTTCTGATAACAAATTTTAATTATAGATTTTGTTTTACTGTTATATTCTGTTATAAACAGGAAAATAAACCATAGTCATAGTGAATTTTTATTTAATTATTAATTTTCATACTAGATACATAGTCTTACTGATTTCTATGACAATGAAAATTATTGGAAAATGAACAAAACAGAAACAAATCAATTTTTGGAATCCAATCAAATTATTGAATCTTTTGAAAATAGTATTACTCCTAGTTTCGTTGTAAGTATTTTTTTGTTTTACAGAAATTACGACTACTAACAACTTATTCATGATCCTTGATATATATTTTTTTGAAGTAGTAAGTACATAATGCTTCATCCTTTTTTAAAACTTGTTGTCCCTTATTAGGATAATGCCCTGGTATGGCCGAGAGTGGGTAGAGTTAGCTGTCCCTCTCGAAATGCTCTTATATGGCCACGTGCATACAACCACTACCAGGGAAGTCCTACTCACTGCTTTCTTGTGGTATTACTGGTTTTTACGAAATTGAGAGGACAAAAAGCGAATGTCCAGCACATTAACCGGGTTGGTGGATACAGAGGATCCACCTAGGGGAGTCAGAAAACCCTGATTCCAAACCAATGGTACACATGGGCTCCAGTATCCTGAGGGAACAAATAACGTATGAACCAATTATTGGTCACCGGCTACCATGCGACAGCATCTCCTGACGTTGCTCCACTGCCTTGTGGATTAGATCTTTAGGTCGAAGGCTTCGTGTGTTGCTCCCTAAGAAAACCACCTGTTTCTGTTTGAGCATCCGGGAAGTATCTCAGCCCTCACATTAATCGAATGATTTATGTCTCGCCTATCTGCTTGGTACCTCCTAGTACCAATGTTTACGTGTTTCAATAAATAAATAAATTTGTAAACTTGAATATTTGGTTACCTCTCCGAATGGATTTTAAATTTTATTATTTATTTCTGTAGTATTATCAATGATAGTGTCATTGACTTGATTTTTAAAGTTTTGGATGATCATGTTGGAGGACATGTTTAGGTTTAATCAAGCTTATTTATACAAACTCAAGATTATTAAGTCCTGAGAAGTGATTTAAAATTGGGAAGATCGTTATTACCACTAGTTGAGTTCAGTTTTCTCATATAATTATATTTGAAAAAGACAGGTTAGAATTTTGTTCGTTTAAAAGTATCTAATTGACTAGATTTATTTAAATCCCTTAAAAGATCTCATGTGAACTTTCGATATTTGTAAAATTATTTTATCATTAAAATTTTATTGATTTTAAAGGGAACTATTAAGTTTCTTTAAAAATTCAGCTTAATCAATTCATCCAAAATGATAAACAAATTTGTTAACAATAAACTAAACCCATAATATAAATAGATTGTAGCTAACAGTGAAATTCAAGATGTGTCTTTTGTCTTATTTGGGACTTGTTAGCTGAATGCTCTGAACTATAGTAATTATTTTCATATTGTTACTTGAACCCATTAACTTTGATTCTAAAGACTAATGCGTTCTCCCCTGAGTTAATAAATCTAAATAACCGCTGACTTATTTATGTGATATGATGATATCTCCTCATTTATGACAGTACTCTTAGTCCATTTTCATTTTGATTGATTGTGTGTGCTTTGTCATCTTGAAACAAATCACTGGTGAGCTATTATTTTTTCATTGAAAGGGTTTTGTAGGGATAGATTTAATTTGTAGGTTGTGTGTTACAGATTGAGTAGATACGTTCATGAAATGTCAACTTCATATCAGGTCAACAAAATGTCGCTCATTAAAAAATGAGTAATCTTGTACTTGACATCAAAGAGGGAGAGAAGAGTGAGCAGTTCTTTAAATTCCCGAATGAAAACAAAATAATTAATCCTTGATTCTTAATAATTTTTCAGTTAATAATAAGTAATACTTCAAGTTTCAATAACTCAGTAAACCATATTTTGGTTCAATTAATTGTTTTTCTGAACAATTCTTGAAAAAAGTCTTCTTTCTGTCTTTCTGCTCCACAGACAACATCAGATTGTCCAACATGCCGTCGACTTTTAGGGTGTAGTTCACGAGTTCATAGTCATCAAACTAATAGAAATTCTAAAGTCGATCAGATTGATAACAATGAAAATGATGACAATGATGAAGATGATTACAATGAATCTGAAACAACAGGAATGACCAATGATTCTAATAATGATGACGATGATGATGGGGAAGATGAGGATGACGATTTCGGGAATTATCTAGGTGAGAAAATTTCTGAGTCAAAGATTAAATCAACATTTAGACATATGCGTAAATTAGAAGAGTCTAAAGATAATGATGATAATGGTGATATCGACAACAACACTGAGTATAATGAGTGTTTGTCAATATGCGCTTATAGGCATGGAAAAAAATTAGATTTAAGACATACCCCTAATTTAGAAGATGATAGTAAAGGAGAAGAAGATGAAGATCAATTAAAGGAATCAACGACAGAAAACAAACTTGTACAAAATGAAAATAAAAAACAACTTCCTAATCTTAAAAACATACCTGAAATACATAAAAACAAATTAGAAGCTGATGTAAAAGCTTTGAATGAAAAACTGCAAATAAGTAAAGATCATCTTGTAAAACATAATGAACCAAAAAGTGAAAAGATTACAAAAGTACAAAATACTGATGAATTAGACGATATTGATGAAGACGATAATGATGATAGTAATGATGATGATAATAATGATTATAAAGATGATATTGATGTTGATCAAGATGATGAGGATGAAAAGTTTGTAGATAATTACAGCAATGATAATGACAAACAGGACACCATAAAAGTATTAAAGCCAGGCTGCAAAAAATCTATTCAAAAGGGTCAACTATCAATAGATGATAATACGAATAAGAAACTGAGTAATAATGATGTTGAAGACTATGATTACGATGACAGCAATGATGATGATAATAATGATAATGATGATGAAGATATTGATGAAGTTGGTGAAGATAATGAAAATGATAATCATGATGTAAACAGTCAATCAAATGATGTTCCATCTAAAGGAAAAGATTTTAATATCGACCAGCATAAAAATATAAAAACAACAGTTGACCAATATGAAGATGACGAATATGATGAAACTGATGATGATTTTGATCCAGATAATGATATTGAAGAAGAAAGTGAAGATGATCAACCAGAAGATTTAGATTTGGAAATATCACCTGAAGAAGGTTATGAAGATGTTGATGATCCTGATTACAGTGATTGGATAGAGGCTGATGAAGAATTAAATCCTAATTGGCCTGGTAAGCTTAGTCAAAATGTGGAATATGGAATGATAATAGTACTGATGATAGTTGTAGTAGATATATTCTAGTTTCCTTCCAAATTCATCTAACATATATGTGCACGTTGATTATCTATAATCTTCTCATTCTAAACGCTCGCTTACTAACAAGTACTCAAGCAAACAATTAAACATGTACACAATTGTACATAAAATTTTCCAATTATCAGTGTTTTACAAACAAAGGATTGTGAATTCAACATATAATGGGATGCATGCTGGTCAATTATAACAATTAGATTACCTTATTCATTACAGATGCTTGAAAACGTTTGTTTGTTTTTTTTCAAAAGAAGATTTCATCAAATTAGCTGGAAGTATATAATGAGATTCTGATTGATAGAAACATGATTTAATCAAAAAAATTTTCTTGCCTGTTTAGGATTCCTTCGCGAAGAAATCTCTAAACAGTTCTTTATTTCTACCTTAGTATTGACAATGTTTATTTGAATATATATATTCCACTGTATAGTTTGATTATTTAATACTGTATTACATTGATATTTAGACGGGTATGTAATTTTTAGTCTAGTGAGTGCAAACCAAGAATGTATTTGTGTTTGCATATATATATAGGTATATAACAAATTTAGTTATTCTAACCAAACACATTCATATCACAGAAATATATCAAAGGTACTGATCATTTTTCTTCCCCATCCATCTATATGTATATTATTGTAATTTATTCATGTCACTTAATGTTTAACAAATAATCTAATGCCATTAATTTGAATAATTTAAAGCACCCTCCACTTGAATTATGTTCCAACTTCATAAAAATAACAATATGATAAAGAAATCTACTTAATAATAGATAACTGAATTATTTATTGAACACTTAGAATTAATTTTAATTGGAAACTTTATCATTGTATTGAGATGATCCCTATTCAAATTTCAGGCCTTATAATTCTGTATTTTCTGTAAATGAATAATGTTTATCAGAATTTCCTTCAAATAATATATCCGAAGCTAAATATAGTGCTTAATGTCAAAGTATTTTATCTATTGATCCTGATTCATTCTTCAACCAATAAATTTCTCTATTACTTTATAGGTGTTTATATTCTCTCGTCGATATTAAGGATTGAAATTGTCTAGTCACTTTTGACGCATATGCATCTAAAGTTGATTATCTTGATATTTCCAGATATTTTCCCAGGTATTTTAGTAAGGGTAAGTAGAAGCTATCAGAGAAATCAATGACGGGCATTTCTTCATTTTTAAGACTCTACCACTTGTGAACATTAGTATTGAAAGGCAAGCATATCTAAATATCACAAATAGAACAAAATCCTTATCGAGGATTCGAAAACTTGTCAATATCCAATGGTTAAATTAAACGATATACTATCCTTACATTTTATATTTGCAGGCGTTTATTTAACTATATTTCCCAAATATCATATTTCTCTGATATATATTCAAATGATTTGGTTATTACATCATTGTTATAATTAAACTGCTTATTACAGTTAAAAAAAGTTAAACTTTTTAATAAACCATGATAGTTTTTATGCTAATTTTCTGTGTAATTTGAATCCAGGTGTAAGGAAATTAATGGCCGTTAAAACAACAACTCCTACTGCTTCATCTAAATCGAAATCTCACTTGGAAACGGCTACTGGACATACAAAGAATAAGAAAGTTCCATCAAAAACGGCAACACATGTAAAGACCATTTCTAAAACATCATCCAAATTATCCGAAAGTTCTAAAACAAAACAATCCAAAGATAAACCTTCTACTCATCATCAACAAAATCAACCAGACAAGTTAAAATCTTCCACATTAGCGTCATCAAAGCATGCAGAAGATCATCACTCAAAGAAGGCAGCTCATAAAACTGTTCCGTCACAAGATAAATCAAAAACATCAGTTCCAACAAATACAAACTCTAAATCACCTCCACAAAAATCGAAACCAGTACGAGTTATTGGAAATATAAACGATCATGACTGTGATGGTATACCAGATGATATTGATGAAGATATTGATAATGACGGTCTTTTGGACAGAACACAAGATTCCGATTGGGATGGATTATTGAATCATGTTGATGAAGATGATGATAATGATGGTATGAAAGTGTTTGCCATTTTTTATTAAATTCTTAAACAATTTTTGTCTTTCTAATCCTGATTTTTTATAAATATACCGTTGAGAAATTGATGACTGCGTGATTAAAACAGTCACATTTTAAAGGTTGACTTAATATTTTATTATTATTCTAAAACTCTGTTGGATTTAAAACATTTTAGTGTTTACTTTCTTCACTAAAGGTATCCCTGATATTGAAGATGAAGATGCTAATGGTGATGGAATACCAGACTGTCGTTCTGATGTTTCCGACTTAAAACTAAAAGTAAGATACAAGAAGAAAATGCGTAAAGTTGACAGCGACTTCGACGGTGTTCCAGATGATGTTGACGGAGATGATGATAACGATGGCATTCCAGATATTATGGAAGATGAGGACAAAGATCAAATTCCTGACTTTTTAGGACTTACTCGTGCTGATTGTAAGTGAAATGTGTTGACTGTTTAAAACATTAATATGTGAAATTTTAATAAACAATGCGCTAATATTCTAATAAAATCCTATTCCACCGTTACATAATCATGAATTAAACGAATCATTGACACAACCTTTATCATGTTCATTAAACTTACTATAAAACAATTCCAAATAAGACAACATTAATGTTCATAATAATTTTTAAATACGGGATTCGAAATTAGTCGATTTTATGCAAATCTGTTTACTAAGGCTAGGTGTGTCTACACGGCTTTGATGCACATTTTAATCTGGTGAAGGTTACTAATGCCTAACCAAATTCGATGGAGCAAGGATTAAGTTATTTATTGAAAGTGGAGTGCTCTTGTTCATAAAACCATAGCTGAGAAAGTAAATTCAATAATAGATTTTGAATACATTCTCATGGGTTTAATTCATTAACTGATATGAATGATTCATGACCAAATTTTTCATGCTGTACTAAACTATGTACGAGGAAATTAATGGACTAATTTAATTCAGTATATGAATAAATAAACTTTCTGTCATCTTTAAGCAATTTGACTGTTAATAATTCGACTTGAAAATACTTGTCATTATAAATCATTGTTGCTTTTAAATTAAACAAAGATCTTCTTAGTTGACTAGTACTGAGATCAGGGAGTGTAATGCACACTTAAATGAATATACTACGGCATTGTGAATTATATAATGCTATACTAAGCCAGTTACTGTCAACTTAGTAGGCTCCAATCGGTCAGTCGATAGAATTTATCACATTTAATACGGTATCATGTTCTCAATCTTCAACATTTCGAGTGATAAAATTAAGAGGTTAATGTAAAAATTATTCATTATTATTTAAATGGCAAAAATTATTTAGCTACATGGTACCTAACAAAGAAAATGGGGGATGTTCACTCAAAATCACGAGTTGATTGAAGTAGGACTTGTACAGTATTGGATCCTTGCCCAGAGGTTTAGAGGTTATGCATATGCGTGCAAGACTAAAGATCCTGAACTGGATACCCGGCTACAGTGTCTTGATTACTTACTACTAAGGAGTCCTATAATAGGACGGAACGGACATCTAGTGACTTCCAATCATTGTCTAACTTGAATCGGTTCTTGATCTCAGTAATATTCAACGATCTCCATAATCCTCTTACTGTCTAATGAACAGTCCATTAAAACCACAATTACAATGTACTTCTTATCAACTATGATTGGATTACAAGATTTCTAATAGTTGTAAATTTATGGTATTTTTGTGAAGATAAGAAGATATGCGTGAAAAAGAAACTACATACTAATAGGTAGCTTTCTGATAATTTCCCAAAACTTATAAACATATCCTAAATACATGGATTTATTAAAATAAATTCAACCAATTTTTAAACATCCAAGTCGTTGTCATTCACTTGTAAGGGTTGTTTGACTCTTCCTGATGTTAATTTTTAAACAACCGTTACAAATGAATTACAATTCGTCCCCGTTACACAACTTAGTAGATCTTAGTAACTATGCGAATTATACGTTAGGTGTTTGAGGCATACAACTCTAGATTTCAGTCACCTTGTAAACCTAAACACTGGTGTACAAGTACATCCAGTTGACAATTTCCAGATAAAACTAAACGCATATCTTGAATTCTACTGCTAGTCACTATCATACTTTACTGAAAAATTTAACTAGTTATAATGGCTAGTCTTATAGATAATTAGGTTTTTGCTTTTAACCTTATTGTTAGTTCTACATTTTTGGTCATCCTTTTTTTCATATACGGTTTACATAAATCATGATCGATAAAGTTATATTTCATATGCGATAAGAGGAAAATAAACTTTAGTTCATATTACATAAATATCATTCTTTTGCACTTATGGTGTAGCATAATGTTGATGCAATAACACACAAATTCACTTGAATACACGTACCTATATATATATTTGTTATACAATTCATACCCCAGTTTAGTACTGAAAGTAGAACACATTCTACTTTTTTTTATATTGATATAATAGATGAATAGAAGTTGCAAATACATATAAGCACTTAGCATATTTCACTAAATAACCTTGAATTAATATTTGCTTATGATTGGCTGAAATCAAAAAGTGGGAAAAATAGTGACATAAAACACCATCATTATGGTTTATTTTTATCTTGTCAATAGTTATGTGTACATTTTTTGTAAAAAAATCAACAGTCAACTTTAAACAGAATACATTAAAAAAAATGTGTGTAATAATGAACTAAGGTGAAATTTTGATATTGTCAAAGAAAAAAAACTGTACTCTCAGTTATCTAATAATTGTTGACTTAAAAATAGTATTAGATATCCACAAAATATATAACTTCACTGGTTGAAATCATGAGTCAATTGAAGCTAGACCACCATGGAAAACCTAGAAGCACTGGATGGTCGTTTCGTCCTAGTATGGGACTCCTCAGCAGTGCGCATCCACTATCCTGCCCCCCGCAGGATTTGAAACCAGGACTTATCAGTCTCGTGCCAGGCGCTTTACCAGCTGGACCACTGAGCCGGCATCCAACGGTTTTAATATCTAGCTTCAACCAATCCACGAAGTTGCGTCACCGTACACCATTGTCTTCAGTGAGTTGATATCTCACAACAGACCTGGTTGAACTCTACTGGTAACAACTTCTCACTTGAACTCCAGGAGTATCTCTTGAAGTCAGTCACTATTGAGCAGATGATTATTATCAGAAAATATATAACTGAAATTAGTGTATAAAAGTGTATTCTTTCTCCTTTAACATTTAATGTATAGATAAATTATGAACGAAACTATTAAACAGTTTTTTTCTGTTGATCAATGTAACTTTTAGTGATTTGAAAGAAAGATGATGAAAATTTGACAGTTAAACATAAATGAAATGGAATATTTTAACGTTTAATTGAATATTGTTTAGTCTACTGTTTAAATCAAGTAGATTGAAGACATCAAGGAGAAAAATTCTATTTGTAAAAATTTCAATGATTAAATCTAAATATTGTTTAGTGATTTGAACTTTTCTAAGAAAATATAATCAAACATCCTTTTTAATGTGTTACATTAACTCGGTTCCCAGCTACTGTAAATCAATTTGGTCGAATTTAGACAAAAGTTCCAATAAATCGATTTAAGTTTAAAGTATAGTCAAAGCTTTGGGTCACTGGTTTGAACCCAGTGTTCACCTTCTTTATTTTGGAAAATTTTATAGTATCAATAATTGTTACATTTAATCTACTGCAGCAAACCATAAAAATGAAACCATATTTGGTTAATGAATAAGCTACTGTCAGATAGATAGTAACCCACTGATGACAATGGTGGGTTCGTGGGTGCGCACTACTGAGGAGTCCCACAATATGATGAAACGGCCGTCCAGTGCTTCCAGGTTTACATGGTCGTCTAGCTTCAAATGACTCATGATCTCAACAATCGGAAGGTTAAGTTTAACTATTACGATGAACTTTGGCGGCCGATAAAATGACCTTGAAATGATTTTCACTACTTCTAGCCTACCAAATAACAGTTGATTTGAATGTGCAATTTACAATGCAAAATCTGGTGAATATCACAATATACATTAATTTTGCATAAGTAATAAACATTTATGAACTCCCCATTAGTTCTTTTGTCCTAAATATGGTAAAGAAAATCAACCGTATCACTCCAAAATATCTTTACTAAGGAGCTTTTTTGTGTCGTAAATAGTTTTCTAAATAGCTTCAACCTTTTAGGCATATACTGCTGGAAGAACCTAACTACCATTTACTAGACAACTATACTGTAGATTATTTCTGCACATCTTTCAGAGAAATTGTAGTTTCTGCTATCCAATCCACAACAAGAAACGTTGAATGGCAAAACATGTAATCGATTCTGACCAGCTTTTAATTTGGTAGTAGATATTGCAATCAAATATCACATTATCTTGTACTTCCCTGCACTTAATTGAAGGCTTTCTTGCTAAGTGTACATTTAACAGAGTTGTTATCGTTCATTACTTTTGATTTGTTATCTTTCAAACATATTCGAGCATTAAAGTAAAAATATTTGAATTCACGTCTAGTACTTTTTAAATTACAGCGTAACTTTTGAAAATTTAGATTGGATTATTTTCAGGTTTTATTCTTCACAAATTTATCTCAGTTAAGGTACTACTTTAAACCAGGAAGTAGTGGATAGCTACTTCACCCTAATATACGACGCCCGGGAAGTGGACACACAAGACCCCATCAGAGACTGAACTCAAAACCTTCAGCTCTCGAGGGGAGCGTTTAACCATTAGAACCACTGAATCAGAATTTAATGGTATAATTATAACTTTAATTAATTTGCGATATGCTCTAACGATTAATTAGTGTCATTAGTGACATGTCTGAAATCTGAATTCTAATGAGAAGTCATAATTCAAACTCTTTTTGCGTTTTAAATATGAATTCGTCAATTAATGTTATCACATATATTGAAATTACCTCATAAAGATAATATCTTTGTTTTAATTTTTACGACTTCAAACATTATTTTCAGTTTTAAAGGGTGTCAGTACTAAAGAATTAAACAGACGAATGAATAAACGTGGTTGGTTTGATCATGACTGTGATGGTATTCCAGATAATCTCGATCCAGATGATGATAACGATGGGTATTTCGATTCAAAACAAGTAAGTTTGAATGAGACTTATGGTTTACATGTTCTTTTGTATGCTTCTGTTATAACGGAGGAAAATTGTGTATTAGTCTATATGTCTTCCATACCTTCTGGATTTATGCAAATACAGCTGTTGAGTTATGTTTTATCACAGAGATAGATTTATTGGCTTGTAGTCCTCAAAGAACAGATATCAAAAGTTACGACAACTAGTCAATAAAAGTAGTCATTTGAAAAATAAGATGACCTTTATGTACCAATAATATTTAACCCATAAATGAACATGATTAAATATCATTTATTCCACTGTGAACATAAACACTACGATCCAGGTATATCCAGCTGTTGAACCTACTAAGCAAAACCCATATTTTCTAGACAATTAATTTTTGGTAATAAGCTCAGTAATAAAAAATTCATGTCAACTCAAGCATATTCATCAGAATGACATAAAAACATTGAAAATTTGAGTATAGTAGATAGTTCTTTTGTCTATGTTTGAAAATATTTCAACTCTATGATGTAAATGTAAGAAAGTATTCATAAAATTGTTTATCATCGGATCTAACAGTATACTGACCATCTTGAAAAAAAGTAATATTTCATATTCACTTAGAATTACTAAATGAAATAAGTATTCATTCTTTATATATAACTTAGGGTCACTATAAATAAATTAAAACATTTGTAATATCCCAATGAGTAGAAAAATGAGATTTTCTGACGTTTCGTAACTCAATATAAGCCACTTCTTCGGAGAATAAATAATCATTATTTATTCTCTGAAGAAGTGGCTTGATTGTTAGATCCCTTTCAAGATCTTAAATAAACACAACTAAAGTGTTTTACATTTTCAGATTAAAGATCTGTTCAATATTAATTGATTTTCAATGGTATTACAAATGAGGCCGATCTGTAATGAAAATCATCGAGCCGTTAGAACAAACACGATAGAATCATTCCATTATAAGAATTAATACAGATAATTTCTTATCATTTTTTCGTATGACTATATCGTTTATAATTGTTTAACACTATTTTCTAGTTGCTTGTCTAATCTCTACCTTTCATATCAGAAACCGTTTATGCATAAATTTAGGAAATTTCCTTTCAAACCTAGAAAGCATATAAGTAAGACAAATTTATTGGTCATGATTTTCACTACACGTTCAGATTATGCTGATCACTTAAAATGAAGTTGTATAGTGCTAATAGAAACCTCAAATAATTTAAAAGGAACATTAAAAAATACCTTAAGGGAGAGAACATGATAGTTCGTTTTATGGTGTATGTTACTGATGTCGATAGATATAAGTAGTATACTGCACCAGTCGAAAGTGAAATGCATGGCGGCAGAAAGTTAAGGAGATTGAAGAGAAGAGAATGAGAACAGAAAGTAGTTGATGTGGAAACGAAGGAACAATCAAGTCTGATGCAATTAATGGACATTTTTCAAATGAAGTATTAACTGTATGGTTCTCAGATTTTACTAAGAGATCCTATGATTGTGTGTTCACCTTCGATTGTCCCCACTTGTGGTCTCATTCACTACACTTTTATCCCACTGGATTCCCATCAACTAGTGGTTAAAATTTGTGATATTTTAAAAAATCAACATTCCATATAAAATTAGGCATATTTATAGAAATCCAATTAGTTAGTAAGTGATGTGAACACAGAATAATGTAGTGTATATATACAATGAAGTCATAAAGTGATCTTAGCTAGACCACCAGGAGCTAAGGAATCCTATACTGGGATGAAGTAGGTGTCTTGTACTTCGAGGTTTTCAATGGTGGTCTAGTTAAAATCGATTGCTGATTTCAACTGTGACTATTGTATGATACACAAATCTCACCTAAAACATATCAATGAATTCTGACAAATATAATATGTATGTCTTATGTGTAATTTATGATACCATTACATTCACTTATTCAAATAAATAAATATCGAAACAATGTGAGAATGGAAACGACCATCTTTTTCATGTGACACTTACTATAGTTATCAATGTGATACCAATATATATCATTAACAGAAACATCACAATGAATATCATATCTAATTAACTAAATAATTTAAACAATGAAAGTACAAAATAAAAGGAACTAGATCTACTCGAATTTATTATCATTAATCTTCTGGTTACTCCTATTACAATCATACTATCAAGAGATAGATTTATTTAAAAACTGTTTTTCTTTCCTGAAGAACAGAAAACTTAATTTTTATTTTATGTGAATTAGTTAGTCTATCATCACGTAGTTGATTAGTTAGTTAGCTAGAAGGAGAGAGAACTAAATGGATAGATAATTCACTATTTATCTATACACAATCCTTTCCTATTTCTTTCCTGATTAACAACTATAAATTTTTTGGATAGTCATTTGGGCATAATATGAATACATTATTGTGTGTACACGTTCTTCCTGTTGAACTAGAGACAAATTATCACACACGATCACTCATACACACATACACACACAAACCCATATTTCTGAAAACTAGAATACATTTATTATCATGGAATAGAATACATGGTATTATGTGTGTTGATTTGAAAACAGTTACGCTTTTGTTCAACGTGATTATGTTCAATTCTGCTAAAGTGAAATTGTTTAAATCGGCAAAGTTCATCTGTCCATTACTTTTTCTGTCTTTAATCTATTAGGATAAACAAAAAAATACATTTGAAATGAAAATTGACCATTTAATATATATAAGAGAAGTTTAATTAAATCCTTGTAATAGTTCATATTTCTTTTTAAAGATTAGACTTCAAAGACTAATACTTTACCACTATGCAAAGATGTGTGTTTATCATAAAATCTCTGATTAGATTGGTAAAATGATACAGATTTATTACGTGCTCTACTTGTTTAATGCAAAATACGATATACAACTAACGGCACTCGAACGTATAGAACCCTACAATAGTAAATCAAAAGACGGAAGAAGACAAAAGTGATTGTTTGGTAATAATCAAAAATGTACAGAAAATACATGTATCTATAGTTATTAGCGTCGGTTATAACAACATCAGCCAATCCGCAAAGAGGCAAGTTATGCTACCATCCTATCACAGCATGCTACGTCGATATTCTAGAAAGCTCCATCCTCTTCTGATTGGACAGAAACTCTTTGGCACCTTTAGGGCCCCTAAAGGCTCTGTCTTGCTTCTCGAAGGCCGCCCCAACAAGATTTAAATCTTGAAAAATGTAACAATGTTTTCTCACAGAAGTTAGACGTAAAACTGTTATGAATTTTCCAGAAATTTCATCAGGTTTTAACTGTCAACAAGACTGCTGTTCATATGACATGATTTATTTTTTAAACTACAGAATATTGTCAACTCTAATTTTCTTGGTCTCATGCATTCTTCAAATACATGAAATAACCTAGGACTTTTATTATAACTACAATGCTTCAAATTACCAATCTTATTAAGGGTAGTGAAATATGTAGAATGTAATTTTTAGCATATTTGGTCAGCAAATGAAGTACCCTATGTAAGAATCAGAGGTGATTGGTGTACACGGTTGAAAACAGAATAAAATTAGTATTGCGTGAAACCTAGTAAGATTACAGAGAATTTCCTACGTCCAAAACTCAAATTGAAACTCAATCAAGTTGATCGAGTCTTGCAAATTAAGAAAGAAATATAAAATGAATATAAATTTGATATGAAAAAAGAAGCTGTTCACAGTATCAGAATGTAAAATATATAAATAGTAAAACACAAACATTTTATCCAAGATATGATGATAGATTTTGGACCCATTTTGTCTAGGACCTTTACTGACAACTAGTTTATTTTGAATCGCCCTCTTAAGGCACGGAGTATCCGAATACTCCCTAGACCAATACTCACTCGTTTCATGAACATGTGTAACACATGTCAGAGTAATTTTAGTCATTGAGATTTCACAGTCTCATCAAGTGACATAGGATTTCTGCCTACCCTTAACTTTAATGGTACTCACTGGGTGGTTTCATCATTATGATTGAATACTAACAACCTACATTTAAAAGGTGGGTTTCACAGTATACTTGTCTTCTGATAGAAAAATAAATATAGACGATACAGGCTGACTAAAAACAGACAATATTCTTGTGTCTAATCAAACATATAAATATGAAAAACCTAGTTAGAAATACATTTTTTCGTTCAAAAAATGTCAATAACAAAAAACAGTAGTAACAACAGTGTATTAAATCTCTTACTTTAAACATTGTTCTCTCTCCTATACACACACTATGATTTACAAGCTAAAAGAATGTCCAAACTGTACACAACTGATATAATTCTCTTATAATTTCCCTCCTTTTTCTAACCTTTCTAATATTTCCTTATATGGTTTTAATCCTGAACCAATCATATAGTTATTGTAATTGTGCCGGACACTGATCTTTTAAAGAATTGCTTCGTACATCAATTCTGTGTTTCCCTCATGTTAATGACATAAACCAATATTGTCCTTAGAAATTATGTAATACCATGACCATCAGTAGTGGCAACAAGAATGTCATTCAGCATAGGAATATGAATGGTGTGTTCTGCTTTTATTGATTACTCTATTTTCATCATTTATATCGATAAATTGAATAACATTCAGTTAGTCATAAGCAACATATAACCTGGTTAATCTATGTATCGATATAAATATTAATAGTAACGGTGTTAGTGTTAGTAGAAAAGATTAGGTATAGATGTTATTTGAGAATAAAATATGGACTCTTGGAATAATAAGAGTTCTGGGATAGCTAAAAAAATTTAGAATCTACGAGAAAATAAAGCTCATATGCGCTTGCGTTGTTGTAAATGATTCTGAATTATGTTACCCAAAGCCTTCAACCACCGGTTATTGTAATTTGGTGGACCCAATCAGATAGTTTGAAACTACCCGCACGAATCAGTCCAACTGACGATGACGCCAATGCCTGATGCCATATTTTGGTTGAACTGCTTCTATCTCACTTTCAACCTGCTTCTACACGAGCCATCATTGTCCATCGTGGTGGGCTGTGGTTGGGCACACAAATTGCATGTACCGACATCATCAGTATAATTCCCATTTTTATCTGTTACCCTTCGTCTAACCTCAACATTGCTATAGTTTGATGGTATCTATGAATAAGCGATAGCAATCTAGTACTCTCCTGCAATTTTAAAGGCTAAGTATCACAGATATGGTGGAGTGCTAGAAAGTAATTTTATTACCAAAAAAATCAAAAGAATTGGTAAAATGTTTTGTTCGAAGATAATCATTCGTGAACAGTATTGCAATATCTAGCATTTTCAAGCATTTTTCCGCCCATTTAGTTGGTCACTATTGCATATAAGGACCTAATTTTCACTGAGGATTTCACCTTAATCATCTAAAGTCATCTATCGATGCCTTCTATGAAAAGGACGTTGTATTACATGCCGAATCCTCATATGAAAAAGCAAATAGAGTGATAGTTACGACTTGAAACGAAATCACCGATGAGAAATTATTCTTTAATATGCAGCATCTACTCATTACATGAAAGGATAAACAATCAATTCATTATTTTCGGGAAATGTCTATCAGTAATGTATCGGAAATACTTCAATTCAAAGTATTAAATCACTCTAAACGTCCTATTCGATATATTCGTTAGTACCAAATGTATCTAAGTAATTATCGTCGTTAGGAGGACGAAGTGTTGATCAGCAGCTTTGATTGTTATACAATTAACATATCTCATTGTAAATCATATAGCATAATTTTTACGTGTATTTATAATGTTACTAGGTAACTGGTATAAAATAAGTTATTTCAGTCATTCACAATTAATTAATTCAACTATGTGTTTAATGGATTCAATTGAAATAGTTAAGACTTGTTGAAAACTGATTAATATGATTTTTCATCAATGAATTAATCAATGCTTAAGCATAAAATATATGATGAATCATTTGTGTTGTGTATGACCTTATTCCTTTATATGTAATACCCTTTAATTTTCAGGATAGTGATCGTGATGGTATCCTGAATGAATTCGATGATGACGATGATAATGATGGAATACCAGACAGCGAAGATCTTGATTCCAATGGAGACGGTACACCTGATTGTATTGTTAAGGTAAGAATGAGTATGTAAACGATTCTATGTTATTTATAAGTGTTCACTACTGTAACTGAAAATGATGTCTGCTTTTAGAGGTAAACCTTAGCCCTTACATAACCTTCCTTATTACTTCATGTTTTGATATACAAAGAGAGAGAAGTTAAATAAACAACCGATTATTCCTTCCGTAATTTTTCTAAAATCAAACTGAAATCATTCACTGTAAAAGCTTTTATTTTATGTAGTTTTTCCAATTGCATACAAATTTTCAAACTAATAAATTATATCAGAAGGGGTTATGTGGAGATTGTAATAATTTCAATAGTTGGGATCATGAGTCGATTAAAGTTAGACCACTATGGAAAATCGGCTCAGTGGTATAGATGTTAAGCGTTCGCGCGCGAAACCGAAGGTTCTAGATCCAAGTTCCGCGAGCGCGATAGTGGATGGGTAATAATGAGGAGTCCCATACTTGGAGTTATTTTAAATGTTTTGGATGTATTCAAGCGAGTAGATGATTAATAAAACGATAAGTTTAATAATTTTAAAACCTTTGGGTAAGAATATACCTTTTATCGCCTAACGAAGAATAAATGGATAGCAACTGCTGGGAATTATTTATGGACTGTTATTACATATATTCTTATTTGATAATTATTAGGTAACTAGACTACAAATATATATTCTTATTACTGTTATCATAAGCTTACGTTTTACCTATTGTCTAGGATTATGCGATTTACCATTATTAACTTACTTCCAATCTATTAGTTACAGTCTGTTATACTGGCAGCCGCCTTTGGCTTGATCTTGTTTAATTGTTATTCACTATTTTATGGTGTGATGAGGTCCGATTTGCTTATAAATAGACCATATATGTCTGAAATACATGATTCATACACTGGAGGCTGAGATTGTTTTCTGGACTCAACGGGCAGGGCTAGGCGAGAAGGACCGATAACGATTTAAAGTTGACTACTCTAGGTTGATCGTGCTGATTAACGAATCATCGGTTTAGCGCAAGAATAATGTCATATAAGTCAGTATTAGGACTGGCGATTTTTCCACATGATAATTAATAGTGCAAAAGTCATAACACACCTAATACGTTATCTAGAATGCTGCTACATATCTTTAGGCTGTCAAATTTAATTATACACATTTCATAATCCATCTTGTGAAAATTGCCTAGATAAACATAAAAATGAAACTGATATTATGTTCTTTCAACCTAACACACTAAATAATATCGTTGTAAAAAATACAACCAACCTGTTGTAGATATTACTGTCATGAAGATAATTGTAATTTAAACTGTTCGATAAAATACTATGATAAAGTATCTATTCACTTTTTTATTCAGATTCTTTAGTAAATGCTTATGATCAGACTACAATTAATGAACAAGTTAATCAGATATAATATAGATCAGCAAAATTCATTCATTCACTTAACTAAATAGCGTTCCGGCATTTGAGCCTATGTCAATTTAAGATAAGAACCCTAAACTTAACTTTTAATATTAATTTCTCGCCCTAATTCAGATCTTTGTTATAAACCTAGAAAACGGTTGGAGTTTATAAAGATCATTTTAGTTTTACTCAATGGTCATCTATAATTTATGTCTCACTGAAATTACTATTCTTCAATAATCTGAACTACCTCAATAATGAATATCTTCGATTTCAGTGTCAGCTTTTATAATGAGTAACGTGTGATCAACTAACGGAAACACAATAACTTAGATGATATTTTGTAACCTCAGTTAGCTAGCTAGATAATACTGTCGTTCTTCAGTTTTTAAACCATAAATTGTGTTGCAACTAGTGGAATAAGTACTTTGCTCAAACTGAAATTGAGCAGGTTTCGAACTCTGTAGCTAAAAACGAAGCACTTGAATAACTTACTTTACTATTATTCCACACATCACACTCCAGTATCGATAATTCCTTTGAAACATGATAATTTTTAATTTATCCACAACATTCTAATTGTCAAATGTTTATTTTAAGTTCATAGAGGCTTAAATTTAGAATTGTAAAAGTTGGCGATAACTTAATCTTCTCGTGAACATGTAAAAAGTTATTTAAGATAAATGTTCTTTTTCTTATATCATCAATTCTTTGATCAAGCTCATACTATCCAATAAAATCTAAGCTAATCGTATAGTGACCCTAATAACTCAACAAAAATAACATTGCAAGCAATTAGGACAATATTGATCAACAGAAGTTCCTTTGAATCTATATATATTATACAGCATCCTGTGTAATTATTCATTTTAATTGTTAACCTATTGATTCTCTAATTGGAATATTATTGACTTGTACATAAATGTTGGAATAGATGTAGTACATCAACCAACAAAATCATTTCAATCATTTCTACGCAAACCAAAGGATTTAATGACAAAAGGAGGAAAATCGAACATCATCAATTGTTTCAACAGCAAAAAAACACTACATCGGACAAAGTGGACGACTCCATTTTCGCCTACAGGAATATCAATTAGCTGTCAAACACTATGACATATCTTCGCTTATATCAATGCATGTGGACAATTGTGGATACATAGTCGACTGGAAAAATGTTGAGACCTTGGATCTAAAAACGTCAGAGAATTTTTAGAAGCTTGGCAATCAGGTCAATCAACAATGAACGAACACATTGAAATCGACCCAATTGATCAACCAATAAGAAAGAATTATGGATGAATATTGGACTAAAAATCAAATCAATAATGGGAGATACAATCAAACTAAAAAAAGGAATCAATAACAGGTTAAAGGTCAACAATAACTAATCAAGATCGATACCAAGAGGACAAGCTGTGAGCTATATGTGGAGAAATTGAAACACTTCACTTCTACTTAAAATTTGTGCTGATGATGTTGTTCAGAATAATAATGAAAGCTTCACGACTAAACCATCTATTTCAGAGAATAAAACTCCATCAAAATAATATACATGAGCTACAAATCTTCTCTATTATCATATAAATGTCTTACTCTATAGTGAATGATATCTGCTAACAAATGAGTCATCTACAAACTATAGACACATTTATTTTTATACAAATAGACATACAGCTGACATGTTGATTTATTACACTTTCTTTTCATTTTTGATCAATCAGTCTTCTATTAAATGTGTCTTACAATTCCAAAAGTTGGAAATGAGTTGTATTGTCAATTTAAGAACAAAATAAACAAACAATCAATAATTAAATATACTTTATATTGAAAGTAGAATAATATATAAAAACAAAGTAAATAAATAAATAAAGTTTGTAGTGTTTTGACACTTCAACTAGAATTGTTAAATAAAAGTTTTCCAATAGTTGAATTCATGAGTCATTGAAAGTTAGACTACCATGGAGAATCTAGAAGCATTAGAAGGCCGTTTCATCCTAATATGGGACTACTCAACAGTGCTTATCCACTATGCCACTCATGGGATTCGAACCCAGAACCTCCAGTCTCGCGCGCAACATCTAGACCACTGAGCTGACATTTGATGATGTTAATGTCTGACTTCAATCAATCCATGAAATTGCGCCAACATGGTGGACGGTGGCTAATTAACTCATGAATTCAACTACTAAACTACTACAATCTCCAAAGAATCCCTTTTCGATCAAAGTTTTTCACAATTAAATATAAAACGTTAATGAGAATATAATTAGTCATTCAGTAAATATTTATTTTGTAACTAAGATCTTTTCGATGTAGAAATTGAGTGTTCTTACGATTTTTAACTAAAGTTTATTATAATGGAAAGTAAGAAATACTATTTTAAGATTATTAAATAATAATGTGTAAAATAGTGAATTAGTTGTTCAAGGCATTGGTTATTAATTAGCAGTTTTCGAAACCTGGTTAACTTCGCTCTTAGGCAGCAATACAAAACCACTAGTCCTTGTACATAATATGTAACTCAAGTCAGGTACATAAAACTATATACTTTTGTTTATTGAATTGCACTGTACTCCTATGTTAGAAATGATAATATGAAGTGAAAAGTTATAAATCTATTCATTTATTTGGTTACATATATAGATTATTATCAGTACCATTCATCATTAATTTTTATACAGGAATCTCGAATAATATTTGGAGCTGTCAATGGTATAGTTACTTGATGCAAGTGAAATACTCATAATGGTAACCTCTTAACAGAAGTTGTATGCAAATTCCTATCTTCTTCATTAGCTCATAGCTAGTTTAGAATTTTCACTTTAAATAACACAGGAAACTAATTAGGATAAAACGTATTAAGAACAAATACGTTCACAATGTTATCGATATCGTTAACCGGCCAAGAGGAGCTAGGTACTTAATTCATCTCAGTGCAAGACTCCTCAACATTACTCATCCAGAAACCGGAATATTCAGTCTTATGTGCGAACGCTCTATTTATAGTCGACCGGATGTCTTATATAGATCGGTTTGTGATAGCAATAACATTCAATTGCCAACAAACCTCTAAACATCTAGGATATCTTTAGAAACTCAGAACATTAAAATGTTCAGAAATTAGTTATGGAAAAATCTATCTAACCGTGATATAAATGAAGAATGTCTAGTGTGGTGAATTTCGGAAGACGAAAACACAAGTTCAAACTCGCAAATAATAATTAGCGAAATAGTAAATAGGTGTTTGGAATCAATTATACTTAACATCCAGTATGCCGTAATTCAGTGTACGTATTCATATCAAAATGTTATATAGATATATATTTATTAATTTTCTGTCTTATCTATTTGTTTTGAAGTCAGTTAAGTCATCCTATAACTAGTTTTCTGAAGAGATGTTAATTATCAAAGTTATATTAAGCACGATGACTTATCGAATTGAACTAAACCTGTGTTTAGATATTATAATATGTACCTGCAATCTTTAAAGAACTCAAGCTTCCTGACGGATTCAAACCTAGCTTGCCCAGGTTCATATTGAGAGAAGTTATCATTCAGTCCTTCTTGAAAAATGAATTTGTTTAAATTTATTGATGTTATGTTTAAAGCGATTGAGAGTTCACCTAATCTGTAAACGGAACAAAGACTCCGTGACTAAAGATCAATAAGTTAGCTTTTATGACGCGTCCTAGTCCCGCTAACTAGAGAGAGAAGTCCAAGTTCGAAATGGGGAAACACATTCTGCAAGCAGCCAGAAACACAAGCAGTAACAACAGGAAAAGAGGAAGACCGAAGAACACATTACGTCGAGAAATGGAGACAGACATGAGAAAAAATGAACAAAAATTGGATAGAACTGGAAAGGAAGGCCCAGGACAGAGTGATTGGAGAATGCTGGTCAGCGGCCTATGCTCCATTGGGAGTAACAGGAATAAGTAAGCAATAAGGTATTTACGAAGTTAGTTCTGGGCATCTAACATCCCCAACAGTTGATCACTTTGTAGTGACCATAACAAATTAACCATATGGTGAAAATATTCATTAATAAGAAAATAATCAGACTGTTAACTTCAAATTGTTTTTATTGGTTGATTTACATTCTTTCTGTGTTTTTCTTTCTTCTTTTTCTTCTTCTTCTTCTTCTTCTTCTACTACTACAACTACTACGTGTACTTATCATTTTTTTTAACTTGTTGCATGTCACGACTTTTTTATTACTTTATGACAGGTAAATTTTTATCTTATCCATTTAAATGACTTATCAGACTTTTAATTAAATTAGTACTAAATTTTATTTGTTGGTAAACATGTGCTGACATTGTTGTCTAGCTTGATCATAACAATGTTAACTCATTGAAAGTGAATGATTAGTACAAGTTTAAATATTTTACAAATTATTTACAATTTCGTTTTTTCTTTACTTTTACATTCCTTCATTTTAAACAGGATTCAGATGGCGATCATATTCCTGACCATATTGACACAGATGATGATAATGATGGTATACCGGATTTACAAGATCCAGATCATCCCAATTTTGATTATTTACGTGATTCGGATAGGGTAATTTATTTACAATAATAATAGCTATTTATATTACTATTTGAGTTGATAATATAATATTCAATAAACAGTATGTTACTTATCGGACATTGGATGGTAACTAAGCCGAGTTGTATCAGGTAACTTTAGGGGTGATGCTTCAATAACTAAAATATCTTTCAGCGCAACCAAAATTTGGATAGGAAAGTATATGAGAGCTTAGTTTTTACAAGTTGATACTTAAAAACTGAACGTTAGCAAAATTATTTGATAAAATTTATGTAGTCGGGCGACAACCTCGATGAGTAAAAAAAACAAAACAATATGTTTAAAGATGAGGAGGTCAATCAGGAAAAGCATAGGAAATATGATTTCTTCGGTCATAATTAAATATCGATGCGAAACGGGAACTTTCTGAGATATAAGGCTAAAATCGCATGAATTTCTGATTCATTGTCGGCATGCTTTTAATTAAAAGTATTTCTTAATCCCAGCTGTGCATCATTCATGAAAATTTACTAGCTAAATAAGAGTAACTTTTTTATACCAAAATGTACAATTGCTTTATACAGATTGACTGGACAGTAGCAGCTTATTAGTTCAGCTAAAGTTATCCAGATCACCTTATTCAGTACAGTAAATGAGAAATGACAACTACTCCAGTACGTCATGATTACACACAGATGAATAAAAACAGACACATGGGATCTATTGACTTTGCTTAAAATAAACTTAACAATTGAGTTCTTGTTTGTAAGTATTTGTATTCACCTGTTATCGATAGTCAAAATTGAACTAGATCAGCTTCTAACGAGAAGTAGGCTCTTTGAGCGAATATTTTAAATTTGGTTATAGTCGCTAGTTAATTACAATGTCGAATAGTAGTTAATAGAGGAATCTGGAAAGCGTTTTTTTGTTATTTCGGACTTGGCTGAAGAACGTGCCTGGTTTCTAGTGCTGATATTCACACTGACACTGAAAAATAGTACCCACTGAATTAAAAGCCTAGTGCACTATGTATTGATCTTTTAGATCACCACGGTAATATTGGAAATGGTTTATATTATAGTTTCGTTAATATTTAAAGGTGTAAGATGTTGTTGAGGACTGTAATGGATCAGTTTATTTTGAAATGTGTTTATCCAGAACATTCGACTTTACTCTGTAACTTTTAATTTAGGATTAATATGAATTTTTTAAAGTAATTTTCCTAAAAAATTCACTTTTTGTATTTTCAGTATGGGGATTTGTGGAGATTGTAGTATTCTCAAAGTTAAATTCACAAGTCGATTTAAGCTAGACCACTACTGAAAACCTGTAAGCACTGGACGGAAACTTCGTCCTAGTATGGAACACCTCAGCAGTGCGCATCTACGACCCCGCACTCATGACTCGAACCAAGGACATTCGATTTCGCGCATAAACTCATTACCTCTACGCCACTGAGCCGGCATCCGATGGTGTTAATGTTTAATTTTAATCGATCTTGCACACCTCTTCATCCATTGCCTGAAGCGGATAACTCTCTCATAACTGACACAGACTGAATTCCAATGGATGAGCACTACTGAGGAGTTCCATACTAGAGCTAAAAAGGCCATTCAATGATTCTAGGTTTTTAATAGTGGTCTAACTTAGACAGATTTGTGAATTAAACTTTGAAAATATTCATCTATCTAAACATAATTGTTTTCAATTGTCCTCATCTTAAGTGAAATTATTGCAGACCAATGAAAATAATCCACGTTTACTTACATGTTCTGTATCAATTGGTCAGTACAATGTTAGAATGACATTATAATTTAACAATAAAAGCTTATACTCTCCATTAAATTTGATGAATTGAAACATAAGAAAACAATAATAAAATTATTTTCACCTTGTTTACACCCATAATCACATAATTCTATTCAATAAGCCTTCAATTAGTGAATAAAATAAAGTATATTCCGTATAAAATATTTTATGAAGCTCCATATATAGTCTCTTTGTTTATTTCCTTCATTCTTCTTACATTGATTAGTAATGTTCTCAAATGTGATGGTTGTGCTGGTTTTCAATAATAATCATCATCTCAAATTGTACTAGGTTTATTAAATAATTTTAATGTATGAATATGATAGAAGTATAAAACTAAGATCTATACCAATCCTCATAGATTATTACCAAACCCATATGCTTAGAGGTAATAATATAAAAACCTATCAATAAGAAAATATTTATGTATAACCAATATTCCTAGAAAGGTTAGTGTTATGAATTCTTTCGGTAATCTTCCATCTTAAAAAAACATCTTTAAGGTTGAGGCATTACTTGTAAGATGAAATGCACAAGTCTGGAAGTTTAGATACATTGGAAATACTACTGATGAAACTTACAGTAATACTATAGTGATAATGTTAAATTCGTTAAACCGGAAGGTTTTCTTGTTAAAAATGTAGTATCTCTTTAAAATATACAATGCAGTAGCAAACAATCAATAAAATTACTAACAATTTAAAAATTTCTTTTTGTAGCTAAGAATGGAGCTTCAGAAAGTTATTTAAAATTCACAGCCAATATGTCACTAATTAATCACTAGATTTCTTAAAAGCAGTATATTAGTGATAGGATGACAAGTACATTGTCTATATTATTGGCTACATACAACGTCATACAGTTATGCATCAAAATTGGTATGATTTTAATGACTGAAGAACTTTATACAGAAGGAAATAGTGTGGCTAACGGTATAATCCAAGTTACGTGTTGTTTTCTATTTAAAACATTTGAACTAGATATAACTTTATCCAGAAGGTGATGTTCACTAGGGATTCGAACTCAGCACCTTTCAACTCAAACACCAACGCATTATCTAATTAGCTATTTTATCTAGGTGGCCATCCACGTGTAGAACGGATATGACCTCAAAGTTAATTTGTAATGTACTGAATTATCAGTCTTATTTGATATATGCGCACCATATGTGGATCGTTTCGACATAATTATTATGTTATAAGTTAATGTATAATATACAAGTATATCCATCTAATGAGTCTCAAGTAGGCTAAAACGCACTTCCTGGATTCCACTTCTAGTCATATCCTATCTATTCTATGTAAACTTGTAACATAATGACTATATCGAAGAAATCCCCAAAGGATTGATATATGACAACTAAAATAGATCGAAATTTAATCAAAACATCAACAGCCAGATAATTGGAACCATTAAAAATTAAATTAAATGAATGGAGTGTACTGAGTAAAAAATTACACAACAAATAAGCATTGATCTTACAATACTTTTGGTTACACGTAGTTAAAACTAAGTAAATATGATTTGTTATCAGAAAGGAGTTTTTGTGGATGTTATAGTATTTTAATAGTTGAGTTCATGAGTCAATTGAAGCTAAACCACCATGGAAAACCTGGAAGCACTGAACGGCCGTTTCGTCCTAGTGTGAGACTCTTGAACAGTGTGCATCCACGATTAAGTTATTTCTTCTTTAGCTAACAACACGATAAACCATATAATATAAATATTTATACTATGTAGCGGTGTAAATTAAATAATTTGAGGTAGAATTACTTTCACCTTACTGGTTATTGTTCTGAAATGTTGATGACAAATTTATCCTTTTAGAATAAACCTGATAATTTGAATCATATCTACACAAAAAGAACAATTTCTAAGGGCCAGTAGACTAGAAATATGTATCATAGATAGTTTAAAATCAATAACAAATTATGCATCGTTTTGAAATTATTAATCAGTTATCTTTCACAAAATGTTTTACTGCACAAGATAGACAACTTGTCACTGGGACATCTTGAAAACTTATTTCCATGTCTACAATAAATAATATCTAAGATCATTCCAACAGATTATTCAACTTGGGGTTTGTTAATATACTATTTAAAGTTAACTTATAATCATATGCAGAAATAGGTTCCTATAAATAACTTTAGTTCTTAATGCTTTACTTGTTGTTCATTCATGCTGTAAACTATTTTTAAACATCACAGCGAGAATTTACTGTTAGAAACGAAGCCTTGGGTAGAAAACCAATTTATTATATCAGTATAGGATTGTGAAGATTGTTGAGTTTTGATTAAGGTCATGAATCAATCAATGTTAGGCCAGCATTGAATACCTGAATGTATTGAACAGCCATTCCGTCCCAGTATGGGACCCCTCAGCAGTGAGCGTTCACGGATGTCCAATGCTTCCAGGTTTTCAACAGTGGCCTAACATTGATTGATTCATGATCTCAATCAAAACTCAGCAATATCCACAACTTTATACTGATAATTATCATGTGCTCACTAGTGACTAGCTTCGAGATGTAATTCTCAGAGTTCTAATGAAAAGCCGTGATCAGTGGAGCTAATCTGTTTCGGGTTTGAGATAGTTACCAACCGAAGACAATGAAAGGTGGTTTTTCAATATTCTGGATGATCTAAGGTTAGACGTTGAAAACATTGGGTGCCGGCCTAGTGGTTTACAAGTTGGGCATTCGTGTGCAAGACCGAAGATCCTGGTTTCGGTTCCCTCATGCGAGATCGTGCATGCACACTGATGAGGAGTCCCGTACTAGGAAAAAATAGCCGTCCAGTGCTTCTAGGTTTTCAGTGGTGGTCTGACATTGATCGATTCATGATCTCAATCAAAATTTATTATACTATGTAAAATCACACTGTATTTATAAAATATGAAAACAACACATCAAATATACTATTTGCCGATCTTTCTTGAGTTACTCCTTTAAATTTTCGTTGTTCTTTCATTCCTGTTATCAATCTGATTACTTTCTGCTTTTCTTTCTCTTCTTTTCATTTTCCTCTTCTATCTGTACTATTCCAGTTTTAATTCCCGATACATACTACTTATATCTGTTTCATACGAGTACCACATTATCACACTATTAGAATACTCTTATTAAATTCATTTTGTACAAGTTCAATGATTAATTTCAAATTGTACCAGTGGTAATTGATAACAGAAAATGAAAATAAATCGTTGATGAATTTAGTACAAACTAATTAGTTTTTGTAAAATTAAAAATTGCATAACCAAGTCTCAGATACCAGTAGTAATTATGTCGTCTTTAATCGATTATTTCGTTTTATGCATATTAAATTAACTGATTAGGTAATGTATGACATAACAATTGGTGAATACTAAATACAAGGATATCTACTCTATATTATTTCATATATAACTAATGTGAAATTCTGTTTAACATTAGAGAATGAATTCAATTCTTATATGTTAACCAAAGGATATAATTTGTTCTTCTTAAATAAATACATTATGCGTTAACGTTACACTCATATTTCTCGCTTAATAAATAAACTAATGATGAAAATTGACATTCTAATTGAGAAAAATATTTCATTTTTACAAATATGACCTCAATGAATAATAATCGTATAGACACTGGTAATCAGCATCAAAATGAATTTCTCATAATTCTGATGGAAAGCTATGACCAATGGGGTCAACCAACTTTCAAGCTAAACAGGGACTTTTGAACTTTTGAAGATATCACAGGTATATAGGGCTTGACAACATTATCGTGCAAAAACCTCTTCTTATACAAGTATCCCTTAATAAATCAAACCAGGAGTTAAAAGTGAAGGGATGTGATGATATATTTGAATTCATGTCGGTGGATTGAAATATGTGCAATCTAGACTGAATAGGTATCATAAGAGATGCTCAGCATTTTGTATCTAAACATGATTTAAGGTAGTTGCCTAGTAGAGTGCCTTCAGCTTAGAACAGGTCTATTAGAACTAATAAGGTCAACATCGATGTCGAAGGCTTCCAAAATCATTTATTTTGGGAGCTTTTTTTACTACTAAATGGTCTTGTACATTGACAGTGGATTCCAAAGCCGGATGAGAAAGCTATTTATTACTTCCTAATTCATAACAATTCATTGATGATGAGAATGCTTTCAAACAAATTAGTAATGAAAAGAAAAATAGTACTAAACCACAACCATTTCCTTTCGTAATTCAGCTTTTTCTAAAATTTCTATAGGATGGTATTCCTGATACACTAGACATGGATGATGATAACGATGGTATACCAGATAGCATGGATTTTGATTCAGATGGTGATGGATCGGATGATCTGTTTCAAGATATTGACAAAGATGGGGTACCGGATAGTGTAGATGATGATATGAATAATGATGGGATACCGGATCATAAACAAGATCATGATTGTGATGGAATCCCAGATATTGTTGACCCTGATGATGATAACGATGGTTATTTTGACACAAAACAGGTAAGTAAAATAACCTTTCGTTAAAAAGGGAAATTAATGAATTTTGTAAAATTCTATAAAAAATTTAAGGAATTACAAACAACGTGATGATCATTATTAACGATAAATTACATATTGCATGCATATATTTATATATCAATGAATTTAATGTATTGTTTTTATGCCTTGAAAACACACGACTTAAAGAAAAGTTTTGTTAACAACCCAATATTGAATTTTTATTCATGATATTGTGTATTGTCAGTAATGCATACAAGTCATTCATTCATACACAATGTAGAACCTGACTTAATTCAATTTGCTACACTATATCCGTAAACACAAATAAAATTATCAGATCACCTTCCAAAGTAGCAACAGTGTCAATAGAAGTAGAAAAAATTAGGAATAAATGATATGGTCTAAGTATAATCAATCATTTTGTGAAATAAGTAGTGCAATATAATAAATCAAGATTGAAGTGAAGATAGGAATCGGTCGTATCTCTTCTATTATGACAGATTCCAGGACATGTTACAACAACATCTCTAACCTTTGGTTATCAGAATCATACAAACCCCAACTAAGTAGTCTGTACCTAGCAATATGACTTAGTTTAACAAAAAAACAACTTCATAGACTGACATCAAGTTTTGGTTTGAGTGATCTTAGCTTCCTTTCAATCCACTAGTCGTACTCCAGAAAACATCGTGCGTTAAGGTAAGCAGTAATTGAGCAAACGTATTGTATATAAAATAAATCTCCAAATAGATAAATCTAAACACATTATAATAATTATTTTCATGTATATAAAACAACTGAAAAATACTTGATATCATTTAAATTCTGAAAGACGGTACTAACTATCTAAACATTCTTCAATATTTCACAATTGTATGATAACATTTCTTTGAATACATTTCAGTCTAGAATGAAAAAACACTCTATGCACCTTTGTATTTAAATAGACAGATAGATAAAAACTTTCAAAAGAAGATGTGAGTTAGAAAATAAAATTCTGATTATTAATCCACAATAGGATAACATAATGTTACATGTATTCTTAGTTACATTTTCTCGTGTACTTTTATTTATGGAGAAAAATGTACGCACACAAATGAAATGACTGACGGTGTAAATCATAAAAATTCTCTGACAGTCTTTCACTTGCACGAAATCAGTTTTTTTCCGTTATTCCATTCATTGATCTGGAATAGTTTAACATTTAGATTAATAATACTGGTATGGTTTTCTTAGTCTAGAATAAGGGATACTAGTGGGAATGATATATGTTATTTTTAAAAAAAACTAGCCCACGGTTATATATTTTGTGAAATGCCAACATATCATTATAGAACCAACCTTTCTTATCTTTCTGTTTGCTTTTAACTGTACTTTTTTTACAATGAAAATATTTTTGAAAGTACTTCAAATACAATGTAAATCAGACCAGCAAAATATTTTGTATAATAATATGAACTACTGATTGAATTATCAGTAGTATAAAATTAATCACAAAACTGTCAGATGAACAGGTTGGATCTAACGATAGCATAATGTTCATAGTCTGGGTCTGTTCAATGAGTTTTAGTTTTTTTTTATGGTACGCAAATAACTAGTCTTCAGCATGAAAACAAAATCTAATAGAGTTTACGGATGTGAATCGCATTCAAACGTAACTCATCATCGCATGAAGAATCGTTTGAAATCTAAGAGGTGGAATCATCACTGCATTATTTCTGGGTAGTATGACAAGATCTCATGTTCCCTTTTATTAATATTACTTTCGAATAGTTAATCCACAATAGTGCGGGGAAAATTTATCTCAAAGAGTCGATAAACACACACGGCCAATTGTCTCTCAATGTGTACTAACTATATTTTGAACCTCCATGTACATTTGATTAAATGTTTACTGACTGTACATCCTAGCTTTGTTTGCCTGAATATGGATCACTTTCTGATCAATCTCTTCAGATCTTTAAACTAATGCTCTAGTTTTTGGGTTATTCTGTTCATTTGGTCCGTCTAAAGTATTTTTTCGTAACATCTCATATTCCGACTTCCGCTTTCACATCACTGATTATCACTAGATCGACAATGTTCTAGTTATTTTATGATACAAACTAATGCCAAATAAGCTCTCATCGGAATCAGATTTTACTGCTAAAAATATAACCATCGGTATTTTTCTCATCAAGTCTCGTTTGTAGTATAATCGTTTAGTTAGGTTACAGAATAATTGAGACTTTTAGAACCAAACTAAACATACTCAATTGACATCAATCTAAATATTTAAAAAAGAGTCCGATCAATTTAAATTCAGAAAATTGATCTGTACTGGTAGCGGAAACAACTATACAGTGAATTCCGAAACACTTATTCAAAACAATTAAAATAATTTAAAATTGTATCTGTGATAAAAGATATGAATGATTGGATCAATACGTAACAGATATGTTGGATAAGTGAATGAAATTCTATCAAGCTCCAATGTCTCAGTAAAAGCAACAATAAACGGAAGTCTTCAACTGGTGAACAGATATTTGGAGATTCAAGAAGGAGTTACCAAAAAGGTATTTTTGTAAAATAAGAAAACATAAGCATTCAGATATCATACTTAAGATTGAAATAAACATGTCTGTAAGTTTAGATCCAAGATAATGGAATATCAATAATTAATTGGACCAGTGGTTTGAATGAAGAGTACATACGGCTCAAAACCAAAAGATTCTGGATCTAGTCTCCGGTAGGATTAAGGATACATACTTCTGAGGTGTTTCGTACTTTGACAAAATAGGTTTTCAGTGATTTTTAATTTTTACTGATTGAAGATAAGCTTAGTTTGTGGTGTAAACAATCTCTAGTAACAATTACTTACTGAAGTTCAGCCCTGAATATTAGTTTATTATCTTATATGTTTATTGATAAGGAATTGAGTTATCCTGTCGTTAATATTTTAATCTTTCTCTATTCGCATACGAACATCCTATGAAGATAGCCTTAACACAGTTGTTTCCTCATATGCAGTTTAAAACAGATGGACTGTAACTAGTAATGGAATTGTTCCCGATTCTGAACTTATCAGATGGATGTGCCTGCATTCTCGTGTTATTGTTTAAAATAGTAATTCAACTAATTTTCTTTTGATTCAAGTGCTAATCCATAATCTATTAAAATAATGAGTTCAGAAAGCTAGCAACTTGTCCAACAAGTACGATTTCTGTAATAATTATTAGTTAGGATCAGTATGGGGATTTGTGGGGATTGTAGTATTTTCAGGGTTGAATTCGCGAGTCGATCATGAGGAATCACGGATGAGCACCTATGAGGAGTTCTATATTAGGACGAAACGACTGTCCATTTCATCCAGGTTTTCAACAGTGGTCTAGCTTAGATCAACTCATTAATGTAATTGTGAAAATATTAGTTACGACTTAAGTTATTTCATTGTTAATATCCAAAGGCTGAATTGAAATATGTTAGTTAGCTATAACATAAAACTATTACTAGATGGATGCAGAAAAAAAAGTCGATATAATACACTTTTCTTCTGTATTTTTTTCCTAAAAAATTACATTATAGGATAGCGACAACGATGGTTTATTGAATGAATGGGACGATGATGATGATAATGATGGTATTCCAGGTTAGCCACTGTGTTTGATGTATTTTTAGACAAATTAATTCATTGAAACAAACGATAATATTTTCTCTGTATTGATTAGTGCCTTTATTGAATTATTTTTAAAGTTTGAACTAACTATAAAATTAATTTTAAACAAACTTTCATTTTTGCAAAACCTGAAATTAACATTTAAATTAGTTTGATCTAAGATCTTAGATCCTTGTACTACCATACTGTAGAAATGATAAATATTCATACAGTCATATCTATAGGTCATAATAGTTTGTCAATATTTGACACAACTAAGGATGACATAATGTGTTTTTGGTTAACCAGCGAGATTTGTATATTATCTTTTTACGTGTACTGACTTTTGTGTAACACTCAAAATAGTGACCATTTTCTAAATATTATGAGAATGTTAACCCCATAGTTGAGTGTGATGTTTATTTTACGTTAAATTTAGATAAGATGAAGAACCGTTATCCAGTCATAGAAGTTCTGATAAACTGTCTTAATATTACTGTAATGATTATTTATTTTACTATCCGGTTAATTCCTACTAGTATGCAAATGAAATATTGCTCGTTTCAGAAATAAGCCTGGCACTTCTTATTGAAGTATAGTTCCCAAAAGAGAGGTTTTCAATAGCCAATCCAGATAATAATAAAATAGATAGCCTATGAAGTGGTGACTCTGTAAGCTGTTGGTAATAAAACTGAATGATAAGTCAATAAGCTATACACTTTTTATCATCATATACTTCCTTTTAACTGATTAATAAATCGATTTTTAAGATATCTTATATTTTCTTTTGTAGATGTTGATGATGAAGATTCGAATGGTGACGGGATTATTGATTGTCAACCACATGATAGTGATAATGATGGAATACCTGATCATATCGATGAAGATGATGATAATGATGGTATACCGGACCAACGAGATCCTGATTCAATGTCATTTCTGCTGTATAAACATAAGCGTTTTCTTGAAGCTATCCCAGGTATACACAATAATCACTCAAACTGATTTGAATTTATCCGTTTTTAAGTAATTTATCAGTCTATATGTTTCTTTCAGCAGTCAACTTGTCAAATTCAATTATCTTTTTAAATAGTAATAATAATAATCTCTTTCGTAAAACATAATTTCTGATAACTTAGTTGTTTAAAATAATTATGAGGATATTTTCAATATTAAATGTGAATCCAGAGTTAATAATTGTATTTAGCTTTTATAATTCACTGGTCAAACATTTTGCGAAAAAACGCAACACTGAAACACATTATTTGTCGATACAAAAGATTCATTGAATATTCAGGTAAAAGTATGCTTCCATGCTCCCCAGTGTTGTTTCTTAAATCACCCAATCCACCTACCTCTCAATTCGGACTACATTATTATTAGCAGAATTGGATAGTGGCTAGTAATTGAATCTAGGACGAACACTTCATTCTATTTGAGACACGTCATCAGGATAAAATGCGCGTTCAAGATTCCTCTACTAGCCACTATGCATCTCTACTTGAAATACTTGTGACTTAAAGCAATATTGAGACAATACTCACAAGATGCACATATGCCAACGAGACACTGGTGAACTACAGTCTCAAACATCAGTGAGAAGATTCAAACAACCAATAGACGACGAATTAAATTATACATCAGTTTATCATTTAATTCATCTGTTGAAATATTAATGAAAATGAGATGGCTTCATTTTTTTTATGTTTTCTATTTTCATCGTTATTTTGTTCAAATGATCTTAGAATAATATCCACTTCTCGACATAAATTCGTATGAATTAAAACTCACACTATTTCAGCATTCATACATTTTTCAAAGTCAAATCAAACATTACGACCAATATTATTGTCAGTAGAAAATTGAGGAAAGTCTTTTATATTCAAGGGGAATGATTTGGAAAATAGATGAATTGAAATTTGATCATTGAATAGTGTTGGTAGTGTATAATTTTAAAAGAATCTAAATAAAAGAAATAATCCAGTTAATTGTAAAAGATGTGTATCTATTTATTGTAACATGTTTAAATTATAAAGAGTTGTTACATTTACAAACTACAACTAATGTAGACCAAGATAACTGACATTTCTGGACCTTTATTAGCATCTTATATTTTCTTATAGTATTATTATTACTGTAGAAATAAAAAATCAAATGCAGTTTATCAGACAAAAGTTGAATATCATTGAAATGATGAACTGATTAAAGTAAGACAACTGTTGAAAATCTAAAAAAGCCAGACAGTCATTTTGTTTTATTATGGAACTCTTCAGCAGTGCATATCCACAATACCGCAAGACAAAATAAATGCACACTGTATTATATTTGACAACTATTAGTTTGAAGACGCTTAGTTAACTTTGAATCATTTTCTGTATGAAAATAGACAAATAGTAATTTAAGCAAATAGAGATGGATAAGCATGGATACACAAAAATACACTTAGAGGAAAAGTTAAGGTTAATTATATGTAAATACATAAAATATAACAGATCAGATTACAATGTCATATGTTTGGGACAGATAAGTTCACACAAAAGCTTGTATCAGTCTGCTATACAAGTTCACTAAACTTCTATCTGAAGTTTGTGCTGATGATGTCGTTCAGAAGAACGATGAAAGCTCCACGACCAAAACTTCGATTGTCAATTCCCTTAAGTATGCAATATGCGTCAAGTGTATATAAGCTCGCTAAAACACAGAAAAACTCTACAATTTCATGCATAACTGTATACTTACAAGTGTTATTTAAAAGAACATCAGTTTAACACAATGAAGAAAAAATATTTGTTTACCTATTAAAATTATTTATCCAAAACGATTTTTATCCATTTTTGCTTTCCTTATTTTTTTTTATATAATTTTCATCAACTAAATCACATTTATCAAAAACAAAAAAAATTATTTCAGATAACCGTCTGAAAAAAATTCGAGTTTATATGCCAATTTTTGTGAAAAAATTTCCACATGGAATGTCCGACAGTGAAGTATCTAACGATGTACAATATACACATGGTGAACTATGATATTCGTCAATTTAGTATTAAGATGATAATCCTTACTTTAGAAGTGTTGTGTTTGTCTAGAGTTTCAAAATGCATGAACGAAAATCGAAGATTTTTTTTGAATATTACAAATGTGTGCAATATCAATCATGTTTTTAGAGTTTATTGTTGCACTTTTTTTTTTACAAAGATAAATGGTTTCATATATGTTGTCAGGACATTTAAAACTATATATGTATATAGGCGCCTTTCATTATGTAAGCCAGAGTATGAATAGTGAATATTATCATACAGACTTTCAAGTTAACATTTTCTTCAACAATGTCTGACCTAATCTCACTACTTTTAATTAAGGAGTAATTATTATTTTACATGAACTACCGAGTCATACATTACCATGGTCTTCAGTATTGTATTTTATTTATGGTGAATTTTTTCTAGATGTCATCATGGAACGTGAGTTAATTTTCTTCCCATATAAAAAATGGGTTCAAAAGAAGATATAACAAATTTAAGAATTAATCGACTTATGTTATGAATAACTACTATTATATTAGTTTAATTCTTTTTCACGAAAATAGTTAACTGCTAACAACTATAAAAATTATTTAATCCCTAAACCCTGTAATAATAGCATCGAAATTATCAAGTGATCTACTTTAATACACCATTTTAAAAATTCGAAGCACTAGACGAACGTTTCGTTTTAGAATGCAACACATCACTAATGAGCATCCGTGAGACCTTCACGTCACAATCGAACAAAACACCCTCAGTCTCACACTGGTACACTTAATATCTAAACCACTGAATCACCATCCAACAGTATCATCTTCTAATTTTAGTCAATCCGCAATAGTGCACGACCATCTTCCATTGTCTTCAGTAGGTAATTGCCCCTCACTCGACATGGTTTAGCTTCACTGATCACAGTCTCTCACTAGAAGTGTGGAAATTTGCTCTAGAAGTTAGTTACTAGTAACCACATAATAATTATATGTGTTTGTTGAGATTTTTGAATTTCACTGAAATCCTTAAGCAATCTTAACTAGATAACTAGGTCTTCAATGGTGGTCTTTTCAGTATTTCCATGAATTTCAAAGACCTCCACAACATTATACCTAACTTACACCTGTTACCTTTCATGGAGGAGCATAGGCCGCTCACCAGCATTCTCCATCCAACTCTGTCCGGAGCAATCCCTTCCAGTAGTTTTCAGTTGTTATAAACTCTTTGCATGTCTTCTTCCAATTCTCGGCGCAGTGTGTTCTTTGGCCTTCCACTTCCAATGTATTTTTCTAATTCCTTCTCCGGTTAGAACCTGGTTTGTTCTCTCCCACAATAGGCTGTTGCTGATGGCATCCGGCCAACGGACCTTCATTATCCTACGTAGACAATTGTTTAGAAATACCTATACCTTTTTGATGATGGTTGTGATAGTTCTCCACGTTTCAGCTCCATACAGTAGAACTGTCATGACGTTCGTATTGAAGATTTCGAATTTGATATTGGTTGACAGTTTTTTTGAGTTCCACATGTTCTTCAACTGTATGAATTTTGTCCTTGCTTTGTCAATCCTTGCCCTTACGCCTGCACCAGATCCTACACGTTTATTGATGATGCTGCCCAGATAAGTGAAACTTCTCACCTCTCCCAGAGTTTCTCCATCAAGTGTGATTGGTTTTGTGTTCTCTGTGTTGAAGTTGAGGATGTTGCTTTTCCTTTGTGTTTCATAAGGCCTACTGATGCGGAGGCAGGTGCTACGCTGGTTATCATAACCTATACTTGCCCGCGTGTATGGGATAGAAGGGTAAGGTCATCTTCGAAAACAAATATTCTAATTAATTCCGAGCTGTCTATTGTATTCCGTACTTCCCCTCAGATGTCAAGATCTTCATAATCCAGTCGACTACCAGAAGAAAAAAGAAGGGGGAGAGTAATCAGTCTTGTTTTATTTCGGTCCTCACTTGGAATGCATCTGTCAGCTGTCCTCCATGAACCACATTGCACCATAGTCCGTCGTGTGAATTCCTGATGATGTTGACGATCTTCTCAGATACTCCATAGTGCCGAAGAAGCTTCCACAAAATTCTTTTATCCACACTGTCAAACGCCTTCTCATAATCAGTGAGTTGATGTGTAGTGACGAGTTCCATTCAACTGATTGTTCAACGATGATCCGTAGTGTGGCGATTTCGTCCGTGCACGACCGATCCCTACGAAATCCGGCCTATTTCTTAACAAGCTTTTGTACTGTTATTTCCTTTTTACAATGACACAGTTAATATAAGTAAATATATTGCTTAATTTAACCAGACTAAACAGATTAAACAACACTATACTTATATTAACTGTTATTGTAAACCAGAAATAGCAGTACAACAGCTTGTTAAAAAGCATTTCTAGAACTCCAAAGTTCGGGATTTTAACAATGGCATGAATTGCTGTACTTGCAAATATAGAGTGTTTATAACTGCCAATAACCTCAAAAGTCGACTACATGGTTCCTCATACTTATACTCATGGCCATCATCTGTTTCACACTATTTGAAATTGGACCTAAAACTCTTAAAATATGTTAAAATATAATTTATCGAGTCTCTACAGTTGTATGTATTTGATTCCCCTTGTATATTTTGCTATAACATATTAGACAAATTAGTTTCTATAGCAAATACTTTTTAACAAGCCATGAAATGATAAGATCTTTCAATGTAAAATTACAACAATTACTATTTCTAGCTTCTATAGTTTGAAAGCATGCTTTAACGTTTAGCATGAATATTAGTACATTTCTACAAAGAATTATGACTGTTCAAGTAGTTTTCCATGAGTTCATATCTGTTTTTTTTCTGTTTGTGTATGTTTATATGTGACCTATTTCCCTGTTATCTGTTAGCATAAACTATTCTTGCCTAGATTATAGATATTATGAATGTTCAATGTTATATGTGTAAAGAATTGATACACTGAATAATGTATTTACTGACCAGACTGATGAAAAAATATATATTTAGGAAAAAAAAGCTTTCTTCAAACTAAGAAGGCGAGACTATAATTTATGGACTAACCAATCACGTATAAGATAACAGATCTCGGACGTTTGCACGAAATTCATTCATTCATCAACTGTAAATCATTATTCTAAATCCTCACATTGGTTTATAGCCTTCATTTGGTCCTAGTTAGTAGATGGACATTCTCAAGGTCACTTTAGGGTCGCCGAGAGGTCGTCCATAAATTATAGTCTCACCGAAATGGCTAAAGTAACATTTAAAGAAAATGAACAGATGAAGTCAATAATCAGGACAAGTCACCATTGATCGAAGGACTGTTATACGTAACATGAAGTATTGAATAAGTGCTAATTTCATGTTTCACATTACTAGTACATAAATGGATGTTTGCTCGACATGGACATAATAAATCTACGAATTGACATTTTTAATGTTTAAGGGATTGACAGCCAAACAACATAGATAACTTTGACTATACTTTTACAGTATATAACAAATTTATTTAAAAAAGATGAATAACAATTGATTATGTATTAAGTTCAAAAATATTAGTCTTGTTAACACTTTAACTAGTAAATAAATGTGAGACAATCCAACGCTAATTTACTTAATTAACTCAATATCTTCAGTCACTTATCTTCTTAAATATTTAAATCTCTACATTTCCACGTGTGACAGTTACGGATTTTGAGTAGATATATTTTCTTATTGTCATAAACGTCATTCATACATTATCACAGAGTACTTAAATTTCTTAATTTTATTACTAACCACCTCTAAAAACATCATTTAGTTGTTTTGAAAAACGTTTATTGAATTTATTAGTGTAATTAATTTGATGAGTATCTGTCAACTTAAAATACCATCAATATCACACAATCTTTAATACGGATTTGTGACTTTCTCGGTACCCCCTCCCTCTTATAAATATAGTTCAATAACACCAGATTTGTATGTAGTTTTCTTCACTAAGTACACTTGTGTTTGTACAATTTGGGCTTAAATGTGCACTGGAGTATCATACATAGTATTTGGCTTGAGTGTGATTCTACATATATTGTTATTCCTAAAAAAAACCATAATTTATTAATACGTTTGCGATTTTTTGTTTACAGCTCATATTGCACGACAAGAAGCCAACTTGTTAAATGTTGATTTAGGCGATCCAAACGATAAAGATTGTGATGGAATTCCAGATCATATTGATAATGATTTGGATAATGATGGAAAAATCGACAGAACACAAGATTCAGATATGGATGGATTATTAAATCACATAGACGAAGATGATGATAATGATGGTAGGAATCATTAAGGTTTTTTTAAGAAAATTGGTAGTTTAAATACATTTGATTAATTCTAGATATTTTGATTATGAATTGACATCAATTGAGAAAAAAATTAATGAAGATTAAAGAGGAGTGAATGTGTACATCATTGTGTTTTGAAACTTTTAAACTATGCACCTAAGTTTACTGTGTTCAGTATGAAAGCCATGGATAAACACTCTACCGTTGGAAATATTAAGAATTTGTGATGAAGCACTATTGAGTTGGATTATGTATGGTTAGTTTTATAATAGTGCTTGATTGACTTAATAACCTCGTATCAATTTCCGCATCTGTATACCTATATAGTACCCTGGTAGCATCATATGTCAATGAATCACTCTATAATGACAAAAAAAGATCAAGAATCACAGAAAATAATGTACTGTCAGATCAACTTAATTGTATATAGAAAAAGAAATGTCTTTTTATTGCATTATTACATTCATCATCCTACTGACCTTTGATTTTATTATAATTCAGATATGCATGTACTGATGAGTTATAAAAAACGTATGATTGTATGATTTGTTCAGCCTTCTACCTGTTGCACCAGTATGGATTTAATTTGATACACTCCTAGTTATGAATATGATGTATCCAAGTTTCAATCAATTTCATGAATTTTTCACACTATACTCTATAAGAGAAGGATTACTTATCTTCATGTGGACTAGATTGTTTCGGTATATACCAAGAGACTTATTTACTCCTCCTTCTTTAGCGTACTTCATTATGATGTCACAAATCGATTGGTTCTATTTCTTTACAATTTGTTAAAAATGAAAACATTTCGACAATGAAAATTTTCTTTTCGACGATTTATTCTCTTTACTAATTTGATCAGAACAAATACTAAAATTCTAAATAAAAAAATAGTATGAAATAATTTTATTTCGTGAAATCCCATCAACTGTTTATAACTCATAGTTGGATTGACAAAACTTACTGATTTGATTGAAACGTAACACACTTTTATATAAGCACACATAGTTCTCATTTAAATATAAAAAAATATGAAATTCAGTGAGATCTCTTTTCAACGAATTTATTATCACGCTGTACGATCGTATATATATAATCAATAGGTTAGCAACCGATTATAATATGAAAGAAGTAATTTGATAATTAGAATATTTTTGTCACGGTAATTGAAGATACTAAAGTAATCAGATGAAATGAAGTAATATCAGAAACAATTATGAATAAAATCATAAGGATATGGAATATAACAAGAAATAGGAATGTTTTCAAAAAAGAAATTCATGAAATAAAAATAATTTAAGGCCACTGTAAAAACAATCATAAGATATACTTCTTTTGCACAAACAGATCAAGCTTGGTTTCGTAAATGGTAAGAGCTTCTGTTTCATATCATAATTCACTGTAACCTATTAATTTTAACAGATAATTCCCATTTAAACATTTAAAAATTAAAACATAGAGTTCAGAGAAGGGATCTCTTGTCAACGAATTTATTATGAAGCCGTGCAATCACATATATATATGGAGAATTTTTGTTAAAGTACTAATCCCGTGAGGAAATGTGAACACGAATAACCAAGATGAAGTAATAGAAAGATTGTAATACTAGATCACGTAATACGAATAATAATAGATTTAGTGAATACCATAATATGATTAAAATGTTTTTGTTACAGTAACTAAAGGTCATAGAGGTGTAAAAATAAATAAAAATGATGTGATGAGCATTTATGAATAAAATAATGAGAATATAAGACAAAAGTAAAGGTAACGATAACGATGGGACGTACTTCTTTTGTACGCATAGTTCTGGTTTGAGCTCATGAATGGTAAGAGCTTCGGCTGTTTTTAGAAGTTCAACACGAAGAAATCTAGGTAGATTTGGACGAGTTGTGTATACAACCTTAAAATCAAACTGTGGATCCGTAGAATGATTACAGTCGATTAGGTGTTCAAGTATAGAACTCCTAACTGCTTTCCTCTCACAGCTTGATAATAAATTCGTTTAAAAGAGATCCCTTCGCCGAACTTTGTGTTTGTAATTATTAGTTTTATACACCTTTTTAGTTGCACAAACAGTGATTTATTTTTATTATTTACACTCTATGACCTATTACATCATTGTGTTTTTAAAATTTCATGCACATTTATGATTGTATAACTTAACAAAAAGTCCCTCGAAAAGAGATTCCTTCTCTGAATTTTTCGTCGTATAATCTAAAAATAACACTCATGAATACTTGAATCAAAATAGGGTCATAAGTCAGGTTGTTTGATATCTACCAAACTAATAGAAAAAGTAAGTGAAAAGTATATACAGGACTGGAATTTCAAACAGGATGTGTTACTTCATCATTTACTTCTTTACAATAGTGATTAAAAAAAACCTAAGTCAATGCCAGTTGCCCAAAACGGTAACTTACAACCTTGGAACCAATGACCATTACTTTGCACATAAATAGACCATAAAACCAAAAAAGACTACATTATAACTGAAACAAATAAAACAATAATATAAGCAATAATAATCTTACTAAATAAGGACAAAGCAGAATGAAAATACTAATAAATCTTCAAATTCTTTTATAAAAGTGACTGAGCATAATATATATCGGAAAGCCTTCGTTAGTTCTCCCTAATTACTTATTATTTTAAATCTAGTGTACCAAGGCTTGAATGAGGTAGATTACTAGAATTAGTAGCAATATATAGCTTGTACTGATGAACTAGGAACCCATGTAAGAAATGGGTAGATTACAACGTGAATAATCGATATAAATTAGCAATATTGTTTTCTTGTAGATCTTTACTAGGTTTTACTCTAATACTTGGTTATATATGAAAATATATTCAGTTATGTAATCTACTTAACTGTTATGTTTGACTCATAAACTGCCTTGGTTGGGTGAATTATTCATACACCCATATAAATATTACAAAGTCCGATAAAGATCTGACTGAAAACAATGTTGTTTGCTTATATGTGTTGTTCTAACTTGCAGTATGGAAATTCCAATACTTTTTAATTTACATTTTTTATTCAAATCCGTCGTAATAACTGAAATTACCGATAGTTGTATTTTATAGTTTACATCATAGACTGACTTAGTTAAATAAAGATTGGAAACAGTATGTACTGGACGACTGTTATTTCATAGCATGCAATTCTTCAGTATTGTTCATTAATGACTCGTTCGATCCTCAATGGCATCGTGGATGGACGCTGTTAATAAGTTACGCTATACTAGGATAAAACAGTTGTTCAGTAATTCTTGGTATTCGTGGTTATCTAATTAAAGTAGATCCATAATGTAGACGATAAAATTTAACAATTTTCAAAAAGCCTTCTACATCAAAAGCTGTGTTTATCATTTTCAGACTTTTCTTATCTACCCTTCTTTAATTTTTGTTTTAAGGTATTCCTGATGTATTAGATCCTGATGCGAATGGTGATGGTGTTCCAGATTGTCGACGTGATGGTGGATTACATTATAAATTAGTTAAGTCACCTTCTGGTTTAATTAAAAAAGTATTAAGAATACGTGAACCAACACAAGAAGAACAACATCAAGCCTATATGGTTAATGAAGCTAAACGTAAATTAATACGTATTCGTGCTAAACTACGTGAACCTTTACCAAAGAATACAATACAAGAAATTCCATCATTTGACTTCAATGATAACATGAATGATAATCCAGATAATCATAATGTTGATGAAATAAAATCTAAAATAAAATCATTTAATTCAAAGTCTGTTCAGTCTAATATCAATTCAAAAAATGAACATACAATTAAACATAGTCCAAATAATAAACAAGAAAATGGCGGTAGTATAAATTCAAAGAAAGCATCAATACAAGGAATCAAATCTACGGGTTCACCTTCTTTAAAACAATCAAATCAACAACAAATACCAATAAAACATATCAAAGAACAAAATACTGTTAAATCAAATAATAAACAACAAAATCGTAAATTAGCAGAAAGTTTAACATCAAATGAAAATACTGATTCATTTTATTCTTTAAATAAAGACATTTTACTGAATATTCATGATATAAATGATTACCCTGATCATGTTTCTGCTCCCTTTGATAATGTTGACGATGATGATGATGACAATGAAATAGAGAATGATCAAGAAGTTAATTTAGCTGATACAAACTTAAAAACATCAATATTTGGCAGTTTTTTACTGCCTGGAGCCGAAGCAGGAACAGCTGATGAAGTAACTGGATTACATAAAAAAAATATCAAGAAAATGAAACAAAACGAAGCAACACAAACGAAACAAGTTGATAAATTAAAATTAAAAGAAAAACAGAAGGTTAGAAGAATTACATAGTTAAACTATCCATCAATTCAATTTCTTATTTAGAAAAAAATTTAGATAAATATGAAGTTAATAATTTCTTGGCTGAGACTGTAATTCATGGACGAACCAATCAGATTTAGGATAATAGGTCTTAGATTTTTGCACGAAATTCATTCATCCATTCGGTTAAATAGCGTTTTGGCATTTTAGCTGATGTCATTTCGTAATGAAAACCCTAAATCTAATTCCTAACCCCTACCATCGACCGAAAATCATAATCCTTATTCTTTACACTGCTTTATAACACTCAGTCTGAGTTGGTAGATTGACATTCTCAAGGTCACTTTAGCGTCACTCAATGAGCGTCCACAAAATATAGTCTCACCAATTCTGTTTTATTTGTTTTACTATTGAAACTTGAAACAATCATTGCCTTGAAATTTATCATCTTACATAGTTCATATACTTCTGAATAGACTCAAACAATTATAGAATGAAACAGTTGTTCCGTTGTGTAAATTAGTTTCTAACAGTTATAATCTGCAATAAACTATTTATAAATTTCTTTTATAGTGTAAACTTTTCTTGATTTAGTCTAATTTTATTTTATTCTTGTATGTTGATAATAATGTTGACTGATTTATAAAACATACACAGAAACTATTATGTATGAACTCTAGACATTTCAATAATTCAATAAATAATTATTAGTAACATGACTTATTCAATATTTTTATGGTAGTATATCATCATCATTAACTTAAGATCACGTCCCATGTGGAAACAAATGAATTCTGTTCTTATGATCGTGAATAAATTTGATAACAAACTGGGATAATAAAATTATTTCTTAGTATGAGATTATGAAGATTGATCATTTTCAATGAAATCAGGAACTGATCTAAGTTAAAACTTCATTGATACTTCGTCCTAGCATGACACTCCTCAATAATGAGCATCCACTATCCCTCACGTCAGAATCAGACCAAGGACACTCGATTTCACGAGGAAACACTTAGTCTCTAAATTACCGAATTGGCGTCCAACGGTATTAATTTCTAACTTGAATCAATCCGCAACATTGCCCGATGATCCTTAAGTTTAAATAATTTCAGGATTTTAGTGAAATTCAAAAATCTCAACAAACACATAATTATTATGTGGTTACTAGTAACTAACTTCTAGAGCAAATTTCCACACTTCTAGTGAGAGACTGTGATCAGTGAAGCTAAACCATGTCGAATGAGGGGCAATTACCTACTGAAGACAATGGAAGATGGTCGTGCACTATTGCGGATTGACTAAAATTAGAAGATGATACTGTTGGATGGTGATTCAGTGGTTTAGATATTAAGTGTACCAGTGTGAGACTGAGGGTGTTTTGTTCGATTGTGACGTGAAGGTCTCACGGATGCTCATTAGTGATGTGTTGCATTCTAAAACGAAACGTTCGTCTAGTGCGTCCAGCTTCTCGGTAATATTTTAACTAAGATCAGATCATTATTTCAAGGGAAATTCTTTATATCAGTCAGGAAATACAGAACGATCAGAATCACTTCTTCATACAGCTTTTGGTAAACATAAAATGAAAAATAAAAACGATGATTAAGAAATTTTTATCTAAGTTGGATATTAGTGAGTATTTGAGCTCAGGCTACACGTTTTATTTTATTTGGAACTTGTAAGCTTGATATCATTATCGGTCACTATCCAACATGAATAAAAACCTCTGATTAAATGGAAATATCAAGGTAATCCGATCAAAATGTAAGTATGCCGAAAATAAAACTGATTAATTACAATTCTTAACGTTGACAATATAAACTTTTACAGTTAAACAGACTTATAACAATAGAGATAATCGTCTTAATACCGAAGTTAATTTTGCATAATAATGTCCAGATTTACATATGTAATTATGCATAATAATACTGTGATACAGGATTATCTGTATATGAACGTACCTAAAAAAAGTATTGGAGGGCAGTTTCGTCCTATTGTAAAGCTCCTCATCGGTGCACATCCACGATCCCGCTCGTGGGATTCGAACTCAGGGTCATCTAGTGCTTCCAGGTTTTCAACGGTGGTCTAACATCAATCTGTTCATGATGTCAATCAAAAACCTAATAATCTCCACAAAGCGAAAAGTTTCTTTAAATTATTTTCTTCATGATTAAGTTATTTACAGTGTTCTTATTAATATTACCGATGAACTAAGTCGGAAACTAATTTGAAATTTAAGAAAATTTCATTTATAAAATTTTAAACTTGTATATATTGAATTTACAGTAGACTATTACTACTCTAAATAAGTTTCTTATTTGAAGTTGTAAAACAGAAAAACTAATGATGCATATTTTGTGAATAGTCCCATTTCTCCTAAAGATGTATTTATAAATCAATAGAAACAGTTGTAACGTTTAGGTTTCTATTCTGACTCCATCAGTACTAATCTCGGTTATTATTTGTGTAATTTAATGGATTATTGAGTGTGTATTTGTAGAAACGAACTGCTGATTGGTTGATAATAAATGATTTCGTAGAATGATTATTCATCCTAGGTAACACGACGTAATGTCTGTTTTGTCAGTAATCTGATAGACAATTTGGCGAACAAGGAAAAATCTCCGAACTTTTATAGCTTCGGTTAAATTTATAGGTCAATATGTAGATACAATGAAAAGCAGAAGTAATTTAAACATTGACTGAAAAAATTCCATATGATGAATAAAAGCAGTGGTTAGTAAAAAAGAGGGATCATAAGATCAGTTCAGTTAACATGGTTTATAAAACTACTATTTTCTTTATAATCTGACTCCTAACTGAAACTGTGAATTGGCGACCTCAATAAAATTAGGCTACTTTCAGATTAAGTTATCGAAGTGTCTCAAATCTTTACTCTTTCATAAGTTATATAATATCAGCTTAATTATGGATGTCTACACTAAAGTTAATCAACTAATATGTTTGTAAATGAGAGACTTACTGAAATCTCTTTATTCACAAACTATCAGCAGAGTCAAAACTGTCACACTTTCAATGGCTATGTAAAACGCTATCTGACAGATTCATGCATTCTTCCTACTTTTTCGAATAGTTACTCTTTGTTCATTTAATTTTCTAGAGATGGATCTTCTACTTAGAAATCTTTTCGTAGACTTGGAGTGTGTACATGACATAGTTATATATGATAAAGATGCAGGAAAAATCCATTCTTTTGAACGCCATGAATAACAAATCATGGATACTTGGGTTGCATATGGTTTTTTTTAATAATCCAGCTGGTCTATTTTGTTAATTGAGAACGAAGGTTTTGAGTAAGCTAGCAATTTATTTATTGTAAAAACCCTACAATTATGAAAGACTGATAGCAGATGAAATCTAAATATGAATTTGAATGTCTCTCATCCCATTTATCTACTGATATGATATGTACCACAAATAAGATGTCAATTTGTATTTGAAGACGAATATAATTAATAGCAATTTTTCTTGTATGTCTTTACTTCAATGAACAATGGCCTTCAAAAATCGAGATCGCAATTTGGTTGATAATATTTATTCAAAGTTGTGTTTCATGCATGATAGAACTAACAAGTTATAATCTTAAGGTACGACTTAGGAAAACAAGTAATAGAAAAAGTAAATCAATTGGTAGATCTCCTACTTCATATTGAAACCTATGTGAATTTTGCACCAATTTATAAGCCTTGTCCATTGTTCACTTGCTAATAATACTATTATTTTGTTGCTCAAATGTCCGTAAGTGATTCAACACACTGAGAACACTATCCGAAACCGAACCTATAACATTCGGAATTACTTTCAAGTATGATAATATGGCACAGTTACAGTTTATTCACGAATAAATCGTTAAAAAATGTCCATTTACTAAATATATTCCTTGAATGTTTAACAGTAATACCTCAAAAAGAGATAATGAATCATGTATATTATTGTTATAAAAATGTCATTGTTTCTCATCAACTCACAGGACTTCCGATGCTAATCTTGTTCTCAATATACTCTATTTAGTATGACAGTGAACTATCAGTTACCAAAAAATCTAACTTAAAGGAAATTGAAATACTGAAATGTTTTCTGTTTTTCATTTTGTTCGTTTCTTTACGGTCTCATAATGCTCATATGGGCAGATTGTATAAGTTTTGGGATTTTTCTGACCAAATGACCCCAATGTTAGTTGATTTGGGAAAAATATCTTTATGGGATCAATATCAATCAAGATATGATCAAACCTGTCACAGTAGCTTCTAGACATTCTATACAGATTTCATGCACATTAAAAACAATTTTCAAATCTAAATCTTGACAAACGTTCATTATTATGTATTTTATTCTTGTTAGGTGAATGAAAATGACAAAAGGTTACACTCCACAAAAAACAAACAATCATGTGACGTTCATTCATGTCAACCAACAAAAAATAACCAACAAATGAAAACTCACCGAAAATCTCATTCTATAACAAACTATTTATCTAGGCACGATGAAGACGATCATGATGACGAAGATGAAACATCGCTAGATTCAGATGGTGACGGTATACCGGATTATATGGAAGATGAAAATGGTGATGGCATTCCGGACTACCTAGAAGATGATGACAATGATGGCATTCCAGATCATTTAGAAAGTGATTCAGATGGAGACGGTATTCCAGATTATATGGAAGATGACGATGGAGATGGAATACCAAACTACTTAGAAGACGAAGATGGAGATGGCATACCAGATTACCTGGAAAATTGTAAAAATAGCAAAAATCAAGGTAAGTATAAAATAAACGAACGTCAAGTTCGAAAACATAAAAATAAACAAACACATTCAGATGAAAATAAAAAAAATTTAAGGCGCGACCGAATAAACATCAATAAAAAAATTCAAAGACATGAAAACTACTCACCTTACGACCATCTAGAAAGTGATTCTGATGGTGACGGTATCCCTGATCACCAGGAGGATGAGGATGGTGACGGAATTCCAGACTACCTGGAGGACGATGACGGGGACGGTATTCCCAATTATCTCGAAACGAGTCACCTCAAGAGAGCAAGCAAATTACCGAAACATATCGACAGAGACGGTGATGGAATTCCAGACCATCTAGAGGGTGATTCTGATGGTGACGGTATCCCTGATCACCAGGAGGATGAGGATGGTGACGGAATTCCAGACTACCTGGAGGACGATGACGGGGACGGTATTCCCAATTATCTCGAAACGAGTCACCTCAAGAGAGCAAGCAAATTACCGAAACATATCGACAGAGACGGTGATGGAATTCCAGACCATCTAGAGGGTGATTCTGATGGTGACGGTATCCCTGATCACCAGGAGGATGAGGATGGTGACGGAATTCCAGACTACCTGGAGGACGATGACGGGGACGGTATTCCCAATTATCTCGAAACGAGTCACCTCAAGAGAGCAAGCAAATTACCGAAACATATCGACAGAGACGGTGATGGAATTCCAGACCATCTAGAGGGTGATTCTGATGGTGACGGTATCCCTGATCACCAGGAGGATGAGGATGGTGACGGAATTCCAGACTACCTGGAGGACGATGACGGGGACGGTATTCCCAATTATCTCGAAACGAGTCACCTCAAGAGAGCAAGCAAATTACCGAAACATATCGACAGAGACGGTGATGGAATTCCAGACCATCTAGAGGGTGATTCTGATGGTGACGGTATCCCTGATCACCAGGAGGATGAGGATGGTGACGGAATTCCAGACTACCTGGAGGACGATGACGGGGACGGTATTCCCAATTATCTCGAAACGAGTCACCTCAAGAGAGCAAGCAAATTACCGAAACATATCGACAGAGACGGTGATGGAATTCCAGACCATCTAGAGGGTGATTCTGATGGTGACGGTATCCCTGATCACCAGGAGGATGAGGATGGTGACGGAATTCCAGACTACCTGGAGGACGATGACGGGGACGGTATTCCCAATTATCTCGAAACGAGTCACCTCAAGAGAGCAAGCAAATTACCGAAACATATCGACAGAGACGGTGATGGAATTCCAGACCATCTAGAGGGTGATTCTGATGGTGACGGTATCCCTGATCACCAGGAGGATGAGGATGGTGACGGAATTCCAGACTACCTGGAGGACGATGACGGGGACGGTATTCCCAATTATCTCGAAACGAGTCACCTCAAGAGAGCAAGCAAATTACCGAAACATATCGACAGAGACGGTGATGGAATTCCAGACCATCTAGAGGGTGATTCTGATGGTGACGGTATCCCTGATCACCAGGAGGATGAGGATGGTGACGGAATTCCAGACTACCTGGAGGACGATGACGGGGACGGTATTCCCAATTATCTCGAAACGAGTCACCTCAAGAGAGCAAGCAAATTACCGAAACATATCGACAGAGACGGTGATGGAATTCCAGACCATCTAGAGGGTGATTCTGATGGTGACGGTATCCCTGATCACCAGGAGGATGAGGATGGTGACGGAATTCCAGACTACCTGGAGGACGATGACGGGGACGGTATTCCCAATTATCTCGAAACGAGTCACCTCAAGAGAGCAAGCAAATTACCGAAACATATCGACAGAGACGGTGATGGAATTCCAGACCATCTAGAGGGTGATTCTGATGGTGACGGTATCCCTGATCACCAGGAGGATGAGGATGGTGACGGAATTCCAGACTACCTGGAGGACGATGACGGGGACGGTATTCCCAATTATCTCGAAACGAGTCACCTCAAGAGAGCAAGCAAATTACCGAAACATATCGACAGAGACGGTGATGGAATTCCAGACCATCTAGAGGGTGATTCTGATGGTGACGGTATCCCTGATCACCAGGAGGATGAGGATGGTGACGGAATTCCAGACTACCTGGAGGACGATGACGGGGACGGTATTCCCAATTATCTCGAAACGAGTCACCTCAAGAGAGCAAGCAAATTACCGAAACATATCGACAGAGACGGTGATGGAATTCCAGACCATCTAGAGGGTGATTCTGATGGTGACGGTATCCCTGATCACCAGGAGGATGAGGATGGTGACGGAATTCCAGACTACCTGGAGGACGATGATGGGGACGGTATTCCCAATTATCTCGAAACGAGTCACCTCAAGAGAGCAAGCAAATTACCGAAACATATCGACAGAGACGGTGATGGAATTCCAGACCATCTAGAGGGTGATTCTGATGGTGACGGTATCCCTGATCACCAGGAGGATGAGGATGGTGACGGAATTCCAGACTACCTGGAGGACGATGACGGGGACGGTATTCCCAATTATCTCGAAACGAGTCACCTCAAGAGAGCAAGCAAATTACCGAAACATATCGACAGAGACGGTGATGGAATTCCAGACCATCTAGAGGGTGATTCTGATGGTGACGGTATCCCTGATCACCAGGAGGATGAGGATGGTGACGGAATTCCAGACTACCTGGAGGACGATGACGGGGACGGTATTCCCAATTATCTCGAAACGAGTCACCTCAAGAGAGCAAGCAAATTACCGAAACATATCGACAGAGACGGTGATGGAATTCCAGACCATCTAGAGGGTGATTCTGATGGTGACGGTATCCCTGATCACCAGGAGGATGAGGATGGTGACGGAATTCCAGACTACCTGGAGGACGATGACGGAGATGGCATCCCTAATTATCTGGAAAATAATGGTGCTACATCAATTTATTTAAGTTTTTTGCGGAAATCGATCATGAATTTTCATTCGTCGGATGCAGACGATAAGGTTATTCCTGATTACGTGCATGGTGACGCTGATGGTGATGGTGTTCCTGACTATCTGAAGGATAGTGATAATGATGGAGTACCAGATTTTATGGAAGATGATGATGGTGATGGAACACCAAACTATTTAGATGTTGATTCTACAGGACAAATCTTGCAACATACGATTTCGTATAAAAAGCACTACGATGTCAATAAAAATGGCATACCAGATGACTTGGAAAGTGATCAGGATGGAGATGGCATCCTTGACTTCATGGAAGATTCTGATGACGATGGTATTCCAGATTATCTAGAGGATTCAGATAATGATGGATTCCCAGACTATTTAGATGATACATTTAGCCCCAAACGTGATATCCATTTAAAATTTGAAGATAAAAATAAGAATGCGATACCGGATCATTTAGAAAGTGATTCTGACTATGACGGAGTTCCTGACTATTTAGAAGATTCTGATAGAGATGGTATACCAGACTATTTAGAAGATACTGATGCAGATGGTACACCAGATTACATGGATGAAGATGCTGTTACACAATTTTCTCCGAGAAAAATACGCCATCGTGGCAGCGGTCGAAAATTTGCTGATGCTGATAGAGATGGTATACCAGATCATTTAGAAGGTGATATTAATCATAACGATATCATTGACTATTTAGAAGATTTGGATAATAACAGTATACCGGATTATCTTGAAGATTCTGACAAAGATGGCATACCAGACTATTTAGACGAAGATGCTAATACAAAATTTTCCCCAAAAGTATTAAGATCATTAAAGCCAGTCAGACATTATGCTGATATAGACGGTGATTACATACCAGATCATTTGGAAGAAGATAATGATGGTGATGGAATTCCAGACTACCAAGAAGATTCTGATTCGAATGGTATTCCGGATTATTTAGAAGATAGTGATGGCGATGGTATACCGGATTACATAGATGAGGATGCTACGACACAGTTTTCACCAAAAAAATATCGTAATTTACGTTCTTCTATGAAATTTGAAGATGAAGACGGTGATGGTATACCAGATCATTTACAAGGTGATTCCGATGGTGATGGAATTTTAGATTTTCTTGAAGATAGCGATGGTGATGGGTTACCAGACTATTTAGAAGATGCTGACGGAGATGGTATTCCAGATTATTTAGATGAGGACGCAAACAGTCAATTTTCACCGAAACATTTCACTGACAAAAATAAAGATGGTATACCGGATCATTTAGAAGGAGATTCAGACGGTGATGGTACACCGGATTATCTTGAAGATACTGATCAAGATGGTGTCCCAGATTATTTAGAAGATTCCGATAATGATGGTATACCGAATTATTTAGATAATGATGTTGTTGATGTCGAAGTTGAAGCAGTTATTGAAGCGTACGATAAAGATACTAACAATAATGGTATGGCAGATTATTTAGAAGATTGGGATGGTGATGGTATACCAAATTATCTTGAAGATGAAGATCACGATGGTATTGTAGACTTCCTGGATAAACAAGACAATCGTTTATTAAGAAGACTGACTAAAAATAAGAAATCAAAATTTCAAAATCCAAATGATAAAAATGCCAACTTTATACCAGATCATGTAGAGGATGATTTAGATGGTAATGGAATTCCAGAATTTAAACAAGATTCTGACGGTGATGGCATACCGGATTACTTAGATGAAGATTATTTTCATCACTTTCTAAAGGCATCAAAAAAACATACCACAAAGAAAAGAAAAGAAAGTAAAAAATCTTCGAGTAAAATCAAAGCCGCCCCTGGGATCCCAGACAGTTTGGATCATGATTCAAATAGTGATGGTGTACTGAAAGAGAAAGGTAAATGCATACATTTTTCTACTTATTCATTTTTTAAACAATAGTTTTTCTGTAATAGTGTTTTATTTCTAAGACAAATTTAACTAGTGGGATAGGACTCCTAAAAATGATACAGATTCTCGTAGCTCATAGATAATACAGATTTAAATATGTGGCGGTTAAAACAAAAAAATAACGTGTATAGAATGTACTTTGTAAGAATGAGTCATCTTTGTCACGTGATTATTTAGGTAAGGCCACAAAAATTAAACCAATCAGAGAACGATATTATTAAAGAGCTGATCAATTATTAAATCGATATTCACACTTCGAATATGTTAAGGCATGCGGCAGCAAATCGTAGACGGAATGACCTCATATGGTAGCACTCAACTATATTTTAAATTTAATTTTAATAAATATGTTGACAACCTCATTTCTTCGAAGTTTAGTCAATAATATTGAGGAATAATGTGCATACTATACACTGAAATGTTTCTGATTATGTGCAGTTTATTATTTGTTTATATATATATTTTTATATTGTAGGCTGAGAATGAAAAATAAGATCACTAAGGGTTTCCTTTAAATCTTACACACTTTTGTTAAACTGGTCATTTAAAACCCTACCATTAAAAATCTAGTACAGCCAGATAATCTATACACGAAATTCATTTAACCTTTGCTATTCATTTTAAAATAGAACTTTCTAGATGAATATTCATTTATGAAATATAATCGATTGTATATTGACATAAATTTAATATTAAAACTTAGTTCAACAAAATGATACTAAAGAAATACCATGAACGGTTTCTGAAATGGTCTTAGTCACATGTATCGACAGTTAATAAGCATTACATAAACTCGGGTGATGCTTTATGAAATATTTACTACTAATTCATAACAAAGTTTTCTTAATGAAAATATCAGTATAATATAGACATGGAATCATAAGAACACAAAGAGGAATATCTCTGAAAACAACATAAATTGTAAAGAAGTTAAAATTTATTCAGCTTATCATTGAATCCTTTACAAAATAACTTTGAAAATTTATCTGACTAATTATCGGTTTTGTTAAAACATTTGTATATCTGATGAATTTCAATGTACGGATCACTTTTTGATGGAGTTTTGTTTTCTGAGCTTGATGGTTTGGTTGTGGAGCTTTCATCTTTCTTTTGAACTCCAGACTTCTACCTGAAGTTTGTGCTGATGATGTCCTTCTAAGCTCCACGACCAAACCATCCAGCTCAGAGAACAAAACTCCATCAAAATCACCCACCTGAGCTACAAATCTTCTCCACGAATCACTACTTGGCACGGAGGATTCATTAATCAAAACTTCAGTAATAAAAAACAAACAAACAATTATTAATTGCATGTAAACGTAGAGTTTCTTATAAAATCCTCTCAGTAAACTTCCTAAGTAGAATAATCATTAATAATATAGTTTGATAAACCTGAGTATAAAAATTTCGAACATAACCATGATAATTAAAAGCATTCAGATCAATGTTTTAACTAAGAATTTCCGAAATAGTGTAATTTAAGGCACGTAAAGTTAGATGAGTTCAACTGAACGTACTATATTTGGAATTTGTAATGAGTGCGCAATCAAGTAAAAAAGAATCATCAGTTAGCACTAATACCATAATAACCCATTAGCTTAATCTAAATCATGAACGGCTGAAAATAAGTCTTCCTAATAGCTAGAATTTTATATCACTGTGAATTAGGCGCTTTAATAAACAATCATTTCAAATAACATCATCGACAATTACTTCAACTAGAAATGAATATTTTTATAATTATTTGCTAGTTCTGATTTGTGATTGGTTGGTAACATAGTATTTGATGAGTAATTTATATTCCATTGTTTTATTGTTCTCTGGTACTAAGATTCTGTAAATACAGTAAATAAAGTAATATTTGAACACTTGAAACAATACCCAGAATTTAGACATTTAAATTTCAAACTTACGATGAATAATGCTTTTAGTGAAGATCAAATTAATTTCATTCAAACTGATATACATCAATAAGGTCAATGCAAAATATTACTTGTACAATCTTTGGAAATATTTAGAGATATATTAGACTATATATAGTCTGATAGACCATATTTTTAATGATAATTATTTAACTTCAATGATTGAGATCATGAGTCAATTGAAGCTAGACTACCGTGGAAAACCTAGAAAACCTACAATATCCACAAAACCCCTTCTGATATTAATCAACATATGCTCATTAGTGACTGGCTTCAAGAGGTATATCCTGGAGTTCTAGTGAGAAGCAGTGACCAGTGGAGTTCAGCCAGGTCTGTTGTGAGATAGTAACTCACTGAAGATAATGGTGGATGTGTCTCTCAATTTCGTGCATTGGTTAAAGTTAGACATTAACACCGTTGGATGCCGGCTTAGTGGTCTAGTGGTTAAGCACTCACGCGCGAGACTGATAGGTCCAGTGTTCTAGTCTGCTGGGGCGGGATCGTGGATGCTCACTGCTGAGGAGTGCCATAATAGGACGAAACGGCCGTCCAGTGGTTTCAGGTTTTTCACGGTGACCTAGCTCCAGTTGACTCGTGATCTCAACCATTGAAATTACTACAATATCCACAAAACCCCTTCTGAAATTACTTAATTGATGGAGAATAATAAATTCGCTTAAAACAAATCAGATTTTTCTTTAAAAATAACATAAACTAATTTTATTCATATTAATTTGATTTATTTACTTACCAACATATATACTATTCAAACATACATATATTTTCAGTAAGACAAATTCTTTATTTTATCTGTATATTTTCAGTTGCCGATCGAAATAACAACGGGATACCAGATAATCTAGAGATGAAAGACTCTGATAATGATGGAATTATTGACCTTTATGATGACGACGATGATAATGATGGAATTCCCGACGATCAAGGTATTTCATCTTAAAAAAACCATGCAAATTCCTTGTCCCCCCTCACGCACCGAAATGCGCTACAAATTGATACTGAATGGCTTAATAAATATTATTATTATTATTATGCATTTGTATTGTTTCATGAAAGAAGTATTAATTAATGTGTGCGTGCACGTAAAATCCAAATTGCCTGAAAATGTTCAAGATTATCAACTACATGTCATCAAACATAGTTCTTCTCTAATAAAATTCTCTTCTCGATCCCTTCATCACCTCTCTTTATATTTTAATGCTTCCTTTCCTGATATTTCCTAATGAGTGAAAAAAATGCGTAGACGGAGTCAGCCAATACTGGATATATTCCACCTTCCTTTTACACTTATACATATGTATACGTATTGATATGAACCGTTTTGTTATTGTTTCTGTTATTTTATTTTTACCCGTCTGTTGTTAATCACATTATGATGTACTACCGTCTTTGAACTGACCCAGATTTCTTTAAATGTTAGATGTTTTTATTTTCATTGATTTTCCGTGAATTTCTAAACAGCAATACTGCATGTTTTAATTTCTACTAGGATCTTATAATGCGTTTGTCTATTTGTATGCTGAAGCTTTGGGCTGTATGTTAAATTTCTTCATCCGTCTTATTTAAAAACGTGCTCATTGGATGAAAATGGAATATTAAGATTGCATGTTCTATAATGGGGATTTTGAGTTAAAATGAGAAACATTTCCCTACCTATAAATATAAAACAGTTACTTAAATATTATAGTTCCTAAAAACATTGAACACATTTTAGATCTATGTATTCCCATTAAACTCTTCAATTAGTGTCTTACAGAAGTTATTGATAGAACATTTTATTACTCATAATGTAAACATTAAGCAATCAAATATAATCAACATACAGAAGTACACCTAACTGACAACGGAATAGTAATCAGTGTTTTATTGTCCAGTTCTAAATGTTTATCAAATTGTAATATTGTCACTAGTTAGAGTGACTATTTGTCAGGTACTGAGCAGTAAAACGGGGAGGGATCAACAGAAGGCCATAAATCTAGGTCCCACAATAGGTATTACCAGTTAACAAGGCACATCTCCAGTCTTAAAAGAATTGATGCCTCCAGTGAGGTTCATATTTAGGTCATTACCCATTATCATAGTCAGAGACGTTTGTTAGATCTGCAGTATAAAATTGCCACTAAAAATAAAAATACGCCTTGCTAACGACTATCAACCAGCATGAAATCCAAGATTTCCAGCTTCCTGCCGATCTCCTCTAACCACTTTATAGAATTATTTCATTTACATAATCATGACATGTAATAAGCAAACCATTTAATCTATTCGAAATTTTTTGTAGTGATGAGATACTGATAGCAGTAAACTAACATAATTACGTAGTAAGTAGATTCATGTAATTTTATAGATATGATTTGAAAGTGTGAAGACAATTTATCAGTATAACTTATCTCTTTTACGAAGAAGTATATGAAAACTCTAAAACCCGAAGTCAATGACCCTATTGTCTGAGTTTTAATACTTAGTCTAACGTGCTTCTTCGAAGGAATCCTTAATGTAATAAACCAAGATTTACATGTATATGTATGTTAAGTATAAGAATTTCAATCATAGTGGTTATATTCTTTGCAAAATAATCAGTAAGATTACGAATTTGAAATGGTAATATTTGATGAGATTTTGAAGAATAAAAGAAAAACAATTCGACAAAATGTATTAACCACCAGATAGTCAAATCAGTAGCTTGTACATATTTACGTACATATCTATCTATTAAAAGGCTTCAATTAGTTCTTTAAATAATTTAATATAGACTGTCTCTAAATTAAATAATGAAGAGATAAACAGATATTCGGTAAACAGGATATGAAAGTTTAAACACTGAATTTAAGTTCGATAGATAAGACTTGTAAAGAGTATCATTTGTATTATGGACAACTATCTTCTATAATAATTAATCAGGCAATCATATGAATCAATTAGTATCCTTAATAATGTTACTGTTGTACTAAGTGTCTTAAGTTATAAACATTCTCTGCTTATAATTGTATTATTTTTATGTAACAATGGAAGACAGTGAACCTTTTATTGTTTAACATTGATACACTTGTGTTTCTAAAATTGTTATTGTAAACATTATCTACAAAATTTCTTGTTGGAATGTTCTATTCTTTTTCTATTTAGACGATGACGACGATAATGATGGTATCAAGGATTATCATGAAGATCAAAATGGTAATCAGAAATTGGACATTCTTGAAGCAAAAGATACAGATGGTGATGGCATCCCTGATTATCTAGATGACGACGATGATGGAGACGGTATACCTGATTGCGATGACGATGATGACGATGGTGATGGTAAGCAAAAACCTTCTGTTACTTGCAATGACTTCTGGATTCAGCTATAAAGTGCATATCCGCATTATATACACTTGAGTGTCCATTAGTGAGAGTGAGAGAACTGAGGAATGGTTATGAAGCTTCAACTGACAAACCAAACTCATTTGTAACAAGTCTTTGATATCTGTTCATTTGTCCTCCTAACCTAGACATTGATATGTAGGCTGAGATCCTGATTGTGGTCATATATAGTTTCCTTCAATGATGTGTCTCAATTACAATTATTTACCTTGTATCTGACCTTAAGATGGCATGTCAGCACAGTTGCGTGATAAACTCAGAATCACCCGGCCTATCAACTAATTTTATTAATAAATGGATCTTCTGATTTATTTGGTGACAATCTGACAACCAATGCTGTTGTTAGAACAAGAAATTCGCCTACTTAAACGTTCTGATGTGATAAAAATTGCGGAGATAATCAAGAAACAACGCTAATTTGGGAATGAATTTTGACAACTTTGTTTGACTACATGGTTTTTCAACAATATAAAAAATATAAACAATCATCGACAATACCGAACGTGAATAATTATCATAGAAAATCATTGGAAATTCCATTACTGAAATTTAATTATTATTACTTCCATAAAGGATAAGGCTGAGTCAATTTTATATTTTCTTATCTGTAGCCTTCTCAGTCAACAAGATTATCTAGGCCTAAGCTTTTGGATAGGTTACTAAGTGTTAGCATTAAATGTTAATACAGCTCAGGACTTCCAATAGTTTTTTTTTTCGGAATCAATGTAAGATGTCACATGTTTCGAGATACAAATAGCTCTATCTATCTCGTTGAGTTCCACTTTTATATGTATTAGAGTAAAATATCTAAACTTAAAGGTGGCTTCAATACGAGTATTAAAACCTTCACAGACTAATCGTCCACACTAAAATGTCCAATATTTCCTAAATATCTCCATAACGCTCATATAGGTTATGTCCATTCGATTACTACGACCTCAAACTTAATATTAGCCAATCAAAGCTGTCAGTTTTAAGTTAATCTAATGGGCCAATCAGGTACAAATTTGGTAATATGGTGATTAGATAATTATAAAGATAAATGAATTCATCTACACGCTGTACATTGAATATCATTTACAGCACAGTGCTTTTTGTACTTTTTTTAGTTAAGTCTTTTCATCCCGTTTTGTTAAATGAAATGATGAGTTATGCAATGGTAATTATTGGTTATTATTTTCTGAACGTAATGTAAGATGTAAAGATTCCTCCAGTGATCACCTTTCCTCCAAACTATAAATGTAAATAACTTACAATACGTTAGCCTTATCATTTTGAATGTTATTACGGACACTGATAATGTGTTCTTGAGTGAGTCGTATCTGGTAGAGTTTCAATCACTTGAAGTGTTAAAGATCATTAAAAATTTGATAAATCTTCAGGTACGATAATCTGCATTATAATTACAAATTTGTGTCATGTTTGAGAAATAGTTCTCAATTTTTTACAGTTCACTTTTAATTGTCAACTTAAATCTATATAACTGAACAGACTAAGTTCCATTTCTATGTGGTCAATAAGAAAATTATTATCTCTTTTTATCTCAATATCTATTAACAGACGGTTGTATATTATATCATATTAATACTAATATTTCCGTAGTCTGTGAACTTTAGTTTGACTACCGATCCTAATATAGTTATTGGGCGGACATTGACGTTTTAAGAATATTCCAGTTTGCAAAACTTTAATTATAAAACAAATTACAATTTATCATAGAAGTATATTTGAAGGATATTCATAGTAGAGAAAATTGTATTGATTATGTTTTAGATTCTGTTAGATGAATCACATATCAGAAATACAAAAGATTACATCTATGTTTTCTGAAGTTACATTTACCCCTCAACAGCAGTACAAACCTTCAGTTTTACGGTTGTTCACTAACCATCTTCAAAAAAACCCAATAAGTATAGTAAGCCTTATTCGATTTTACATTTTAGGTATATTAGACATTGATGAAGACGAAAACAGGAATAAAATTCCTGACCATTTAGAAACTGAAGACACTGATGGGGACGGTAAATTTTGTTTAAAATTATTTACTATCAACTGTTTTCCCCTTGGTTTTTGACTAAACACAAATCCATAAAATTTAGTCAACACTGGAATGCTATGTAAATTACTAGCTATTTTTCAGTCATTGTTTTATAAGTTCAGTCTATCTTAGAAAGGGTCAGCCAGTTATTATCAGTGTACAGCCTAGCACAGATGTAGATTGGCTCAATTTACCAAACTAAATTATGGCAGGACGAGATGAAACCAACATAGTGTATGGAAAGAGAGATTAGAATAATGTATTAGCTTGTAGCTCTTCTAGGATTACCGGGTAAAGGAGGAAGGTTGGGCATAGGGTCAGCAACCCAATCTCGTATGAAACAACATCGCTAAAAAACGCTGACCATAATAAACAAATTAAACCATTTAAACTCGGCCCTCCGAGTTGAAGGATCCTCATTCAGAAGAACTATAAAGCCTCATGGCGAAAGCTGAGATTCTTCGGAAAATACGAGGCCTTTGCCACTTCTAACAACCAGAGCAACAATTAGTATCGGTACATAGGATGTTCGAACAATGTAGTAGAATGGAAGGATCGATCAAATAGCTATGGAAATAAGGGGATACAACTTGGCGGTTCTCAGAATAAATAAATGACAATAAAAAAGATTAAGCAGAGTGTAAAAGTATATATGAGATTATAAAATCGATAGGAAGATCAAAAGTCGATGCTGATTGAATGATTTTACAATTCTAGGTTAAATTTGTCTTGGATTTTTTGGATCAGTGTTAACTTTTAAGACGTCCCAGGTACCTCTTCAAGTTTGAGATGGATTATAAACTATCTTCAATACCCAGCTCTATGTTTATTTAAAGAACATGTCTATCAATTTATGGTTTATGTAGTGAACTCCGAGTCATAGTTCTCGGTTAAGAGTTATTGTTACTAAGACATGGATCTGTTTCCGGATACGCGGGCAGTTAACTGTTACTATAGAGATGAAACATTCTTTATCTTTGTGAAGCATTTCAGAATATAGACTTACGATGCAATTTTAATGAGATTCACCTAAAGTTTTGCTTTTGTATTCACTCAAATATGTGAGTTGAATCTTATTGACGTATGGTGAATTAAATCTCATTAATTAGATTAAATTTACATTATTCAAGGAATCGTATTTTTAATATCCTTGGTCAGATTTTTGAATCGACATGTAAACAGGAGTTATATAATATAACCTTAGTGTATTGCATTGCATAACAATTTTCTACCTCCTTATGAATCCGTTCTGGGTCATTCAGACACTGTGTTCTCACTTTTATTACTTTTCAGCCAACGCTTAAATATTTATCTTGTGAACTTTGAGCTGTGCAAAAAATATTGCAGGTACACCTTGCGTACAAGCGCCAACTAGCACGAAAACTAAATACAGCATTTTCTGTCGACTATCTAACATCTAAATATAGTGCACGTAATTTTGAGTTTCTTACACAAATAACACATTGTAACTTGATCATTAAGATTCAACCAGAACCAAGGACTAGACAAACAGTGTCGATATGACGAAATAAAATATAGGACCCTAAAGTTTCTATTTCTATTCACCTGATCACTAACGTCTAAATGGAATAAAACAAAGCAGCGCAGTGATTATCTGGTCATGCTGTCAGAGTAAAAGTAAATTCTTACTAAGTTTTTCGTCAATTCACTTCCGAATTTAACTAACTCATCCTTTGAAGAAACATTAATTGGAACCAATAAACATTTCTTATTTTGATTTTTCATTGTTTTGTAAAATTCCACTTTCATTTTGTCATAAAAATTTGTCGCTTTTTTCTTAGGAGTCATTGATCTACTTGATACAGATGATGATAACGATAATATACCAGACTACTTAGATAGTGATTCCGATGGAGATGGTATTGACGATAAAAAACAGGATAGAAATCGTCATAAAACTACTAATCCAAAAGAAACTATCAAGAAAAGTAAGTCCTTCTTTAATCTGTAAAAGCTTGGATTAACTAAATTCATTAGTTATGGCTTTTTCAGTTATTATGATACGATGAAGGTTTGGTTAAGATGACTACGGAAAAGGTAAAGAAGAAATGTAACTCTACTTAATTGTTACCTAAATCGGTTTGTTAGATGTTACATAGTTTAATCTCAAATATCGAGCTTATGACAACTGAAAGACACTGTACACTTAAAATCCCATTGACCTACTGCCTTCAGGACTTACAGTTTATGTATTACTATTAACTCACTGGGTTTATCAGTCTTTATGTCTTAATTTATATGATCTGTGAAATATCGTTTCTATCATTTAATTTCAATGACAGTTATTCGTTTTTTACTGTTAAAGGAGAGTTTTATTTTACTCGTGCTTTGGTTGAAAATTATGTTTAATCGTCACTTGAAGTGTTGTAATTCTTGGAGCTTCAGAAAAGTGGTATTCTAGTTATGACTTTAAAATAAATAAGCTTCCTCTTCAGATAAAACCAAAGAAATACATTTACTCTGTGCTTATTTGTTTACAAAATTCAACTACACAATTTATCAATATTTCGGTACATTATTATGTTACTGTATTAATATTTTAGTGACAAACAGTTTAAACGTGTTTAAAGGATACTTTTTATCAATCAGAAAACCTTTATTGCCAAAACATGAAGATAGTAAACAAGATACCCTAATAATTTAATTTGTTTAGTGTCCATAAATTCAGTTCAACTCAACAAAGTTTAACAACTCGTGTTACAAAATGATTTTCACCATGACAAAGTATTCTATTGGAGACAAGGAAAATTACCTGATATTGAACAATCTTTACCATACAACTAGTGAATACTTCATTAACATGACCTATCTACCTGCCTAGTCTTTAAATCACGGATCCACAATTGATGGATTGTGTACCAACTGCTACATACATTGGCCGACCAGTCATGATATAGGACACATCTAGACTTCAAGTATTCAATCGCATGAGTTTTGTTTTAGGCAGTATTCGCATTGCTTGAAATCACTAGATGACCTTTTAGCTATATTGGTCGTTTGGTAAATTTAAATTAAGTGAGAAGAACAAGATTTGCAGAATTACTCGAATTTATTATATTTCAAGGCTTCTCGTCATTTGTAAACGGCCTAAATTTATATTGTTGATATAATTATAAAATCTTGCATACCGTGACCAATGACCTTCAGTTAGAGATGAAATAATAAACAATAAAGAATTTATAAAAAATGGGTTTTGTGGATGTTGTAGTAATGTAATAGTTGAATTCATGAGTTGATTAAAGCTGGACCACCATGGAAAACCTGGAAGCACTGGACGGCCGTTTCGTCCTAATATGGGACTCTTCAGTAATGCACATCCACGATCCCACTCGAAGGATTCGAAACCAGAACAACAACATATTTGATATAATAGTGAAGACTGATTAGTATTTACGTGTCGAAGATGAAGTCATAAAAAAGGGATGAAATTATTACTGAATGAATAAAAACACATGAGTGATAATCAATCAAGGCACCTAGTTGATATAAGATTAAAGTTTAACGTTGTGAGTGAATGTCAGTGGGATCTTTTTTTTAAAGTATTTAAAATGATTAATTCTGCCAGTTTGTGCGTCAAATAAATCAGAGTCGTTCGGTGAATCAATTTTATCGTTTAAAGATCGCCGTCATATTAAAAGACTAGTATTTAAACTATATATTATTGTAGAACCTGAAGAGAATCAATTTTTGTGAAGAATCATATGATCCCATTTCTAATATTTCATGTTTGCTACTGTAACATTAGAGAATTTAATGAAAACTATTCGAAATTCCATTATTTTCTTAATAATCGAGTCATAGTAATAAACACTTACCATTCATTTGCTGCAAAATCTGATTAATAATAAATAAGATTTCTCTGTAATATGAATACTATTTAAATTATATTAATCGTTTATTAATATAAACAACAGCAGAAACAAATGCCTTATCGTATTGATGAAAGAGTTTTTTTCGCGACTGGTCTTGGTATTAAAGAGAAGAAGGATAGTTATTCAGCATTATTGTCAACATTTATGTTGATTACTGCTTACTAGATTAAAACAACCATAAAATATGATAAAATATTAAAGTGTATATATCTAATATGGTCCCGACCGTTGTTGCTACCTTGATGTGGTGGTCGGGCTTGCCTATCGTTATGATTTAATCGAGGCATACTGGCTGGAACAATCATTCCTCAAGGTCCTACCATACCAGAAAGGTCGGCTGAAGAGCGGTAAAACTAAAAGCAGCAAACCCAAGGTCTGAGGGTGAAGTCGTTCTGTTGACTGTACAGAAGTGTAACTGCAGTAAGGTGTTTTCTTCAGACAACCAGTATAATAGCGATGCTGCCTTCCCACAAGGTCAACACTAAGAATGCACACCTTGCCTTATCCCACGGATATCCGTCTCCGGAGGTATGGTATCAACAAGTACGGAGCTAACACGGAAATTACCCACAGAAAGGTCGTGTGTGACCAACCTCAAGCAGTTGTCCCTTGGGCACTGCGGTCACACTCTCAGGTCACTAAGACCACCTTTAATCCAACTTCCTTTTCAGGTACCTCTAGAAGAACCCTTCCACGGTGTGGGAAACCAGGAAGTGATAACCGCCCTCATACCTCTAACAGCACTCAAGACCACTGTATTCATAGTCAACCTCCCTCTTCAATTCCTATTATTCCTCCTACATCGACTTTCAACGCTAAACTTTTTTCTTTCGGCTTCCTCCTCAATTGTCACCATAGCCAACTATTCTAGTGCGCAAAACACTGTCCCAGGTCTACTGAAACCTCGCTCCAAACTACACATTAGAGCCTTCAAACGTACACACACTATGTCAAATCGGTCAGCAGGTCTCCTTGAATAAAACCCTAGAATCTCGTACCATTGATGTATAATGTGTCTCCGAAACACGCATACAGGATCCTAGTGTGGTCATTCACTTGACCTCACCTCGCCAAAACGGAGAGCCGACGAGATACACCCTCCGTGTATCTGGAGACTTGATGGCTAGTTCTCATGGACTGGCAGGTGTAGATATATCACCAAGTACGAGGGCAGGTCAAGCACTATTAACAGTCGTCTATGCGCTGTTCGGCTAAACGGCTCGGTAAGAACTCGGAAGGATAGGGACACACGTCGTTGCCTTTTCGTCGTTTCTGCCTACGCTCCCACTGACTGCAGTTCGGATGAAGTGAAAGATGAATTTTACAAAAAGCTGTCTGAACTTCTTCAGAAAGCTAAACGTTCAGACATAGTACTCGTAGGAGGTGACTTTAATGCCCAGGTAGGTAGCTTAGATCAAACAGAATGACATTTAGGTGGGTATTTTGGTATTCCGGTACAGCGAACAGATAATGGTGATCGTCCGCTGCAACTGTGCCTAGACAACTGTTTATTTTTGGCAAACACTAATTTAGGGCATAAGGAGAGACATCGTCTATCATGAAGAACAATTGTATCGAACCAACGATGGACTCAAACAGACCATATTGCCATCAGTCATCCTTGGAGAGGGTCGATAGAAGAATGTCGCTCATTCTGTGATGCCTCATTGGGCTCCGATCATGCTCTAATATGGGAACGCATCTGCTTGCGCCTGGTTAGCGTTTTTTTAGCGAGTTGGTTTTCTACGGGATGGGGTCGCTAACCCCATGCCCAACTCTCCTCCTTTATCCGGGCTTGGGACCGGTAGTAGCCCCCCGAAAGGGACTCCAGGAGGACAGTTCTACTGTATGGGGCGGAAACCTGGAAAACTACGAAATCCATCGTCCAAAAGATACAGGTGTTTATTAACAGTTGTCTACGCAAAATACTTCGGATCCGTTGGCCGGACACTATTAGCAACAACCTACTGTGGGAGAGAACAAATCAGATCCCAGTGGAGGAAGAAATCAGGAAGAAGCGCTGGAAGTGGATAGGACACACATTGAGGAAAGCACCCAACTGCGTCACAAGGCAATCCCTCACATGGAATCCTCAAGGCCGAAGGAGAAAAGGAAGACCAAAGAACACATTGTGCCGAGATGGAGACACATGAGAAGAATGAACGGCAATTGGATAGAACTAGGAAGACTTGGGACAAAGTGGGTTGGAGAATGCTGGTCGGCGACCTATGCTCCACTGAGAGTAACAGGCGTAAGTAAGTAAGTAAGTAATCTGCTTGCGCCTCACTGGATGCAGAAAAGCCACGTTAAGAAGACCCATTAGAATTGAATTAAGTGACGAGAAAACCAAAATTAGATTCCAGAAAGAAGTGAGGTCACACTTAGGTAATTCTGAAAACGAGGCTGACACAGATGTTGGTTGGAAAGATAATACAAACAGCTGTGGAAATGGCAATGACATCTGTTAGTGATTTAAACCAAAGGGTTACAGAAGTTATATTAGTGCAAACTATATACTCGGCACCCAATTCTTGTCAAACTATTCGTTCGAATACTGATAAATATTCGTATAAATTACTTAATTCATTTTTGGTTTAGCGGTAACAATGGGACTTTAGTCTTGCAATCCTACCACTGGGACACTAAATACGAGATATGAGGTAGTATAACGAGTACTATCATTAGGACTTAACCATTAGACAATTAGACTCAATACTAGATCAAGTACTTGATCAAGACACTAAATGATAGACAATGTATACATCGATATACGAAATTCGAATCAAAATTGAGAACCAAATTAGATTAGACCATAATTTACTGATACAAATCACAAACAGTCAACATATAGTGAAGTCTGAATAGAAATCAACATTATACAAATAAAAATAATCTACATATTTATATCCTTGCTCAGTAGCCAACCACAACTGACAAGTCAGTTTTGTTTATAATCACGATTCTTGTTTATCTGTTCATTCTAGATAAAGAAACCAAAACAATGGTGCATTCATCTTCACCTAAATCTCAACTACCAGGACATTCAAAAAGCAAAGCACTACCTAAAAAGACCACACAAGATTATGATAATGAAGACAGTGAAAAAACTGATGATGATTATAACAACAAGAAACTATCTAAAAAGAAAGACAGTGGCATCAATAGTGATAATGATGATGACGATGATAATGATGAAGACGAAGATGACGACGATGAAGCAGATGATAGCAAACCTATGACGAAAACTAGGTCTATAGTTTTATCCATATTAAAACGAATCGAAAACATCTTTGGCGTTGAAGATGATGATGGGGATCATGATGCTGAAGAAGATGATTCTCATGAAGAAATTCATGATCATTAAAGTGTTATTTTATCCTCATTTTTATACTAAAGAGATTTCATATGATTTTATCAAAACGAAAGTTGTTTTAGAACCATTAAGTAGTACAATCAACCATTACTACTCATTCTCTTAACTTAGTTTACATCTGTTGAATATACTAGCTCAATTGACAAATCTAATGTTTTGATGTATGATAATGTGCAGTTGTGTACCTTACCACTTTTTTCTTTTTAAAGATACTCTTACATATTAACTAAATCCTTAGAATAATACTCTCATACAATAGCTTTACTTTTCATCCACTCAGTCTTTTTGTTCTCCCTCTTCAACCCTTCTTTATTGCTTCATTTTCGAATCAGTTAAACTATTCATGTTGTAACTCATCCAATTTCTTCTTGTTTTTTTTATTTGCTTTAGTGGAAATAGAAAGAATTGAACAGTAAAACAACAAACAAACAAACAAGTACACAAAAGAGACTAGATTAAAAAATAACAATAAATAAGGAAAATCAATAGAATCGAGTTATATACAACAATGATTTTCCAGCTCTTTTGTTCTGATCAAGTAATCTTGCATTTTCGTTGATTACACACACACACACACAAACGAAACACATATTTCAATAATACTACTACTACCACTGCCTTTCTTTCAACTATTATGTATTAATTATTCATTCATCAACTGTAATAAACTCTTTGTGAATGTTTATTCCTTGTTTTCTTTCGGTTTTTCAGTTTCACTTCTTCATCATCCACTATTTTTCGTTCGTATACAGTAGAAATATTCTGAAAACCCTAACTCCCTACATATACTGTTTTTATTTTTCTGTTTTCAACTTTCAATTTAAATTAAATATAGACACATTTAAACAAACAAACAAATTACAGCACAGAAATTAAATATTATTTAGTTGAGTCTATTTATTTTCCTTTAGCCTTTTTTCGTTAATAAAATTTACTGGTTTTCTTCTGAAATGTTGTGTACTCAGTAAAGTTGGATTCAGAGCACGTTTCTCATCGTATTTGGGACTCGTCAACTAGATGTTTATTCATCCCACTGTTGATATTCACGAGGAAATTCGAAGCTAGTACCTATCACTTCAAACTTCAACGCACTATCGAATAAACTATTATGTCACTAACTCTTCTAACCGGTATGAAGTTATTTATGAAGGCTTTTATTTCTTCGTTGTTGGTAATAGCAACCACAATCAATCATTCTACTGGCATATACACATTTTGAGCGAATTATCTCAATACTACCGACCACAACTAAACTTTACTAAATATTCGTGACTTAATGGAAATCATACAGGCAATAATATCAGGATGCTTACATACCAGTAGAAACTCAGTTAATTAATAGTAACGTAGAACATGGAGCTTCCGCGTCATACCACTTTATAACAAACACTAGCATAAAAACTGCCCATTAATGCAATTAAGTACGACCTAAAGGTCAAGAAATATAACTATGATTGAGAGTAGATTAGCACATCTGTATTCAAAAACTTGACTAAGAATAAACATTTGATTGATACAGCTATATCTAAGTCTGGAATCAGTTTGCTGTTTCAGAATTGTAGTTAAGACTTGGATAATTTAAAGTATTCAAAAGCTAACGTTTACGAGCAATTTCACTTTCATGTGTTTCACAAGTACACATTGATAACTTTTTTAAAGAAAAGATTTCCAGTTTGCCTGTCCCATTTGAAATTCAATAAAAAAAACAACCGCTAAAAAAGAATAGTCAGTCAATTCATTATCGACGAATGGAACAAATGAGTGTTATTCAAAGTTGTTATAACATAGTAGCGAGACGAGATAAAATCAACAAAATGAATAAGAATACCAAGAAGAATATTCTGAAGTTGCTTACTTCTGTTGAGTGTTTATTAGACGCTCAATATATTTAATGTTGAGACATTGAATTACAGAGAAAAATTCAAATTGTTTTAAGCTCATTAACAAATGAATTGGCGAGTAAGATGAGTGAGTAGTGATACATTGAGGTTTTCAGATTTAAGAGATATTAAAATGTTAAAAATATGTAAACTTTTCAACAGAAATTAAGAGAACTAAAAGAAAAGATATTTTGGAATTTCAAATAAGTGATTAGTGGCACTATCTGGCACACTGAATCAACTTAAATGAGGTTCGAACTAAAAACTTAGCTGTCCTATCTTGAATGTTTTAATCAAGCTTACCGTATTTTAGAGTGGATTACCTCAATGGATCAATTTAAATTTCATCAGCTTGTGATAAGCCACTTCATTTTACCAGCTAATTATCATTTAATTAATCATGAGTGAGCTACTTGATGAACTAGCAATGATTTAATATAACCATACTGAGTAGTAACATGTTAATGATTGTGTCACTGTGCCAAACAAAATTGCGTCACACATATGTTGTGTTCTTGGTTGTCCATAACCAATCGAGTGCTGATTGCTATTATATAATCATATCGGATTATAAAATTTACCAAGGTAAATGTAAGCATACAATTCTATTTTAAACAAGCGAGTGCTAGCAGAAAGAGGTCCTAACTGTTTACAGTTTAATCAGACTATAATAGAGACGCGTTAATTGGCTGATTTTAGATCTAGCATCACCAGTGGATAACTCCAGATACGACAAGATTCTTACATAAATTGTACACAAACTTTAGTGTTTTACCTTTGGACATTTTGTTGTTCGCGTTTATTGAAATATACATTGTTGCTCTCGATTTTTATTAGGATTCAGGAAAAGCCGAGTGAAGCATATAGCCAAGGAATACTAAACAGCAGAACTTTAGTGGCACTAGATTTGACTCTAGCTAGATCGTTTGCTGCTTGTTATTGAAATACATGTTGCCAATCCTCGTATATTATTATCGACTTAAATCGCGCCAGTGAATAACAGAATTAAATAAGTCAAATATGAGAATGGATTTCGAATACGTATATTTCATACTATCATTGATTCAGACAGACGATCAAATGAATGGAGCGAAAAGAGATGATGCGATGTGAAATTCACACACATACGCATAAATTAAAAACGGTTAAGGTTAATAGGCGAACAAGTGACAAGGTCAAAATGTAGCTTCAGAACGGATAAATTGGCTTGTCCATAGGCTAGAATAAGCAATGTGGGCTTGACATAGGGCCAGTCACTACAAAACAATGTAGCGATACGTTTAGCTTCGTCTATTTGATTATGATTTTCTTTACGACTCAGAAAAAGATGTGGGTTTATTTGTTAGTTGAGACTGTCGTGGCTAGTACTATGTCAAGCCCACATAGGTTATTCTAGCTCCTGGATAGACCAATCTGTTCAATTGTCTCAACCACATTCTAACCATGTCAGTTATTCGCTTATTAACCCTGACTTTTTATATGATCGTATGTGTGTTAATTGCTCACATTATTCATCGAGTGTCTGCAAGTTATTTCGGTAACAATAAATATTCAGTCACGCTTGATCAAAACGAATTGGCTCACCCGCCATCTCCTCTGCGTGTCACTTCGTTTCGTTTCGCCGATTGCCTGTTCAGAACAATGAGTATACGAAATATACGAATTCAAAATTCATTCTCGTATTTGACTTATTTTGTTCCGTTATCTCCTAACCATAAAAATATACGAGGGTTGACAGTATGTATATTTCGATAGCTTGGCACTCAAGTCAGTCATCAATCCATCTAATTTATCAACCAATCAGAAAAATTATGGACAATAATGAGAGATACAATCAAAATAAAGAAGTAAACAATAAACGCTTAAAGGTGAACAATGACCAATCAAGATCGAGGCCTACAGGACAAGCTGTGAGCCATATATGGAGAAACTCGAACACCTCACTTCCACCTGAAGTTTGTGCTGATGTTGTTCAAAATAAAGATGAAAACTCCACAACCAAACCATTCAGCTCAGAAAACTAAACTCTAATATTTTGATAGCAATCAGCGGACGAACTCCGCCTGGAGCCCCTTTGGGGCTATTGCCGGCCCCAAGCCCGGATAAAGGATGAGGGTTGGGAATGGAGTTAGCGACCCCATCCCGTAAAAAAACAACTCACTAAAAAACGCTAACCAGGAAAAACAATTCAAACCATTTAAAGTCGGCCCTGGGAGTTAGAAGGTCTTCATTTAGAAGAGCTATGACGCCTCATGGTGAAAACCGAGTTCCTTCGGAAGTCATGAAGCTGATGTCCCTTCTGACAACCAGAGAAACCACTTATTTAGGTACATGGAATGCTCGTACAATGTGGGAGACCGAGAGAGCCTTCCGAAATGCTGCAGAAATGAGGAGATACAACCTAGAGGTGCACGGAACCAGTGAAATACATCGGACGCAGGTTGGACAACAACGACTAGCTTCAGGGGAGCTTCTGTTATACTCTGGCCATGAAGAGGAAAATGCCCCACATACACAAGGAGTTGCATTGATGCTATCAAAACAAGCACAAAGTGCACTTATAGGATGGGAATCTCATGGACCAAGGATCACTAAAGCCTCCTTCAAAACAAAGAAAGAGGGCATTACAGTGAACGTAATCCAATGCTATGCACCTACCAACGATTACAGTGAGGACGTTAGAGATCAAATCTACGAAAGGCTTCAGTCAATCGTTGAGAAATGTCCAGCAAAGGACTTGACCATTCTAATGGGAGACCGAAATGCCATGGTTGGAATGGATAACATCGGATATGAAGAAATCACGGGACGACATGGACTGGTAGAAAGAAACGAAAATGGTGAGAAATTCGCGAACCTATGTGTCTTCAATAAACTGGTCATAGGTGGCGCCATATTCCCACATAAACACATACACAAAGCCAGGCGGATTTTACCGGATCACACTACATAAAGTCGAATCGACCATATCTGTATCAATAAAAAGTTCGGAAGGACGATGGAGGACGTTAGAATCGAGAGAGGAGCTAATATGGTCTCAGATCATCACTTGCTGGTCGTCAAGATGAAACTGAAACTCAAGAAGCACTGAACAACATCACAAAACTTTAATACGGCTTTTCTTCGGGATACTGAAAAACTAAACAAATTCAAGGTAGCCCTCATCAATACGTTCCAGGTCTTTCGCGATCTACTCAATGGAGAGGGAATTACTACAGAGAGCAACTGGAAAAGGATCAAAGAGGCAATCACTTCAAAATGTCATGAGGTTCTAGGCCACAAGAAGCACCATCACAAGGAATGGGTCACTGTTGATACACTGGATGTGATTCAGGAAAGGAGGAATAAGAAGGCAGCAATCAGTGCCAGCCGAACAAGAGCAGAGAAAGCCAAGGCACAAGCTGAATACACAGCAGTAAACAAGCAAGTGATGAGGAGCATCAGGACCGACAAACGTAAGATTTAGCAAAGACGGCGGGAAAGGATGCAAGAGAAGGAAACACAAGAAAACTGTATGACACAGCAAAGAAACTCGCTGAAAGTTATCGTAAACCAGAACGACCAGTGAAAAGCAAGGAGGGTGAAGTAATCACCAACATTGAAGAACAGCGAAACAGGTGGGTAGAACACTTCAGAGAACTCTTGAATCTACCAGCCCCACTGAACCCATCCAACACCGAAGAAGCACACTCGGACGTCCAATCACCGTCATCAGACAAATCAAGAGCAGCAAAGCAGCGGTACCAAACAACATTCCAGAAGAGGCACTAAAAGCATACGTAGTAGTAACTGCAATGATACTCCACATTCTCTTCAGTAAGATTTGGGATGGAGAACAAGTGCCAACAGACTCGAAAGGACACTTCATCAAGATACCAAAGAAAGGCAATATCAGCAGGTGTGAGAACTACATAGCCATCACTCTTCCCTCAATATCAGGAAGTCTTCAACAAGGTGTTGTTAAACAGAATGAAAGACTCCGTAGATGCCCAACTTCGAGACCAACAGGCAGGATTCCGTAAGGATAGATCGTGTACAGACCAGATCACAACACTACGGATAATTGTGGAACGATCGATTGAATGGAATTCACCACTCCATGTCAACTTCATTAACTACGAGAAAGCATTTGATAGTGTGGACAGGACAACACTGTGGAGTCTTCTTCAACACTACAGCGTGCCTAAGAAAATAGTCAACATCATACGGAATTATTATGATGGATTAAACTGCAAAATCGTTCATGGAGGACAGCTCGCAGACTCGTTAGAAGTAAAGACCGGTGTCAGGCAAGGTTGTTTACTCTCACCCTTTCACTTTCTCCTGATGATCGACTGGATTATGAAAACATCAACATATGGGGAAGCATTGGATAGAGTGAACAGCTAGAATGCAGCTGAACCATTTAGACTTCGCAGGTGAGCTGGCTCTTCTATCGCAAACGCAACAACAGATGCAGGAGAAGACGACCAGTGTAGCAACAGCCTTAGCAGTAGTAAGCCTCAACATGCACAAAGGGAAAAGCAAGACTCTCCGATACAACACAGGATGCATCATTCGAATTACACTTGGCAGAGACAATTTGGAAGATGTAAAAACCTTTACATATCTGGGCAGCATCACTGATGAACACGGTGGATCTGATGCAGATGTGAAGGCACAGATCAGCAAAGCAAGAGCAGTATATTTACAACTGAAGAACATCTGGAACTCAAAACAATTGGCAACCAACATCAAGGTCAGGATTTTCATTACAAATGTCAAAACAGTTCTACTGTATGGGGCGGAAACCTGGAAAACTACGAAATCCATCGTCCAAAAGATACAGGTGTTTATTAACAGTTGTCTACGCAAAATACTTCGGATCCGTTGGCCGGACACTATTAGCAACAACCTACTGTGGGAGAGAACAAATCAGATCCCAGTGGAGGAAGAAATCAGGAAGAAGCGCTGGAAGTGGATAGGACACACATTGAGGAAAGCACCCAACTGCGTCACAAGGCAATCCCTCACATGGAATCCTCAAGGCCGAAGGAGAAAAGGAAGACCAAAGAACACATTGTGCCGAGATGGAGACACATGAGAAGAATGAACGGCAATTGGATAGAACTAGGAAGACTTGGGACAAAGTGGGTTGGAGAATGCTGGTCGGCGACCTATGCTCCACTGAGAGTAACAGGCGTAAGTAATCAGCAAACGATTTAACTGGAATCAAATACTGGACCACTAAAAGTCTACTGAAGGATTTCAAAATAACTTACTGTCGACTATATCGTAAATACGTAGAGATTAGATCATTGAAAATATTCCTGCTTAAAAAACGAAGGCCTTCTAGACTATTTGTAAAAATTATTTTACTTGCCCTTCTACTATAATCAGTACTCATATAATTTAAAAACAACTTTTTATTGGTCATTAATAGTCCCTAATTATGGAGCATTAGTGGAACTCGTACTAAACTTATTCTGCAATTCTTAAATTAACCATTGCTTTGAAGTACAGTCAATCAAATGGTAACTTTTAAACAATATGCACCAGCAAGTTAAACATACACAACACTGGGTCAAATATGTATCAACAAACTTCTTGGTGAAAATAGAAATCACAAATGCACTAGGAAAATCAGTAAGTGATATGGACATATTCACATATACACATTATGTCCCCGCTTTTTCCTATTACGAATTACTTTACAACACAGGACGGTAGCGAGTTCGTCATACACAATATCCTAGTACAAACAAACCTCTGTACATTTACGTATGGTGTCTGTTATTTTATTTGAACACATAAATATTGGTACAAGGAGGCACCAGATACATATGAGCCACACAAATCTCATTTGACTTGTGAATCAGGGTTTTCCAACTCCCCTAGGTGGACTCTCCGTGGTGGCTGAAAGATTGTAGAAACCTTTGGACAATAAATCGGACTTCCAACTGCCTATGTATCACGGTATTGAAGAGATTACTGATATTATTCAATTAAAACAAGAGTACCAAATATAACTAGGAAAACTCGCTGTAAAATGTCCAAAGAATTGCAGTGAAAATTACCCTAGAAATTTTAAGGCTTTCTTTTGAACCCATAATTCTAGCTATAATCTATTCGTTTTGTAATATTGAAGGATGAAACGTTATTTGGCTTCGGCTTTCATATCTTTATTATTAACAATAATGGTGGGTTTGATAATATACACTCTATTTGCTTTCAAAAAGACAAATGCGAAAAACACATACGAGAAAATTTCCCTAGATCGAAACCACAGATAAATCACCTGAGACTGTGACATTTTCATCGACTAAGGTGGCTAGAACGTGTATTATATATGTGAAACTGCTGCCTAACTTAGGATCAAATTGAAGGAAACTAATGGTGACTTAACCGAGACATTTATTCAGCCCATGAAACCATTCTTTGAACTGAGCAATTTTGGTAGGTGTTGTGAGGCGCGGTGTCCGAGGCTCGAAATGAGAGAGGAACTTCCTATCCACAAGACTACTGAATGAGAAGGCTAAGAGTGGAAAACGTTTATTAGGCTAAACCGAATTATATATATATAGTCCCTAGACAATAAAACCGTTTCTTGGACAACAACACGAACTTATCATTTCGGATATTTCTGACTGACATAACGTGCCCTTTTGATTTGACGACTTCTGATTGACCAACTGTATCAATGAGGGCAGACTATATGCCTGGGAATTTCGGGTGATATGTTTCACGATCAAACGCAATAGTTCAATTGAACTCACTCTTAATCTTTTAATTCTTCAGCTTTAATATTATTTCATTCTTCTCATTGCTCCAATTTATTCCTTCTTTTCGAACAGCAGTCTTTCGCACTATCATACTGCTACAATTATTGTTAATTTCATATCACCATCCTGATTTAGCATGACAAATAGAATTAACGCATATTAATACCAGATCCTATGTTGATCACGATTAGGAGATCGACCAAACTAATTGTTGAACAGATAGCTGTTGAATTTTGCATCGAGCTGTATTCAAAACTAGGGTGGGTTAATATAGGGACCGATATCACCTGAACTAATATAAACAGTCTGATTTTCTGTTTACAGCAGATGAGCCTTAGTTCCTGATATTTAAAAAGTTCGCCACTACTCAGTAAAAACCCAAGATTAAGTTTTTTGACAAATGTTTATTTTTATTTATTTATTTTAACACATAGGTATTGGTACAAGGAGGCACCAAATACATATGCGCCACACAAATCTCATTTAATTTGTGTGAGGGCTGTGATACTGCCCGGGTGCCCAAACCGAAGCAGGTGGTTTTCTTAGGAGACCACACCCCGAGTCTTCGACCTGAAGGTCTGATCCACAAGGAAGTGGAGCATCGTGAGGAGATGCAGTCCCATGGTAGCCGGTGACCAACGATTGGTTCATACGCTATTTGTCCCTTCAGGATACTGGAGCCCATGTGCACCATTGGTTTGGGATCCGGTTAAAGCGCCGGACATTCGCTTTTCGTCCTCTCATTTTCGTAAACAACACCCCCGCCACGAGAAGGCAGTGAGTAGGACTTCCCTGGTAGAGGCTATATACGCATGGCCATGTGAGAGCATTTCGAGAGGGAGAGCGGACTCTACCCAATCTCGGCCGTACCAGAGCATTTGGGGGCTTTGACAAATACGCAGAGGTTATAAGTCGAACGGAACAAAAAACTTTAATTATTGTATGAGGTTAAATAACCAAGATTCAATGGGGTCATCTCCTTTACCATAAGTAACCAACAAACTCGACTTTAAGAGGATCAAGGTGTTCTAAGATTAAGATCTGAATATGTCCTAGTTTAAGAGAACGGCTGAATTTTCATAGTATCTGATCATCACATTGGGTGTCAGCAATAGGTCTTCTGTAGACTACGTCCACCAGACACCTTACAGTACTAAAAAATCTTGATGCATATCATTTAGATTCACTGAGATTAAAGGGGTATTTGTGTTTCTCAATCTAAATAACTCGTTCATTGTGTTGGGTAAGATTGGAGCGGCCGCACAAAACTAGCTAGCACCTTCTATTTGAAATGGATATCCATAGCCACTTTGTCTGACTGAAACTTATGCGAATGGGCAGGACACCTAACTACAGAAGCCTTCCTAGTTGAGGATGCAATCAAGAAGAACATGCGTAAATACAAGCAAGCAAGTCATTCTAGATATACACTGAAATGGATAGTATGAACATTTGCATCTTTATGATCGACACTAAATAGACAACCAATAGTTGTTTTCATCAAAATGAGGACGACGCTATGAAGCTTTACTAAATGTATCTACCTGAGTTACACATCCTCTCCATTATCTTGGAATATACACGCATGCTTAGTTTTGATTTTCGACAGGATGCAATGACTAGCCTAAGTGGTAATGTTGAACGCCAAAGACATTTTTATATAATGAAAATAGAAACTAAAAGACAAAAATGACGAATGTTTCATTCAACTGATAGTTTTTTCTGTAAAAGTGTAAATACATTAGTCATGTTACATATGGAGAGCATCTTTATAGTACATACTGATCACATTCCACAATGATTACATTATACACAGCAAAATGCTCAGGATACTAACACACCCGAAGTTGATGACGAAGATACATTATCTTTTTTCTCTGAACCTGTAGAGTCTTTTTCACCAGCAATCCTTATTTTATGTTCAGCTTTGTATCTTTGAAGTTCTCGACCTTTTTCTTCAAACTGCTTTGACAATGTTTCGATACATTCAGACATCTGGACGTATGAATTTAAAAAAAAAAACTCACTTTTTTTACACTATCTTCAAGAGCCGGAAGGATGTCCTTCACTTGACGTTCAATTAATACATTGTCTATCATTCGCATGCATTTACGAGTAGGCTCCACCGACTGCAACACTTTAATGACCATACTTTAAAAAAAGTTCAGAACGTAAATGTATTAAAACTGGACACAAATTTAACAAGGAAAGAGTGGTCAGTATTAACAAAACCAAGATTTCATGTGGTTAATCAATAGAACCCTAGGACACAAGTGTAATCATAGGATACAATAAATAAAACTAGTTCGGTAACTGTAATTCCCAGAAATATTATGACGAAAATAGAAGACGGGAGAGAAGTTGTTGAATAAGATCATTTTTGTGCTAAGTCAATTCATAATGTGAACAGATGCTAATTGTAAACCAATGGACGATTCGATGGACGATCTCGGTGTCGTACTGAGTGTCACCTTTCACCTGAGTAGGTCTAAAAAAACTACACTAGGAGACAACCAGCTGACAAAGTACCAACGCATTATTAATGTGGATCAGGAGGAATTTAAATGATTATTTCACTATTAGTTGAAGCAAAAATACAAAAACTAGTTCCATAACGAAGAAAAATGTCGCCCAACAAACCAGAAAAGTTAGAATAAATCGAACACCAAGAATCTCAGCTGCATCTTAATGACAAAGTTAATGCTTCTTGCAAACTATGGCGGAGCTAAAAAAAGCAATATTTTCAAAAACACGAATCGTCTAGATAAAAACCTAAGAATTGTAACAGGTACTATGACGGAGATAATATCGGACTTATGAGGCACGTATTTAAAATAAGTTAACTTTAATGCAAAGCCGGAAGCAAAAAAGCGAATATCAATGATAAGAAAACATCAAACCTTTATTATGTTTATTAATTATCTAGGTGAGACCATAATTTATGGACGACCATTAAGTGACACCGAAGTGACCCTGAGGGTGGACACTTACTGGTTAGGACTATATAAAGGTTATAAAACGGTCAGAATCCTCATTTACAGTTGGTGGTTAGGGTTAAAAGTTAGATTTAGGGTCTTCATCAAGAACTGACATAAGCTATAATGCCAAAACTCTAGTCAAATGTCTCATGAATTGCTGCGTATGCCTGGATACCGATTACCACGACGCGCAATACTAACCGGTGTTAGGGATAATTGGAAGAAAGTTAGGAGCGGCCAAACCAAAACGTGGCATCAGTGCTTGAAGTCACTAACTTCTGGTCTGAGCCATGTTGGTAGATGCAGACTGCCTGGTTGGGGTCCGCGTGACTATCGTAACCAATGGTTGGAGACTCTTGGTGACATGGCTCACAATCGATCACAATGGCGTCGGTGTATGCACTCTCTGTCTTCTTCAAACTGAGATTAAAATCGCTTCATATCTTTCTTTCTACGAACTAATTCTTTCTTCCTGTACTATCTCCTTATATGCAATCTTTCTTCTGTATATTACCACCACTGAATCAACTACTTCTATGAATCCAGTGTTCATCATGTTGTGCTAATGAGGTGTGGCAACTTGGACCGATGCATACATGTGCCTGGTCCTACGTTGCAGCTGACTGACTGACTGTATGAATGAATTTGGCGCCAAAACTCGTGATTCGTTAACTTAGCTCTGACTGGTTCGTCCATAAATTAGTCTCACCACTTCTGACATACTAGACCGAACGCAATAAATAAAATTAAAATGTAAAAATGAATAAGAAAAACGTTATTTCCATCCGAATATGCATAAATTAATTAGTCTTATTTCCCAACACAACGAAAAAACACGATCCATTGAGAAAACATGCCGAAACGTCCATCGTGGTGCTTTGTTTAACATAATGATCAATTACTTTGCACCACGGTATCCATAAAGTAGGAAATGTAGATAATTTTACACGAACTTACTTGTGTTCCCTTTGATCAAGTTCTAGATCATTAATTTTGCTCCCGATTGAGCGCTGTTCGTAACGCAAACGATTGAAACCTTCTACTATTTCCTCTTCTGTTGGGGGCTTTGCTTTACTAGAGGATGATGAAGACATCGGCCTAAGTGAAACGTCAGCCGTAGTTTTTAGCTTTGCACAGTACCGTCCGTTAGATATAGCCCGCTTCTAACCATTAAAAATTCAAATTCTCCATAACACGAAGATTCAGATTCGTGTAGTAAGGCCTACGGCATATGTTATTCCTTTTCCAGTATGCTTCCATGAGAGTCCAGTCTTCTCTTGAATGAGTCAACTGAAGTTGCGGTTCTAAGAACTCATGACTCTGTGTGAAAACCTGGATGTCACGAGTTCGTTCTTGGCATTTATACTCGCCTGCCATGTCCTCTAAGATGTTGATGGCTTCCACAAGTGTCGTTATGGTCTTTTTGACTATTTTTTCCAGTATTTTAATTACTACACATGTGGGAGTAAAGTTATTCGACTGATACTATCACCGTGTGTGAAGACAAAGTCCAGGAGAGACGACAAGTTTTATTGGTCATATCTGGAAGGATCCTTAGTGTTATGGAATAAAGTTAGGGCGGTAGGAGTTTCTAACACTTTGTAATGAAACGATGTTTCTGATGACCCTACTTCTAGGACTACCCAGTGTAGATACCGTGCATTCAAGCCGCCTACTATAAAGGTTTTACCCCTATTACACCAGGACTTAAGTTTGCTTAAAAGGAAGTCATCTACTGCACATTCTATACTGTAATATGCTGCAACTAATTCACTATCCCGCCGTCTATATTTCGGTTTTCAACGCGCCAGTTTACAAGACCCTGAGCTATGTGAACAGTCTCAACAGCTGATATAGTTAAAGTACTTTTCCTGCACAGGATAACCCCACCTCCCCCTATGCTTTGATCTGTCAGTCCTACTGGATAAAAAACCAGTCAACTGAATTTCATTATCGAATAATTCTGTCGCTAATCATGTTCCTCAGACAGCAAAAACATCCCGTTTTTCTATATCCATCATTGACTTGAGATCCGCCATTTTATTAAGTAGGCTACGAACACTTGTATACCACACCTTGGTACGGTGATCGTTTCGCTCCGAACATTTACAGTTTGAGAACCCTTAAGTACGAGGTTTCTCTCACCATTTCGGCAGTGCTCATTTATTTCTACTTCTGGAACTCGTTTTTTAATTCGGTTGTAAATAAATCCCCAAAATAAATAGCTCTGTAAGTTTTCGACATTGGATGCTGACCACATTAGTTTTAATAGACTCATCTAGCTGAAGGATCCATCAGAGTATTTTGCAGATATTACCCTGAGTGCATATATTATCCATATTCTCCGGAGACATTTTTTTCTCATTAACCACAAGCTTCAGAATTCTTCGTGAATGGCTTTAAATTAACAGACGGATTTGGATGGATCCACGTTTTATAATTGAAAACAGATCTAGATTACAACTGAAATAACTAAAATACAAGCTAAAATTACGAATATCCCTGAGAAAGGATTAGAAATTTTTCAAGGTATGAAAGTGGCTGTGATGGTTATATGAAGCAAACGGAAGAAACGACAAACGTTCATGGGAAATTTCTTTTAATTGAAGACATATATGTCTGAGTCAGAATAGTAAAATGGTGAATGAAAGTGGCAACAACACATCACTTAAAAGCTCAGAATAACATAACATCAACATAAAGTGTAAACAAAAAGAAATGTCGGTTTTTACACCTTACGTCGGTTATTTGGGGGGAAATTAGTAGAAAATCGTAAGTAATGCAGCTGTTTGAATATACCGCGTACTTGAAATGGTGCAGATGGGTCAAATTGTTGTAGACGGCATAACAGTTTTCACTTAACGAGCTTTCGTATCTAGTAGCATAGGACCACCAATACCTCAAGGCAGGAACCTAGGTATATTAACGATAAAACAAGAAAAATAAATGGGTAAATCATAGTAAGATACTATCTGTAGTCCTGAAGAGTATATCAAGTTGTAGCGGTAAATAATTCCCCAAAATCAAATAGCTCTGTAAGTTTTCGACATTGGATGCTGACCACATTAGTTTTAATAGACTCATCTAGCTGAAGGCGCTCGGTCAAGCATCCGCACCAGATCACGTGTGGGAACGCCGTGCTCAACATCTGCCGCAATCGCTAGCCAGATTAGTGCAAACGATCCTCGATATATTGATAGCTTATCAAATATATCTTCGATCTCCTCGCTTCTGTCTTTTGATTTCACTTGGTTGGTGCGCTTCGTATTAGAAGGTGTTACTGGTTAAAGCGTTGTCAAACTCCGAATACCTGTGGCATCTTTAGACTCATGATCTCAACCATTGCACCAAATTGCAAACTGAGAGTCTGTTCCTTTTTGGGATTTTATATATAATTGTCTTATTTTAATTTTTTATACATTGTGATATTTTTCCCGTATTTTCGAATGTATATATTTCCGACTCGTTCATACTCGTGCTTGATATTTTACCATGACTGAACAGATAACCAAGGTATTTAAGTTAAAGACTGTGTCCCCACCTTCGTTCCAACTAATGCCTTTTTGGCCAGACAACATAGAAGCTTAGTTCTGCTGCTCAGAAGCCGACTTCTGCGAGCACGGTGTGAACAATACGCGTGCACAATTCCTCGCAGTAGTCAAGGCACTACCACGCGAATTTAACAGGTACGTAACATTTAGTATGTTTACTAATGATGTTCCTGAACCAAACGAAACACTTAAACGACCCATCCTTAAACGCGGAGGTCTAGCCGATCGACAAAGGTTAGATCAACTCCTTAATAACAACGACTTGCAACACGGTTCTGCAGACCGTATCCTGGAAAACCCAAAATATTATAGTTCCGAGGTTTTTTCAGTCAAAGAAAAGCCTTATACGACCCAGAATGACATTCCAGAGTTATGTCATACACTTACACGTTATCTTAAATTTCGTAACGACCGGAAACGGTTACACACCCCACGAAGAAGCACTTCACGTAGGTGATCTGTCTGTAGGCCTCGAGAGACGGATAACCCCGATTGGGGCTGGTATCATAACCAGTATGGAAAGTCCTCCAGAAGTTGCAGAAGACCCTGCAATTTTCTCAACTCAAAATCGATCGACACAAAAAACAATTCGGGAAACTTCCAAGCTGGCACGCGTTAAGGGCAACCGTAGCCTGCGAACATAGCCGTTTATTATATGTCACTGATGTGATAACTAGAGTTCTCTACCTCGTTGATATTAGCGCAGAATTTAGCGTTCTCCCAGCGAATTCCAACGACCGGCTTCACGAATCAGTTTTAAATCTACAGGCGGCAAACGGAAAGCCTATCGCTACGTATGGCAAAAGGTATGTTTATCTTAACGTCGGTTCACGCAAACCCATTCACTGGATCTTTGTTGTTGCAGATGATTCTGTGCCAATCATTGGTATGGACCTTCTACAGCACCACAACTTATTCATCGATACGCGCAAACGGAGGTTAGTAGACGGAAATACTAAGTTATCTGTTTGCGTAACTTCCTTTTCTGGTTGCAGATTATCTGCAGTCACAATCAAGCACACGATAGACCCATTCTATCAATCACTACTCGATAAATATTCTGGCATTTACCAATCGCAACCGAAATTGCCGTGTGTAACCAGCAACGTGACACATCACATCACGACTACAGGACCACCTGTCTTCTCGAAAGCACGCCGACTGGCCCCCGAAAAGTTAAGGTTGGCGAAAAACGAATTCGAACATATGATAAACTTAGGAATCATAAGACCGTCAAACACCCCATGGGCATTTTCGTTGCACATGGTCCTTAAAAAGGACAGCAACGAATAGAGTCCAGCTGGTGACTATCGGAGATTGAACGCAAAAACCTTTCCCGATCGTTACCCGTTGCCCCACATTCACGATTTGACAGCTACCTTGAAAGGTGCAACTGTCTTTTCAAAAATCGACTTGGTAAAAGCTTATAACCAAATTCCTATGGCCACTGAAGACATTCCAAAAACCGCTATTATAACGCCCTTCGGACTCTATGAATTTTTGCGAATGCCTTTCGGTCTGAGAAACGCGGCACAGACTTTCCAAAGGTTCATAGATGACGTTTTTCGAGGTCTCAACTTCGTACATGCATACGTTGATGACTGTCTAATAGCAAGTCCGGACAGAGAATCACATCTCCAGCATCTGGACCTTGTTTTCGACCGACTACAAAAACATGGCATTACCGTAAACATTCAGAAATGCCAAATCGGAACCGAATCCTTAGACTTCTTAGGACACACCATAGATGCGCATGGCATTCAACCCCTTAGAACAAAAGTGGCGGCCATTCTGGATTACCCAGAACCTACCACCATCAAGCGATTGCGCACGTTTAACGGTCTGGTAAGTTTTTATAGACGATTCATACCGAAATGCGCGTTACTTATGAAACCCCTTACCGACCAACTTCGTGGAAATGCGAAATCCATTAATCTAGATGACACTACCCGAAAAGCATTCTCCACGATTAAGGAACATATCGCCCGAGCAGCAATGCTTGCTCATCAGGACCCTAAAGCGCCCATTAGCATCTCAGTAGACGCATCTGACTCAGCAATCGGAGCAGTCTTACAACAATCGGTTAACTACTCCTGGCAACCTATGGCATTTTTCTCTAAACGGTTGCTAGATAATGAATCGAGATACAGCACATTCGGTTGGGAACTCCTAGCTATGTATTGTGCTGTCCGGCATTTTCAACACTATATCGAAGGCCGTGAATTTACCATTTTTACCGACCATAAACCACTTACTTTCTCCTTAAGCTCTTCTTCGGACAAGTACTCACCACGTGAGTCTCGACAACTGGACTACATTTCGCAGTTTACTTCAAATATTCGACACATTTCTGGAGCAAACAATGTAGTTGCAGACGCCTTGTCTCGAATAACTTCCTTGAACAGTTTCCAAGGAATCGACCTTCTGAAACTCGCCCAACTTCAAAAAGAAGACAGCGATCTTCAGCACGAGTTGTCCTCAACAACACTTAAACTGCGTATTAAACAGATGAGAACAGGTAAGGAAACCTTACTGTGTGACAAATCTACAGGTAGGGATCGCACAGTCGTGCCGAAACATTATCGACGCAACGTCTTCAATACCTTGCACAAACTTACTCA